AAATAAACACCAAAGTCCACATGTTAATAGAGCCTAAACAACAATTAACTAACCACTTGTAAGCAAGAATATGTTCCCAATTCTAAAGTCTGATTTTGATCATGCCTAATTACTAGACTGACAGAGTCTCCTGTCAGAAGGAGCTTCAAGTCCCACCTCCAACAAAACTTCCAAAATGTTCCGGGGGAGGCGGGGGACATTGAGTCTGAATGGACCCTATTCTGGTCCTCCATTGTTGAGGCGGCCGACCAGAGCTGTGGTCGCAGGATCGTCGGTGCCTGTCGTGGTGGCAACCTCCGAACCCGCTGGTGGACACCGGCGGTTAGGGATGCTGTCAAGCTGATGAAAGAGTCCTATCAGGTCCTTTTGGCCTGTGGGACTCCAGAGGCAGCTGACGGGTACCGGCAGTCCAAGCGGAATGCGGCTTGGGTGGTTGCCAAGGCAAAAATCCGGTCATGGGAGGAGTTCGGTGAGACCATGGAGCAAGACTTCCATAGGGCTTTGAGGAGATTCTGGTCCACCATCCGGTGCCTCGTGCAGTGCGCTACCAACACCATTTATAGTGGGGATGGTGTGCTGCTGACTTCTACTCAGGACGTTGTGGATCAGTGGGCAGAATACTTCGAAGACCTCCTCAATCCCACCGACACGTCTTCCAGTGAGAATGCAGAGTCTGGTGATTATGAGTGGGGCTCTCAAATCTCTGGTGCTGAGGTCACTGAGGTGGTTAAAAAGCTCCTCTGTGGCAAGGCTTCAGGGGTGGATGAGATCCGCCCGGAGTTCATTAAGGCTCTGGATGTTGTGGGGCTGTGTTGGTTGACGTGGCTCTGCAATATCGCATGGACATCGGGGGCAGTCCCACTGGACTGGCAGACCGGGGTGGTGGTTCCCTTATTTAAAAAGGGGGACCGCAGGATGTGTTCCAACTACAGGGGGATCACACTCCTGAGCCTGCTAAGGTCTATTCAGGGGTTCTGGAGAGGAGGGTCCGTCGGATTGTTGAACCTCAAATTCAGGAGGAACAATGTGGTTTTCATCCTGGCCGTGGAACACTGGACCAGCTCTATACCCTTAGGGGGTCCTGGAGGGTGCATGGGAATTTGCCCAACCAGTCTACATGTGTTTTGTGGATTTGGAGAAGGCGTTTGACCGTGTCCCTCGGGGGGCCCTGTGGGGGGAACTCTGGGAGTATGAGGTACCAGGCCCTCTATGGGCTGTTAGGTCCCTGTATGGCCGGTGTCAGAGCTTGGTCCGCATTGCCGGCAGTAAGTCGGGCTTGTTCCCAGTGAGAGTTGGACTCCGCCAAGGCTGCCCTTTGTCACCGATTCTGTTCATAACTTTTATGGACAGGATTTCTAGGTGCAGCCAAGGTGTGGAGGGCATCCGTTTTGATGGCCTGAGGATCAGGTCTCTGCTTTTTGCAGATGACGTGGTCCAGTTGGCTTCATCAGAACGTGATCTTCAGCTTTCGATGGAGCAGTTTGCAGCCGAGTGTGAAGCAGCTGGGATGAGAATCAGCTCCTCTAAATCTGAGACCATAGTCCTGATTCAGAAAAGGGTAGAATGCCTTCTCCGGGTCAGGGATGAGGTCCTGCCCCAAGTGGAGGAGTTTAAGTATCTCAGGGTCTTGTTCATGAGTGAGGGAAAACTGGTGCGTGAGATCGATAGGCGGACTGGTGTTGCATCTGTCGTGGTGAAGCAAGAGCTGAGTCAAAAGGCGAAACTCTCGATTCACCGGTCGATCTACGTTCCTACCCTCACCTATGTTCATGAGCTTTGGGTAGTGACCGAAAGAACAAGATCACGGATTTAAGCGGCCGAAAAGAGTTTTCTCCACTGAGTGGCTGGGCTCTCCCTTAGAGATAGGGTGTGTTACTCCTCTCGAGTTCATTCAAGGCTCAAAATCGTTCTTGGGTTTCAACAGCCATTTATTGCGGACAACACGTCTTACAATGTCCATGAATGCCAATAAATGCCGTCAGAACTAAGAAAAGAAAAGCAATCTTTAATTAGCTGACACGAAATATAACCAGTTTACATGAAGCACTCATGAAATAAACAGTAAAATAGTACCTCATTGGCCGCATTAACTCCAGAGGAATAGTAAAAATCTTCTTCAGCTTCTTCTTGTGGAAAGTTCAGTCTCTTGCAGACATGCCAGGCGTGTGTGGCTCTGAGTGTGCCAATTAACTTTACTCGTAAGAAACAGTGCAGCACATGGAACAAAAAATAGGTTCCCCCTCACATTTTAATGTTTTTAACAAAATTAATTCAAGAAGAATTTACTGAAGTATTGTCTATTTATTTATTGAACATTTTAGTATGAATTACTATCTATTTGTTGATATTTTTAACTGAATTTATTTATAATAAACAAAATATTTCAGAGCTGTCTCAATGGCAGCTACAATCCCACCAAATCACTTGTGATTTCTTATTCTGTCTACACTGACTCCAATAATGTAACTTTTATGAATAGGTCTGTTTAGATGCACTGATTTATTTACTCTCCTTCCATGGTCGTCCAACGCAGAATCACTGACCAATAGCTCACCTTGCGCACACATCCATCTTCACTTGGATACACTGCTGTGACCCTTGAAAGTTTCCAGTCATTTCCAGGTGCCGTATCATCCTTGATGATTACTGTCACTGACTTTAGCGTTTCTCCTTGTTTTCTGCCATTTTTGTCTCTGCTGCTGACCCAAGAAATATTCCTTTCTCCAGAATTCATTGGCCAAATGCTGCACTCTACGCCATCGCTTGCAAAAGCACAAATCTTCCTTTCTAAAGTCTCCTGGTGGTGGTAATACAACCGATGACTTCATGGTCAAGAGAAGGTTGGGGTAAGCAGTGGAGGTCCAGTAGGATCACTGAGCAGGTGTGAAGTGATAGGTCGACTGTTTACTGTTGTCATGATCTCATAAAGGTAGGTCCTTAATGATGAACAGTCCAGTGTTTGGGATGACTGATCCAAAATGGATGACAGCACACTTCTGATTGTGCGGATTTGTCTCTCCCAGGTTCAGCCCGTATGGCTGGCAGAAGGAGGATTCATTACAAATTCACTGCCTAATTTCTTCAAGCTTTCTTGATCCATTTCTTTTACTGCTTCCACGAACTCTCTGTTTGCCCCAACAAAATTAGTTCCCTGGTCGCATCGCAGCTGACGCATGTTTCCGCGTAGGGCAATAAAGGCACGAAGTGAGTTGAGAAAACAGTCACTTGACAGATCATCGAGTAGTTCGATATGTACTGCCCGAGAACATAGACACGTGAACAGCAGTCCATAGAGTTTCAGCTGCTTGTGTAGGTTCTACCAGCATGACTGCTCATAGTTTTGATGACAACCTGCAGAATTGTTCAGTTAATGAGCTGATGAGTATGTTGATGACACACTTGGAAAATTTGCCCAAAGAGGGTGAGAAAGCCCCCGCGACCCGACTCAGATGGATGGATGCAGAAAGAAAGGGGCAAATAACCGCTGCACAATATTAGATCATTAGTACATTATCCTGTTCTCCTCTCCTGTGGCGGAGGAGCATTACGTACCACTGAGCCTGTAGCTTATTTAAAATGATCAGTTAAAAACATAAGCATACAGGTAAAAATGCAAAGAAGGTCCATAATGGGGGGAAAAACGTAAGTCAATGGACAAAGTTGGAGCATAAGAAAATAAAATGCGAGGGGAAAGTCGTACGGACAAGATGCACGCTCAACTAATTTAATCTGACCGAATGCTTGTGTGTGATGACCGGATAATTTCAGTTAGTGTCCATGTAAGCAGAGTTTTGGGATTTCCAATCAACCAAGATTTTAGTATGAAAACGTAGCTATTGAGTAGATAGGTTTCACTTTTGGTTTTACTAACTTGACACTAGGGGGTGCTAAAAGCAAGCCAAAACTGCATAGTATCCATTTAAAGTCATTTCTAAATCATGAGAATTTTAAAACGTTTTCCTCATTCTGACATTTGACATTCTGAAAGAGAGGAGATGTAGCTGAAGAGCCTGGTGTATAATATGTGTATGGTATGTAAAGGTTGTGTCATTGAAAGACTGATAATATTAATATTAAAAATCCATAATAATAATAATAATAATAATGAGCAGCACAGTCTTCTCCATAGACTCTCAGAGAAAAGACAGCTCTACTGTTTCTCCTCCACAAAGTGATAAACTGCACATGTGTGTGAAGAACCAACTTCATCTTACTAATGCATGTTTGGACACAAAGCAGAAAAATCTCCCTGCCAGTGGCGTGAGCTCGGAAATGAGGACTGATTCTGAGATGATGGCATCCATCAAACAGAAAACCCTGCCGTGGCGTTGTGTCTATTTCCCTGGCATCGGCTGCGCTACACGCTCCTGCTAAAACGCCACTCACTATCAATTACTGGCTGACACTCGCCCCGCAGCCAGAGTGGGGAGACGGCTTAGAGTTACGGCTCTGACTGGAATTTTAAGCGGGATCCTGTTAAGGAGCAGGAGATGGGAAAGTTAACGTTGAGGGATATCCTGTGATGTTGTGAACGCCGTGAGCGATCAAAACCATTAATGAATTTTAACAAAATAAAAACAAAAACATTGTGAGGTTTTCCTTGGAACGATGAGGGAAAACTATAAAGGAAGCTCAGTGGCCTGCATGGATCTCAGAGTTGGAGCTGATTATGGAAATTCGACTTATTTTTCAGCTGAAATGTAAATGCGGAGTCTGAGACAGCAGCAGAATATAATGCATTTCCTATAATGACTTCCAGAAGCCTCAAAGCCTGAAACGTCAGATTTATGGCGTTGTCCGCGTATCATTGCCAGCTGATTGATGAGGATGACTTAGCCTAACAGCAGCGGCCCTCTGAGCCACTCGTACATCACGCTCCCCACGTTAACTAATGATCAGCGGGTGGACATCTTGGTGAGATAATCCATCATGTGGTGATGGAAGCACATGCATGATGGGGACAGATCATGAGCATATGGGCCTCGCCGTGTTGCACTTACACGGTGTGGGTGAGCTCTTGAGGTCTCTCGGCCTGCTCAGGGAACACAGGATGGGGCGGCTCTCCAATCGGGACGCAGCCCAGAGATTTACTGATGGCGTGGCTCAGCTTTTTGGCCGGAGACTTCTGTGGAGGGGACAAAAGCAGAGTTGTCACCAAGCATGCTGTGTGGTGTCTAAATAAGTGGCTGGTTCTGCAAGTTGAGCTATACTGCTTCTACAGCAGTTTCACTGGTCAGAAATACAAATTACCCACCCAGTGCAGTTCAAACGAGAGATTTTCTCATGTCAATAATAGATGTGCTAGGGAAACGCTTCAGCCAGGAAACATGACTGTAGCTCCTTTAAATCGTGGTTGGCCAATTTTAAACGATAAAATGATTTACTGAACTTTATTTAATCTCCGTAGTTTGCTTATGTAAACTCAAAAGTTCAGCTTGTTTTGTGTCTAAATTAATTCTATTTGTTGTCAGAAAATATGTTTTTCATGGCAACTGCATGAAAATGTACCAAAACTCCATTCAACTCAAAAAATACAAGATGTATGATCTGTCCATTCATCTATCCATCCATCTATCCATCTATCTATCCATCTATCTATCCATCTATCTATCCATCTATCCATCTATCCATCTATCCATCTATCTATCCATCTATCTATCTATCTATCTATCTATCTATCTATCCATCCATCCATCCATCCATCCATCCATCCATCCATCCATTATCTATCTATCTATCTATCTATCTATCTATCTATCTATCTATCTATCTATCTATCTATCTGTCTGTCTGTCTATCTATCCATCCATCCAATAATCCATCCATTCATCCATCTATCCATCCATCCAATAATCCATCCATCCATCTATCCATCCATCCTTCAATACATCCATCCATATTCTGCTGTTTATCCAAGGCTGGGTTGGGGGATTAACAAGCTCAGGGGGGAAGCCTAGCTCCCCCTGATGGATCTTGAGGTGTTTCCAGACCAGAGAGGCTATGTGATCCCTCTACAGAGTTTTGGATATGTCCTGGAGTCTCCTCCCGGTGGAAAAAAACAGGAAAACCTCCAGAAGGAGGCGAGCGTGAGTCATTCTGATCAGATCCTCCAGTCACCTCCATATGACTCATTTTGGTGTGGATCTCTGCAGCTGATCTCAGACACTTTCCAGCTCATTTCAGTCACTTTTATCCTTTTATCTTGGGTGCCACCATCACTCCAGTCAGAGATCTGAGGTCAGTTTGTCGCTGTCATTGTGTCCTTGGGCAAGAGACTTAACCCCCCTTGCCTGCTGGTGGTGGTCGGAGTGACCAGTGGTGCCAGTGCTCAGCAGCCTCACCTAAGTCAGTGCTCCCCAGGGCAGCTGTGGATGCAATGTAGCTCATCCCCACCAGGGTGTGAATGTGTGTGTGTGAATAGGTGAATGACTGATTGTGTTGTAAAGCACCTTTGGGTGTTCAACGACTCTGGAAGGCGTTATATCAAATACAGGCCATTTGCCTTCCAGGATCATTTGTTTTGGTCTAAATCTCACTACCACAGGTGAGGTTTGAACAGGTAAAACGAGACCTTTGCCTCACAGACTCGCTCCCAGACCAGAGGTTCTGGTCAAAAACCAGCGTCAAATGTTTGAAGGTGTTAATTATTATCATAAAACCACAGCAGTCCTTTTGTCAGTCATCAAGCCCATCTGATGGTCATATAAACTGAATGTAAACCATAGAATTCACTGCCTAGGACTGCTAAACCTGCAGTATCTTTAATGGCCAGCAGGGGACGACTGAATAAAGAATATCAGGTTTGAAAGCTGGGTGGTCAGAAAAACCCACACATGCATGGGGAGAACATGAACTCCACACAGAAAGACTGCAGCCGGGATTTGAGCCTGCAACCTTCTTGCTGAGAGGCAAAGGCACCAGCATGCAGCTCCTACAGGATGTGACATAAATAATTCAGGATTTTGTGTTAAATTCATTCAGGCATGTAATGCTGAAGCCAAATTAATGTATTTGAGACTCACTTCACTTCCCTTGTTTCAGTTTAAAAAAGAACGATTGAGCAACAAGGCGACATGTCATCTTGAGTCAAAACCCTTTCATTCCCAGAGTGATCAAGTTCCTCGTCTCTGAGAGATGTTGAGTTGTAAGAGCAGGAAGAATCTGCCAGACATGTCTTACCCAGGACGAGTGTTCCTTCATCTGGTGCTGGTTGCTATGGGGACCATTGGCATGACCACGCCAGAAGCAGCTCTGACAAAGCTGGTAGCCGTGGCACTGTTGGCACCGGTACCGGAAGCCCATCATGCTCTCACTCCGGCAATAAGAACATTCCACCGGATGGAAGACTGAAACACAAAAAAATCTAGATCATATTCTTTCTTTTTTTTTTTTTTTTTTTTTTTTTTTAACCTTTGAGCAAAGTAGTCTTATTTTTTTCAGGCTTTATTTTGAATTAATAAAAATATATTTATGTTTCATAAATTGTTTTCTTGCATCTTAGAGCATCTTTAAATACGTTCAGAAACAGACAAACAAAAATTATAATTATGAAGTTGACTCGATTTTTCTGGACATGCTACAGATCCTAGCTCTGTCTAATTAAGCAGGAATTTCTGGGAAATTTGTGGTAATGAAATAATTTTTTATACATAACGATTGTACAAACCACAATGCAGGGGCGGCGTTAGGCCCGGCTACTTGGGCTGAAGCCCCGGATGTTCTATGAAAAGCCCCGGATCTAAATCGCGGAAGTAACATGCAGTACCAAAGTCCAACAGAGAGGGAGCAGCTAGCAGTAGTTTGTATACAGCCTGCCTGAGCCTCCACCACTGAAGAAGAAGCCCTTCAGCAGCCGGCTTCTTCTACAGTCTCTGCCTGAAACGCATGAGTGAAGATGGACATAAGGACGTTTTTTAGACAAAAAGTACAACGACAGAACCCCAGCTTTGATGAGACTGGTGTTGACTCAGGTTTGTGAGTCTTATTTGAAAATATTTGTTGTGCTGCTGGTTTGCCTAAAGTTAGCTTACTATCAGGTAAAGTGGTTGGGGAAAGAAAGGGAATATTTACTATCATCTCACACTAAACACTAACAGGAACAATACTCTGCCCTGAGAATGCTTAATATGTAGCTTCAGATTAAAAATTATGTGGTACAAGACATATATGATGTTGACTAGTGCGTGTCACGTGTGTGTGCGTGTGCGTGCGTGCGTGCGCGCGTGTGTTCGCAGGCGCGTGTGTGTGCGTGTGTTAAGCCCCGGATGTTCTTCAGTTCTTAATCCGCCCCTGCCACAATAGATGCTTTCAGAGTCATTTTTAATTGTTTTTTGCTATATTGTTTTTCCCAATTAGCATTAATCTGCATTTCTATAAACTGAGGTTGTTCAAGGATCTGTCAATACCAGGTAAGATTAAAGTATTTTGACTGTATTTAGTTCTTGTAAGTCAATAAATCATTCACTAAAGAGAAAATCTAAAACATATCAAGACGTTTACATAAAATAATAAACAACATAGCCTTATTTATTAATATTGTTAGTATAAAGATTGATTACTTTTTGTACATTCATACTGAAAAAATGTATTTGCACGTTTTTAATTTATAAATTTCAAGTCATCTGAATTTGTTGTAGCTCCAGACTTGTGAATCTTTACTGGAGATGTGTAAACGTACCATTTTCAACATTGGCAAGTCGGTGCATGAGCGGTAGCCAGACAAGACACTGAGGAGGAGGATCTGCCATCAACACATCCAAAAAGATGTTCAAAATGATCTTCTTCTAGATGCAAACACACAGACCTGGGTTCAGCAAGATGCACACTGAGATTCACAAGTGACTAATAATCCCTGAGAGTCCGTCTCCTACCTGCTGGGGGAAGCACATCCGCACTGAATGCTCCGTGTATCCAAACGAGGGGCCCTCAAACACAGCTGTGGGGAGCTTCAACACCTCCCGGAGGAATTGGTCGAACTTAGCGAACACCATGACTCCACTTGAGTCGGAGATCTGGGAGAAAATATCTAAAAGGAATACAGTGTCAGAGGTTTTAATTATATTTCTGTGGGTGAAAGCTGTTGACCCCTTGACCTCAACAATTAGAATCCATATGTATCTGATAGGTGTACAACCCTGAGCATTCTCTTCACAAGACTGTCCGACAACGGAAGAGTGTCTTCAGTCAGAGGCTTCTTCAGTTTCACTGCAACACTGACCGCTACTGGAGATCCTTCCTGCCAACAGCCATTGTAATATACAACAACTCTTTGACGACTTGATTATTATTATTATTATTCTGAGCTACTACAGCAATCAATTTGCCTCTGGGATTAATAAAGTATTTTTGAATTTGAATTGAATTGAATGTAATGCATATGTTCCACTGCCACCCCCTTGTGTTGTATTTCAGCTAGTGCACAAGAACTAAAAACTGTCTAATAGTTGATAGCATGCAAAAGTTAGCTCACTTTACTGAGAATTAAATCTAACTCACAGCGCAGTTTGTCCACGATTTTTCCTCCACACATGGTCGCCAGCATGGATTTCATGGAGAAAACGGTCAGCTTTCCGTGGCTTTCACTGCAGGTTCAAGAGATGCCACCAAATAAATTAAACCAAGAAGAAAGAATGTTTTTATTATTTTGCGCGTTAAATTCTAATAAAGTAATAATGAAGCTAGGTTATACATATCTGTAAATACATGTTTATGTGTTGTGAATAATGATGTAATGTGTGTGTGTGTGTGTGTGTGTGTGTGTGTGTGTGTGTGTGTGTGTGTGTGTGTGTGTGTGTGTGTGTGTGTGTGTGTGTGTGTGTGTGTGTCCATTTGCAAACTGGTCTAAAGAACAAATGAACAGGTTTTATTCAAACCCTAAAAACAAAATCTACAGATTTTCATCTTCAACTGATGCACTCCCGTATGGAGCAAGGATTGGGACAATATTACATGTAACTTGTACAAAGTTCTGTAATTTGTAACATGTTTTGTAACTATAACTTTTATTTTGTAACACATAATACTCGTTTTGTAACTCATTTTGAACTTCTATTTTGTAAAATGTAATTCTTATTATGCAACACATAACTTTCATTTTGTAGCATGTAGTTCTCGTCATTGGTTCCTTGGGAAGGAAGATGGAATTGGGACAAAAAGTTTTGTACATGTAGACTTGAGTTTTGTAACGGTGTGCTGAGATGTGTGTTTTGAGAGTTGTCATTTAAAACTTGTACTGAATGAAAGTTTCATGTTAGTTCCGAAAGTTACATTTTACAAAACAAGAATTACATGCTACTAAACCAAAGGTACATGTTACAAAACAAGAATTAAATGCTACAAAAACAAATTTATATGCTACAAAACAAGAATTACATGCTACAAAACCAAAGTTACATGTTACAAAACAAGAATTACATGCTACAAAACCAAAATTATATGTTACAAAACAAGAATGACATGCTACAAAACCAAAGTTACATGTTACAAGACAAGAATTACATGCTACAAAACCAAAGTTACATGTTACAAAACAACAAATGCATGCTACAAAACCAGTTACATGTTACAAAACAAGAATTAAATGCTACAAAACCAAAGTTACGTTACAAAACAAGAATTACATGCTACAAAACCAAAGTTACATGTTACAAGACAAGAATTACATGCTACAAAACCAAAGTTACATGTTACAAAACAAGAATTACATGCTACAAAACCAAAGTTACATGTTACTAAACAAGAATTAAATGCTACAAAACCAAAGTTACATGTTACAAGACAAGAATTACATGCTACAAAACCAAAGTTACATGTTACAAAACAAGAATTGCATGCTACAAAACCAAAGTTACATGTTACAAAACAAAAATTACATGCTACAAAACCAAAGTTACATTTTGCAAAAAAAGAATTGCATGCTACAAAACCAAAGTTACAGGTTACAAAACAAGAATTACGTGCTACAAAACCAAAGTTACATGTTACAAGACAAGAATTACATGCTACAAAACCAAAGTTACATGTTACAAAACAAGAATTACATGCTACAAAACCAAAGTTACATTTTACAAAAAAAATTTGCATGCTACAAAACCAAAGTTACATGTTACAAAACAAGAATGACATGCTACAAAACCAAAGTTACATTTTACAAAACAAGAAATAAATGCTACAAAACCAAAGTTACATGTTACAAGACAAGAATTACATGCTACAAAACCAAAGTTACATGTTACAAAACAAGAATTACATGCTACAAAACCAAAGTTACATTTTACAAAAAAAAATTGCATGCTACAAAACCAAAGTTACATGTTACAAAACAAGAATGACATGCTACAAAACCAAAGTTACATTTTACAAAACAAGAAATAAATGCTACAAAACCAAAGTTACATGTTACTAAACAAGAATTACATGCTACAAAACCAAAGTTACATGTTACTAAACAAGAATTACATGCTACAAAATCTCAGATTGAGGAGGAGCAATGTGGTTTTCGTCCTGGCCGTGGAACTGTGGACCAGCTCTATACCCTTGCAAGGGTGATGGAGGGGGCATGGGAGTTTGCCCAACCAATCCACATGTGCTTTGTGGAGAAGGCTTATGACCGTGTCCCCAGGGGCACCCTGTGGGGGACGCTCTAGGAGTATGGGGTGGGTGGCTTTCTGTTAAGGGCCATTTAGTCCCTTTACCAGAGGAGCGTGAGTTTGGTCCGCATAGCTGGTAGTAAGTCGGACCTGTTCCTGGTGAGGATTGGACTCCGCCAGGGCTGCCCTTTGTCACCGGTTCTGTTCATTACCTTTAAGGACAGAATTTCTAGGTGCAGTCGTGGAGTGGAATGTGTCGAGTTTGGTGGCAGGAGAATCTCGTGTCTGATTTTTGCGGATGATGTGGTCCTCCTAGCTTCATCCAGCTCTGACCTTCAGCTCTTGCTGGGTAGGTTCGCGGCCGAGTGTGAAGCGGCTGGGATGAGGATCAGCACCTCCAAATCTGAGACCATGGTTCTCGACCGGAAAAGGGTGGTTTGCCAACTCCGGGTTGGGAGAGAGGTCCTACCTCAAGTGGAGGAGTTTAAGTATCTCGGGGTCTAGTTCACGAGTGAGGGTAGGAGGGATCGGGAGATCGACAGGCGGATTGGTTCGGCATTTGCAGTGATGCAGACGCTGAGCCGATCTGTTGTGGTGAAGAGGAAGCTGAGCCAGAAAGCCAGGCTCTCAATTTACCGGTGGATCTACGTCCCAATCCTCACCTATGGTCATCAGCTTTGGGTAATGACCGAAAGAACGAGATTGCGGTTACAAGCGGCCGAAATGAGTTTCCTCCGTAGGGTGGCCGGGCTCAGCCTTAGAGACAGGGTGAGGAGCTCGGACATTCGGGAGGGACTCGGAGTAGAACTGCTGCTCCTCCGGATCGAAAGGAGTCAGTTGAGGTGGTTTGGGCATCTGGTCAGGATGCCTCCTGGACGCCTCCCTGGGGAGGTGTTTCGGGCATGTCCTGCCAGCAGGAGACCCCCGGGTCAACCCAGGACACGTTGGAGAGGTTACATCTCCAATCTAGTCTGGGAAAGCCTTGGGGTCCTGCCGGAGGAGCTGGTGGAGGTGGCCGGGGAGAGGACGGTCTGGAGCTCCCTAGTTGGGATGCCGCCTCCGCAACCCAGATCCGGATAAGCGGAGGAAGACGACGACGACAAAACCAAAGTTACATGTTACAAAACAATAATTACATGCTACAAAATCAAAGTTACACGTTACAAAACGAGAATTACATGCTACAAAACCAAATGTATATGTTACGAAATGAGAATTACATGGTACTAAACCAAAGTTACATGTTAGAAAACGAGAATTACATGCTACAAAACCAAAGTTACATGTTAGAAAACGAGAATTACATGCTACAAAACCAAAGTTACATGTTAGAAAACGAGAATTACATGCTACAAAACCAAAGTTACATGTTACAAAACGAGAATTATATGCTACAAAATCAAAGTTACATGTTACAAAACGAGAATTACATGCTGCAAAACCAAATGTATAGGTTACGAAATGAGAATTACATGCTACAAAACCAAAGTTACATGTTACAAAACAACAATTACATGCTACAAAACCAAAGTTACATGTTACAAAACAACAATTACATGCTACAAAACCAAAGTTACATGTTACAAAACGAGAATTACATGCTACAAAATCAAAGTTACATGTTACAAAACAAGAATTACATGCTACAAAACCAAATGTATATGTTACGAAACGAGAATTACATGCTACAAAACCAAAGTTACATGTTACAAAACAAGAATTACATGCTACAAAACCAAAGTTACATGTTACAAAACAAGAATTACATGCTACAAAATCAAAGTTACATGTTACAAAACAAGAATTACATGCTACAAAACCAAAGTTATATGTTACAAAACAAGAATTGCATGCTACAAAACCAAAGTTATATGTTACAAAACAAGAATTACATGCTACAAAACCAAAGTTATATGTTACAAAACAAGAATTGCATGCTACAAAACCAAAGTTATATGTTACAAAACAAGAATTACATGCTACAAACCCAAAGTTATATGTTACAAAACAACAATTACATGCTACAAAACCAAAGTTACATGTTACAAAACAAGAATTACATGCTACAAAACAAAGTTATATGTTACAAAACTAGAATAATATGTTACAAAACAAGAGTTATGAGTTACAAAATGTGAATTATATGCTACAAAACAAAAGTTACTGTAACGAAATATGTTACAAGTTAAAACTTGGTACAAGTTACATGTAATATTGTCCCAATCTTAGCTTCATACTCCTTGAGTGAATCTAAACCAATGAGGCTGCCAAAGCTAATCTACCCATTCAGACACCAAAAGCGCCACAACTCAGTCAATTTTTCAGATACTGAGCTAAGATCTGGTGTGATGAGGGTTCTCCCCAACACTCACTCAGACCACTACACAGTAAGTGAAACATTAATGTAGAACTTCTGTATTATACATTGAAGTCAAGCCCATTTGTCAACAAAGTATCCCAAGAAGTGCTGGTTGATTTTTAAGAAAACCACAGGAAGCCTTTCCTGGCTGTGTGTGAGGATCTGAGAGTTTTATCAGCCTGGTATCCAACATGGAGCTGCATGGTGGTGCAGTGAGGAGCTTCGCTGCCTAGCAACAAAATGACTCAGGTTTGAATCCTCATGGGGTTTTTGTATGAAGTTAGCGTGTTTTCTCCTTGCATACAAGGGTCTTCTCCGGGGGCTTCTCTTACAGAACAAATCCATGCATGTTTGGGTCCTAGGAGACAGGTGTGTGTGAGTGTATGGAGACAGACCTTAATTCCCCACAACTCTAGGTTTAGATAACAGATAGATGGCAAGTATCCAGTGGCTGCACAAGGAACCTCCAAAACAATGACCATTACCCCATCAAACAGTGAATAACAGCTTCAGATGACATGTTATTTAGTCTATGTGTTGCAGAAATGTGCTTGTCATTATCTATAAACCATCCAAAGTGGTAAAGATTGAGCACCCTTTAATCGTTCATACACAGAACCTATCCTTTTGATCATTATTCCCTTTTGCTTTGCTGTTTCAATGTTTGTGTTTTTGACGTCTCAGTGGTCCCAAACCTGTCATAGGTGGCCACCATGAAGTTGAGCAGCAGCCCGATGGACTGCTCCACGTTGATCTGGTGGGTGGTAGGCAGCCGCTTGTTGAGCTGGTAGTAGATGGAAGACAAAATTGTCTCCAGCCGAGACACGCTGATCTCAGCGTTATGGTCCAACGTGTTGAGCCCGTTGTCACGAAAAGCTTCAATCATGTTCCAGACGTCAACCAGATGGACTGTGAGGAAGGGGGAGAAGGGGGCGGAAAACACTCAGACTGTACTCAGTCCAGACAGTGTTCATGTTTAAACAAATGATTGTGTCATTAAGAGTCTACGTGCTCTTACGGTTGCATCGCTTCTGCACAAACCGGAGTTTACAGGCGGTCCTGTAAGTTGACAGTCTGATAACATCAAAGTTTTGCGCTCCTGAGAAACAAAAACAGTTAAAATATTAACCTAAAGATGTAGAACTGCAACAGATTTCCAACAGAACGCACTCAGATCACCGGTACATTCAAACACGCCTAACTGTCTTCATGTGGGAGGAATCGAATGTGCGAGGGACCACGCATCTTCTGTGCAACTTCAGACCAAAGAGTTCCACGAGCTGACTGAGAAAAAAGATGAGAGCACTCACTCATTTCCATGAAGAGCTGTCTCTTCTCGACCATGGCCTTGCCTCGTTTGCTGCCTTCCTCGATCATTCTGTGGCACATCAAACACCAGAGCATGCAGCGCTTACTGTTCAGACAGCAGAGTGACAGGAAATCCCAAACACAGCCCTTTAAAGGAGCTAAGATACTCAGATGTGATGCAAGAGAGACTCAAATCCTGCCTTAGGAAGGGTTAAATCAACATCAACAATTAACATAGTAGTCATGTTTTATCCTTATAATTTAGCACATTAGTATAATATCACAAGAACTCATTTAAAAAAAAGGGCAGCGATATTTTGCTGAATTTTAAAAATACACATGCTTGTATTTCTGACCCCTTTCAGAGGTTAATCCAGGGGTGGTTCTAGAGGGAGTTCAGAGTGGGTCAGTGCCACCCTGTTAGAAAGCTCGGACCCCCCAACAAACGTGGCCGGAAATGACAAATTTGTCCGTGTTATAAAGTCTCTGAAGTATATAAACACATTGGTAAATTCACTATCGTGAACCGGATACATGAGTGGCAGGATACCACAGAAAAGCGCTACGCCCTCTGTTGTCCTGGTGGGGAATTGCTTAGCAACACTCCGCTGCCTGCACAGAAGTTCACATGTGAAAACCTTTCCAACTCTCTGTGTGGGTCTCTCTGTTGCGGAGCTCACAGAGATGTATAAATCATGCTAGGTGTGTAACAGCTGCAGCTTAGACATCTCATGGGGCTCAAAGGAGATGTACAGTTGGATGTGATCTGCATAAAGATGGTAGGAGATTCCTTTAAAAGAGCTCAGCGTGTGCAGCACGTGACTGCATTTATCTGAATTTGAAAAGAGATGCTCAGACAAACATTTTATTGTTACTGAGATAAATAACTAAAAAAGTATTTAGCACCAAATTGTTAACCTGTATTTTTAAATCTATTGAAAATCTAATCTATCTAAATTAACTAATTTAATATTATTACATTGTAGTAATTAATCGCTAAAATTAGAAGTACTTAAAGTGACTATGTGTATTTTACTTGGCGGTAAGGGCAGTACATACCTAAGTCATTGCAAACAATCTGTATTTTTGTGTTCGAGTGAGACCTAACCAACGGATGGCCATTAGGGTCAAAAATCCCTGGGAGCACAACTTCCAGTAAAATCAAAAGCACATCAGACTCCCTTTCATCACTGGCAACGAGCGAAGAGGTAAATGTGTAAAACAATGTTTACGAATGGTGAAAGTTTTGTAACCACTTGTTACAAATCAGTAAATGTGTTTTGACCTCACAGGCTCCTGTAGAAGGAAACAAGGCCACAGTCTAATATGGTGTCGCCCAGAGACTCGCTTCCATGTATTATAGACCTGATTTTTATGGCTGAATGCCATCAATATTTTTCAAACAACTAGGCATCATTTCATTCAATTTCAACAACATTTTGATGGATATTTCCAGAGATTAATGGTAGAAACTACACTTTGTCACTTTAAAGTAATTTGTTTTGCTTTTTACAACCGTGCTTCTAACAAAGCAATTGGCTACATCCCCCCAGTGTTAGGGATTAATCTTTAACATATTAACTTATTAAAAACCACCCATGTTTGTTTCTGTCCATCTATTAGCAAAGTTTCCATGTTATACATGAAGCAAACAAAACAATTAAATACATTTTTTTAACTGATATTCAGATACTTGATGTTTTTTGTAGGCTGATAAAAACAAAATCAGCATCCATAACGTCATCAGAAAAGATGTTCAGACCTGAGAACAGTTGGCTAATCTGAAACATGTTGAGTAGGAGTGATGCATCATGGGACATGTAGTTTGTCACAGAGTCTGTGGGTGTGATTCACTAACAGACGGATTTACGGCTCAACGTTTGATATTTTTCATCATTCCAATTTAAATATTAAACATTTGCACAGCATTCAAACTTCTTTGGGGAGAAAACGGCTGTAGAATATTTAAAATGTGATCAAATGTTTGGCTTTATTTAAAAATGCAACTGATATTTTATAAACACTGTAAACATGAATTTAACCCTAACCCTTAAACCGCAATTTTGTCAGAAACATTATTTTTTGCCACGTAGCCATGAGACTGTGTATCCAGTTATGGTTCAAATATTTTTCACAACAAATGGAAGCAGAAAATAAAGTAAAATCGTCTATTTTTACCATGTCCCCATCTGTTGGGTATATTTCATTTTTTATAGTGTATCTGTAAAAGAAAATTCTGGTGCCACATGCTTCAGAAGGTTCTCTGTACTTACAAAGCGACTCACCTGCTGCTGATTATCAAGCCTTGAACCCTGTGAAAGAAACATTGAAAAGTCAACATCTTTTTATTTGATGAAAATGACTGTTTAAAAAGAAATTAAAGCTTTTATTTCATCGTTCCTTCAAAAACTCGATTAGGTCTGAGTTTGGGTTTGTGTTTTCCTGCCTCTCCCCATGCGGCGATACCAGGAAGCTGTGCTCGGGAGCCAGCCAGCGCCTGTGGTCTGGGCAACAGATAATTCTCCATGACATCCTGCTCAGCAGTGGCTGCATCCTGTGGCTAATGACAACAGAGCTGCACAGGAACCACCTAATGATGAAGAATGCTAAGCGCATTACGGATGGCCAATGAGTGATGAGCGCTGAATGTCCCTGGGAAAACTTCAAACTACGAGATCCAAACACCAACCCAGTGCCTCACAAGGCAGTCAGCAGAGCGAGACCAAAGAAACGAGAGATGAAACGACACGCTTTGATCAGATCTAATCTGTTTCTCCAAACTGAGGCTGTTCAGGGAGTTAACAGGTTTTTGAAACTTTTACCTGATTTCCAAAGATTAGAACTATCAGGTACCACTTTATAATAAAGCTACGGATTTATGCATGCTTTATGAATAGTTTAATAAAAGTGTCCAAACACCATATAAATCAAAAATTAAAGGTTTGTTAAACAAGAGGCGCTAATGCCCTTTTGGTTTAAGGCTTGTGTTAATTATAACTATTTATATGATGTACTTTTGTGAAATGACATTTAGTTTAATACGAAACTTTTTTGGAGGGATAAATATTCTAGTTGTTTGATGACTGATTTCTTTTTTCCTATTTTTTCTGACAGTTTTTATATTTAAAAAATTGTATTAATTTAAACTTACAAAGACCACAAAGACTGTATTTTCTGCTATTTATTTAATTATTACTGTGTTTCATTAGTGTCTTTGTCTTCCAGCAAAAGTAAACAAATAAACAAAACAGCCCCCAGATGATTGTGTCAGAGGATAACTGTTGTTAAATTTCAATTTAAAACAGGCGTGTCATTAATATCGCTTCGTTATCAAACTGATCACGCTATAAAAAGAACAGAAATCAAAACATCTGGAGCATTTTCAATCAAAACTAAAAGCTCTGGTGCATTTGTTGCAGCGGGAGAAGCATTCAGACTGGTCAGCAGAAATATCAACAATCTATAATCCTAAAACTCATAACCTGGCAGCAAATATTTAGCCTTGCCTATAAATATAAGATCGTGTATTTTTATGAGAGATAAGGAAACAAGTTGTTCTCTTCAGATCAGAGCACATTCAGTTCCCACAGGGAGTCGAGAGCAGTGCAGGAATGTAGCCGACTGTAATTCTCTCATCCACATCAGACACAAATCCATTAAGATCCTTCAAAATAAAAGTGATCTGGCCTGTTAAGGTAGCCGCACCTTCAGCTCGGAGGGATGACGGCATCCTTTGACGCGGATCACAGACTCGGTTACTGCGGTATCTCCTGTCCGTTGATATCACCCACTTCTCTGCTCCTCTCAATCCTCACAAAAAATTAATTAAAAAGAAAACACTCCAAGATCTCTAGGAGGAACCAAACGCTGCCATATTGATGATTTAGCTGCTCTCTTATTTCCGCAGTGGCGTGTTTGATGCTTCCTTTAAAGAAATCTCTGCTGATGGAGAAATCCGGGATTCTTTGAGGATCAGGGTTTGCACCGAGCGAGCTGGCCTTTACCGGAGGAAACGCACGCAGGTTGCGTTAAGAGCATCGTCACCAGCAGCAGCAGATTGGGAGGATGAGTGGTCCGGGATGAATATGAGGAATGTTTCCTGATTCACTCTCACCTCTGATTAATCCACCGACGTTAAAGCTGTCGGGCCGATGAGAAAGGACACGGACCATCCATCGCGCCCCCCGACTCCTCTCCAGTTTCCTTCGCCTTCAACCCCGGTAACTGCGGCTGTGGCCGCACACAGGATCGTAAAAGCTACCCGTTCCGCTCGGCATCATCAGCAAGCCAGCGGCGGAAGACGGCAGCTGCGCGGAGATGCCATGCGCGTCCACCTACTACACTTTACGCATGTGCGCACGGAGCTGAACTATGATCACACTGGCAACACATGAGAAAATATAAAGCACGGCTAAGATGACAAAGAAAAGGCAAAAATCAACAGACTACATTTCCCATAGTGCACCTCACGTGAAAGGTCTTCTCACATTGGCCTAAGTCTAACCACTATTGTTCAATGAGTGAATTTCCACCAATCTGATGAACAAATAATTACTTATCTAAATCATTTTGTTACATTACTGTATGATATATCTTATAATTATGACTTATGAGGTACAATGTCTTATTTGATCAGTAAAGGATCAATTAGAATAATGAAAAAGTTATAGAAGATTTCATCATCTGATGATTTGTCAGAGGATCAAATCAACTGCGTCACCAAAAGGCCTCTACAGAAAGCTGCGTAATGTCTGAGGTAGTTGTGTGTACTGGAGCTCTGCAGGGTACTGTGTTCTCACCCTTTCTATTCACCTTCTACACCTCGGACTTCACCTAAAACACCAGACACACCTCCAGAGGTTTTCAGATGACTCTGCCTTATTTGGCTGTGTGTCTGGGGGAAATTACCTAGAGTACAGGTCAGTCGTCATGGACTTTGTGGACTTGTGTGCGAGTACCTTCGCTTGAACATTAGTAAGACAAAGGGAATGGTGATAGACTCCCAGAGAAACACTCCTCACTCACAGATCCAGGGTGCAGACGTCCAATCCAATTCAATTCAGTTTATTAATTTAGCACCAAATCACAACAAGCATGGTACTTCACACAGTAAACATTCCAATAGTTTATTATGCCAATCAGTAAAAAGTTTCCTAAATAAGCAAACCAGCAAATAGCATTGAGTCACTGACTTTACAGCAATCCTCATACTAAGCAAACATGCAGCGACAGTGGAGAGGAAAACTCCCTTTTAGCAGGAAGAAACCTCCAGAGGATCCTGGCTCAGTATAAGCAGCCATACACCACGACTCACTGGGCATCGAGAAGACAGAGCAGATGCACACACACACACGCACACACACACACACACACACACACACACACACACACACACACACACACACACACACACACAGAGATATGTATATATATATATATATATATATATATATATATATATATATATATATATATATAAACCCTGATGAACCTAATCAAGTAAGTTTGTCTTGAGGACATAAAAAACTTGATGATTTTAAACTTTCTGCCTTTAAATCAAGTGTGTGTGTGTGTGTGTGTGTGTGTGTGTGTGTGTGTGTGTGTGTGTGTGTGTGTGTGTGTGTGTGTGTGTGTGTGTGTGTGTGTGTGTGTGTTGCGAACCTGCGTTGTGATTTTGCACTACTTAGATGTAACTAACTTTTACTTTGAGTACATTTTATTTATGATACTTTTTACTTTTACTTGAGTAAAAATTTAGGCAAGTACTTCTACTTGTACTTGAGTAAAAAATTATCAAAGTATTGGTACTTGTACTTAAGTAGGAACTTTTAGTGATCTTTCCACCTCTAATTATAATAATAAATAAATTAAATAATTAGTGGGCTATTGCCATTTTGTTTTGTTTTTGACATTAATTGCTTTTATTAAAGCTGTGGTCACGACTATCTCTGGGATGGTTGGTTGTGGTTTAGACTGGAGCATGTAATCCAACTTTTTATGTTATTTATGAAGTTGAATTTAAATTGCACAATGCAACTGGTTGACAATTTTGCATTTTCAACTTTACTACTGCCACTTAAGTTCCTTACAGAGAAGAATTACTTTTAACGAGACTTATTCATGAGCTTTCTTTTGTGGCAGTCACATAAATAATGTTTAACCTGCAAAACGACCTTAATTTTAATGACCTTGACCTTGAACAAAGGGGTCAACAAATGCTACATACCTCTGGGAACTCCTTCAACACCGTTGGAAAACCATTTCAGGTGACTACCTCTTGAAGCTCATCAAGAGAATGCCAAGAGTGTGCAAAGCAGTAATCAGAGCAAAGGGTGGCTATTTTGAAGAAAATAGAATATAAAACTTTTTTTTTTTCAGTCATTTCACCTTTTTTGGTTAAGTACCTTCAGTGAAAAGCTGCCAATGTAAATGGTCATGCAAATACAGACAACACATTGAATGAGAAGGTGGGTCAAAACTTTACTCAGGACACTAACCCCCAAACTGGAGGAGTGGCTAAAGCAGATCCCAGGAAAAACATCAGACATCTCAGTCCAGAAAAGTGCAGATAGGAACAGCTAAGATACTGCAGACCCCTCAAGCTCCCAGGCCTGTGGTAGAGGACCTGAGCTTGGAAGGATGAGACCACCAGTGGATGGTGAGATGGGAATATATATATATATATATATATATATATATATATATATATATATATATATATATACATACAGTTGTGGTCAGAAGTTTACATACACTTGTAAAAAATATAATATAATGGCTCTACTGAGTGTCCCGTTATTTCTAAAACTCTGATTTTTCTCTGATAGAGTGATTGGAACAGATACTTCTTTGTCACAAAAAACATTCATGAAGTTCGGTTCTTTAATGTCTTTATTATGGGTTAACAGAGAAAAGTGATCACATTTGCTGGGTCACAAATATACATACAGCAACATGAACTAGCAATTTAGGTGACTTAGAAACGTGTCAGTGAACTGAGCTTCATAGCATGGCCTCTTAACTTCTTGTGAGTGATTATGAGTGACTACAGCTGGTGACTTCTCTTAGGCCAGGTAAATAGGGCTCATTGGATACAAACGCCCACAAACGCTACAATGGGAAAGTCAAAGGAGCTCAGCATGGATCTGAAAAAGCGAATTATTGACTTGAACAAGTCAGGAAAGTCACTTGGGGCCATTTCAAAGCAGCTGCAGGTCCCAAGAGCAACAGTGCAAACAATTGTTTGTAAATATAAGGTGCATGGCACTGTTTCATCACTGCCAAGATCAGGAAGAAAACGCAAGCTATCACCTGCTGCTGAGAGAAATGTGGTCAGGAGGGTAAAGAGTGAACCAAGAATCACCAAAAAGCAGATCTGCCAAGTATTAGAAGCTGCTGGAACACAGGTGTCATTGTCCACAGTCAAACGTGTTTTGCATCTCCATGGACTGAGAGGCTGCCGTGCAAGAAGGAAGCCCTTGCTCCAAAAGTGGCACCTTAAGGCTTGACTGAAGTTTGCTGCTGATCACATGGACAAAGATAAGACCTTCTGGAGGAAAGTTCTGTGGTCAGACGAAACGAAAATCGAGCTTTTTGGCCACAATGCCCAGCAATATGTTTGGAGGAGAAAAGGTGAGGCCTTTAACCCCAAGAACACCATGCCTACAGTCAAGCATGGTGGTGGGAATTTTATGCTGTGGGGCTGTTTTGCTGCCAATGGAACTGGTGCTTTACAGAGAGTAAATGGGATAATGAAGAAGGAGGATTACCTTCACATTCTTCAACATAACCTAAAATCATCAGCACGAAGGTTGGGTCTTGGGCGCAGTTGGGTGTTCCAACAGGACAATGACCCCAAACACACATCAAAAGTGGTAAAGGAATGGCTAAATCAGGCTAGAATAAGGGTTTTAGAATGGCCTTCCCAAAGTCCTGACTTAAACCCCATTGAAAACATGTGGACAGTGCTGAAGAAACAAGTCCATGTCAGAAAGCCATCAAATTTAACTGAACTTCACCAATTCTGTCAAGAGGAGTGGTCAAAGATTCAACCAGAAGCTTGTGGATGGCTACCAAAAGCGCCTAATTGAAGTGAAAATGGCTAAGGGACATGTAACCAAATATTAGCACTGCTGTATGTATATTTGTGACCCAGCAAATGTGATCACTTTTCTCTGTTAACCCATAATAAAGACATTAAAGAACCAAACTTCATAAATGTTTTTTGTGACAAAGAAGTATCTGTTCCAATCACTCTATCAGAGAAAAATCAGAGTTTTAGAAATAACGGGACACTCAGTAGAGCCATTATATTATATTTTTTTACAAGTGTATGTAAACTTCTGACCACAACTGTATATACATATATTTGCTGTCAAGCAACTTCAGTCCTGCTCAAACACATAAAAGCGTTCATCATTTTGAGAAGTTTAACCCTTCAAATGCCACATAGGGTCATGAGGACAAGAATGAGAATGAGGACAGTAATTCTTGAAATTTCAATAGATCACCAGGATCTCTTGTTTTGCGCCGTTTCCGTTCCGCAGCTCTAAGATTAGTGCGTAGAGACCGGAGGGTATCATTTAGCCAAGGGTGCGACTGAGAGGATCTAGCAGGTATAGTGGCTAAAGGACACAAGTTATTAAGACAAGAGCAGAGTGTGGAGCACAGTGACTCGGTGGTTTCATTCAATTCATAAGCAGAGAATGTGCTGGGAGATGGAAGAGTGGAGGCAACAAGAGAGAAGTGGTTGGGTGCCAGATTGCGGAGGTTGCGGCGGAATGAGACCATTGGGGAGGAAGCAGTGGACCTCCCTTGTAGAGTCGTGCTGAATTGGATGAAGTAATGATCCGAAAGATGCAGCGGTGTGACAGAGATTGTGTCTATGGCAGTTTCTGGTGAAAATGAGGTCAAGTGCTTTTCCAGATTTGTGAGTTGGAGGAATTTGTACTAGTTTTAAATCAAATGATGACATTAGTGACAGGAAGCCTGATGAGCTGGGACTGTCCACGTGAATATTCATGTCTCCAAGGACCATTGTGGGACAGTCGTGCTCAGGAATGGAGGAAAGCAGGGTGTCGAGTTCATCAAGAAAGTCTCCGAGTTGACCTGGTTGTCGATATATGACAACCAAAAAGATTTTTTTCGGTACAGTCACCTGGATGGCATGGTATTCAAAGGAGTTGTATTTAGTGATGGGTAGCAACTGACTATATATCCATTTACTGGAAATTAACATGCCCATTCCACCACCTCAGCCAGATGCACGTGAAGCGTGGGAGAAAGTGTGGTTAACTGAGAGAGCAGATGGGGTAGCATTGTCACATGGTTTGATCCAGGTCTCAGTGAGAGCCAGTGCATCAAGTGACAGGTGGTTTGCATATGCGGTAATGAAGTCAGCTTTGTTTACAGCTGATTGGCAGTTCCAAAGTCCCATAGACAGATGGATGTCTTCGGGGGGAGCTGGTTTTAGCGAGCGGAGGTTTTGAAGGTTGCGAAAGCGGTTTGCTGTGCGTGACCTTCCTCTGAAGCTAGTGATCACAGGCATAGGATAATGGCACATTTTGCTAGGTGTTGAAGGAGCAGTGTCTGGGTCCATTAAAAAAAATTTCCATTGAATGAATGGTTTTAAAAAAATCTCCCAACTTCTCTATCAATATTGACGACTCCACAGTTCACCCATCCTTACAGGTAAAAAGTCTTGGTGTCATACTAGATGGTACACCTTCATTCCAATCTCACATTAACCATGTTACTCGAGTCGCATATTACCATCTTCGCAATATCAACAGACTCCGTCCTTTTCTCACGCCTCATGCTGCTGCAATCCTCGTTCATAGTCTCATCACCTCTCGCGTTGACTACTGTAATTCCCTTCTATTTGGTCTCCCAACTAAATCCCTTCATAAACTCCAACTTCTCCAGAACTCTGCAGCACGCATCATTACTGGGACCCCGTCAAGAAATCACATCACTCCTGTTCTTAAAAACCTACACTGGTTGCCAACAGAACATCATTCTCAAAAGCTGACGTAACTTTTTTATCACAGAAGATGAATCAAGCTACTCTCAAGTTTTAATATGTCCAACAGTGAGTATGTTCTGCTAAAAAAAAACATTGTGTTTTAATATTTATTTATACAATAGTCGATGATTCTTTTGATAAAATACATTTTGTTTACAAGTGCAGATTACTATGTTACATTCACTGGAATTTTATTGGAGGCAAAATGAGACAGAAACAAACGAATAGCTGGAGAAGGTGGCGATCATTCACAATAACCACTCAGCCAAATGCATAAAAACAGCTCGTTTCAGTAATAGCAGGGACTGCTGCCACTGGACACGTAATTCAGTCATCAACAAAAGATTTCAGCTGCCTTTCCTGAAGTGCATTCCAATCCCAAAGTCCACACGAGTGAATACAGCATCTTCGGATCACATTCAGCCAAATCACGAGAAATCAACAATATCATCAACAGAAATCAACATATTAACATATTAAATTTCAACAAACAACATCCTCCACTTTAATAATAAAATAAAATTTAATGGACCCCTTAGAAAGCACACTTTGTTTTTGATGACACACACATAATAAACCAGTGGGCTGATTAAAGCCGTCCATTATGTTTCTATGTATGGTGCACGTCCCACTCGACACAAAACTATAGAAAACATGGACAAGTTAATAAATTACTACAGTAAATACCCTGTTGATTTGTCAAAAAGAGAGAAAAAACGCTAATAGATCTTTATATCAAAATATATTAATTAAAATATATTACTATGACTTAACTTGTGTGAAATGATAAACAACTTCTGATTATCCGTTTTCTCTAAGGTGACTTTGGCATGTTGCCTTTAAAGTAACTACCATAATAAACGGGAACATTTCTGCACCGTTTGGAGATTTAAAAACTCATTTCATTAGTCTTTATTTTTCTTGAGGTAACGATTTCACGCTGACCGTTTCTGAGAGGGAATTGGGTAAACTGAGCCCATGCTGTGTTATATTATCACAGTGAAAACAACAGAGGGTTCCCTGCGCCGCATGTGCACAACATTACGTGGCATAAATGGGATATTAAAAAACTGGGGCTTAAAAAGGCTGAAACCACCTTAAAATGGAAGAAAATAACAGTATATTTTACACTGGAAGAAGTGAAGTGTTATTAATCTGATTTATCGTACCTCGTGATGCTTTTACTAAATCAAGCGTGCCGTGCAGAAAACTTCCAATATCATTTACTACTTTAGCATAAAAACTCCTTTTCCACCATTTTTCTCCACACGCTCAACAAGACCGTTGCAATAAAAGCTGCTTAAGGAAGGTGGTTTTGCACAAAGTTAGGCAAATAACAATTATTTACAAATAATAAACAAATATGTCTTCATTTTTTCCCAATGACATTATTTAGTCACTACCATGGCTGATCGATCTATAAAAACACAAGATATAGAAAAAATATCTACAAAAACGGCTCTTAGTCCAGAAAAAAAGCAGGTTTGAACAGTAGAAGTTTACTTAAGACCTTTATCTGATATGGAAACATGTGTTTACCAAAAGGAAAGGTTATATATAAATACGTTTTTTTTCTTTACACGTCTGAATTTTAGCGCCGTTTTCGGCTTCTACCTTTTATCTAAGGGGGTTCAAGTGCTTTGGCATATTTCCTTGACGTCATGATGTGCAATCACTGATTAGAGAATATACTTTACTGATAAACTATACATCTTTTTAAATACATCTGTTCTGTAATAATGTACCTGTTAACATAAAATAGTTGCTCTTCCCTGCCATTTATGCATAAATCCCTAACAGGAGGTCCTCACAACCCATGATTATCATTCGTGCCCTTTTGTGACGCTAAACGTGACCCATTTGATCCGATTATTAAACTAAAAAGAAAGAAGAGGTTCAGTCTCGACGTATAACAGTCATAAAGATCCAAAAAAACAGCAACAATCATTTTCCCTCATTGTTAAAAACAAATTCATTAAAAGCCGGTTCTGGTCTGACAGGCGAGTAAACGGATTAGAAACTTGTTGGCATTTCTAGTTTTTAATTTAAAAACGTTAGTGGATAAAAACAAGATCATCCAGTGTAAAGTCTCACTCTGCTGAACGTAACCAGATGCTGGCTGTTGGGGCTAAGTAACCTGATGCTCGTTTGTGCCACAAATATATCATTTACATATATAGAAAACATGTAATTATTAACTTTATATTATTGTACTACTAAACAAGAGACACACAGTTTGGAAGGGCTGATACAGTCATCATGGCAGAAGGCTCCACACCCTTTGCACATGATCATGGCCTTCAGTCGGCAGTAGCATTTAGACTGGACGTCCTCCATGTTGGAGCCTTCCATGTATGATTGGTTAAGCGAGGGCTCGCCCTGACCGGCGTGTTCTAACGAGTGTTCAGCGGGTATGGTGGTGACGGTCACCGAGAATGACATGACCCTCCCACAGATGCTCCCGCCGTCGGCCTCAGAGGAGGCTGACAAAGAACCGGAGCCCGCTGCGTCGTGGTTCAGAGAGTGAGGTACAGACACGCTGATGGTGCCGTCGTAGCGCGAAGTTTCTACGGGTTCCTGATTATCAAGAGTTCTCTGGCCTTGGAAGGCAGCCAGTTGCTGGTGACCTGGGTCCATGTGGGCAGGATATGGCTCGGAGTTTCCTTGATTAGTATTGCAGAGATCGAGGTGGCTTCGGTGTGGCTGAGGAAAACAGCTGGTGTCTTTGGCTTTAGCGCTGGTGCGGTCATCATCACCAGTTGAACTATCCTCTGATCCAGGTTCAGTCTTTATGCCGGGGCAACACTGAGAGCTCTCCGTGTCGTCACTCTTAGTTCCTGAAGATCCCTGCTGCTCGGATTTCACTCCTTCTTCCCTACTCACCTCATTCCCTTCTGTGCTTTCCCTTTTTAGATTAGAAACAACCTTTTTTGGACAAACGGGCATCTGCAGCCTCCTGCTCTCTGGTCCTCGCCCGTACGTGGACACGTTGAGTAAATAATGTCCTGTCATGGCAGGTCTGGGAACTCTCTTTCGACCTAAGAAGCCAACAAAACATCTAGGCTGATCCTGCTGTTCCTCGGCGTGTATCATGTGATGCACGTTGTGCTGTGAGGACGGAGACCCCGTGCCTCCAGAAGGCTGGTTCTGCTGGAGTTTCCTCTGCATTAGTGCCTGGAGGATCTGATCCTGGGTCGCCTTATCGGGAAGTTCCCTGTGATGCTTTGCGTGTTCTGACAAAGGTCCGGGTCGTTCTCCAGAATCCATCTGCTTCTCAGTACTTTGATCAACACACTGAGGAGTCTTGAGTTTACTAGCGGAGAGCTGGGCGGGTGGGCTGGACACCTTGGATAATGGTTTAGGAAGAATCTGTTCCAGTGGAACCTCTTTGCCCTGCAGAAGCTGAGTCACCAGCGGGTTGTTAGCAGGGATGCAGGAGCTGGTCCTGGTTAGTGACCCTGCAGCCTTTGGGGAGGCCTGCTCCCCAGGCTGCGCTGATGCGTTTGAACAGTTGTGGATGCTTTGTGACCCACCTGTACCAACAGAGTGATGTTTGTGCATCTCACCATTTCTATTTGTGTCAGATATCTGAGGCTGGTTTAAGCTAGGCAAACTGGGAGAAAGTCCACCGGAGTGGCAGCTGCTGGTGGCTGGTGACCTGGTTGGTGCTTGAGGGGATGTTGGGCTGGGACTTGGTGATGCCTGGGTCTGATTACCACTTCCTCCCCCCGGCCCAGGTCCCTTCGATGCAGAGGACACTGCAGCCGCAGCAGCACGCTGTGCTCGTGCAAGCTGAGCTTTAGCTTTGATGTCAGCCAAAGTGCGAGCACCGGTGCGACCTGGGCTGCTGAGTGGGGCGTGGAGGGGAGTCCGCGGTGAGATCTGATTGGGTGACAGAGGAACGGGAAGGATTCGTGACACTGGGATCTGAAAAGAAAGCAAAACCAATAAGTGGTTTATGATTTGTTTTTAGCATTCCTGTTTGAAACAAAGAAAAAAAATACCAGCTATAAAAACCAGCAAATGAAAGCATTTAGTAAGAGTAAAACCAACTCAGATTTTAGTGCAGAAGAAGCAGGAATACTCTCAGGAGTATAAGATGTGTCGTCACCTTGAGCGGTGGAACTCTCTGACTGGATGGAGAAGGTGTAGCAGGACTGGATAAAGAGGACGCTGAAGGAGACGCAGATGAGATTGAAAACACTGAAGAAACTGAGGACAAGCGAGGTCTTTTCTCTGGTGTCACCTCCCCCTCAGTCTCGCTGACTGATTTCCTCTTCTGAGGGTCTGACGTGCCGCTGGGCTCCGCAATGACCTCTTTGCTATCGACAGCAGGCTTAGCCGGGGTCCCCAGCTGATCCTCGCTTAGATCTGAACCCGCCTTTGATGGAGGACTTTCCTTTACAGGTGACTGAGGGAGCTCACTTTTCTTCTCTTCTTCATGCTCCTTATCAGCAGGGGTAGAAGGTGACTTGTGCTCAGGCTGCTTCACGGCTTCTGATGTTTTAACCGAAGGAAGAGAGCCAGCCTTTGCAGCGGAGTTCAACCTTCGCTCCTCTGCGCTGTGCGAGCGTCGGGTCTTCATGGGTTCTAAGACGGAGACGGACTCTTTGTGACCCTGATGTCCTTTCTGAGGCTCCTGTGAAGTGTGAGTTGGCTTCGCGCCATTAGCAGGATCCGACGAGCTGCTGTTCTTGGAGCGCTTCCTGTCCTCTGGCGCCTGAGCGGCAGACCTAACCCGGTCAGAAATAGACTGGAGTCTGGAAGGTTTTTGATTCAGATCGGCCTTCGTCAGCGCCTTGGACTCCTCATAGCTGAGGCCTGAACTGTAGATGGAAGAATAAAGAAATCAATCATTTTGTCTTGAGTTGTGACTAAGAAACAATTTAGATCACAAGTTTTGATCAGGACAGAAACTCAATAGATAAAACATCCTTCTGTTCCCTTTATGCCAGGACGATTCAATTCCAGGCCTGGAGGGCTGGTATCTAGTACGTTTTGGTTTTAACTCTGCTTCAACACACCTGATTTTAATCAGCAGGAGATTAACAGGTTTCTGCAGAGCCCGATGAGCTGCTGCACAGGTGGTTCAACCACTGAATCAGAGGTGTTGGAACAGAGTAACGCCGGGGACACACCGGCCGCAGAAGCACCGCGAAGCGCCGAGAAGCGAATCGCTCACGAAATTCTGGCGCTGCTCGCCGCTCCTCAGTTCAGATCAGACGCGCCCCACTCGAGGCGCGCCTCGGCTCAGCTGTAGTTTTTCTTTTAAACACTTGGTGTCCTCCATTTCCTCTCTGCCTTTTCTCAGCTCTTTTCCTCTACGTTTGAGTGTTTGTACGTGTGTGTGTGTGTGTGTGTGTGTGTGTGTGTGTGTGTGTGTGTGTGTGTGTGTGTGTGTGTGTGTGTGTGTGTGTGTGTGTGTGTGTGTGTGTGTGTGTGTCTGTGTGTGTGTGTGTGTGTGTGTGTGTGTGTGTGTGTGTGTGTGTGTGTGTGTGTGTGTGTGTGTGTGTGTGTGTGTGTGTGTGAACCTATGGTATGTGTTGTTTCTGCCAGTTGAATCTCTTGGAACCCGCTCCAATTCTGCAGCTGTATCCTAGCAGTTTCTTCCGACATGGGTACGTAAATAACCATGTTTTTCGGGGGTCGTACAGCTCCTTGTGTTTCTCAACTTCCATAATTAATTTAAAGTCATCCATCTTTACTGCTTGCCTCAGACTTTCTGCCTCTCTGTCCTGTTTGCTCCAGAAAAAAGACACCCAAAACCACACTCCCTTCACGTGGTCGCACATGCACACAAGTTCGATGTGTGTGTGTGTTTGTGTGGTTTTTCTGCGGTGTCTGATTACGAACACATTTGACTATTGCGGAATTTTATTTTGAAATGCTTTATTTTGTTAACTTTACCGGCCTGCCTCTTATGTCTAGGTTTGACTTCCTGCCAGAATTGACGCGATTCACTCGCGGCTCGCGAAAAAAATAGAGCCAACGCCAAAATGATCGCTGCACGGTGCGGGCTGGAGCGCCGGCGCGCGAGGCAATTCGCGGCGCTTCGGCGGCCCACGTGGTCTATAGAATAGCTTAACAAGGGCACCGAATGAAGGCGGTCCCATTTTCGCGGCGCTTCCGCGGCCGGTGTGTCCCCGGCGTAACCTCTAAAACATGCTGGAAACTGGCCCTCAAGGCCCAGAATCGAATAGCCCTGCTTTATGCCTTAAAGGGAGACTAGGTGGTTTTGACTTGCTTTTAGCACCCCCTAGTGTCCATCAGTAAAAAACAAAAGTGAAACTTATCTCCTCGCTGTGCGCCAGCCTTCATTAGTTTCTACAGGATCGGTTCTTCACTAAATGAAGCAAATCAGCTGTGTTCGTGATCTAAAATATGCTAGAAGCAGACTGCAGCCTGGGTCTGTCAACTTCACTTTAAAGTCCATCGGGCCGCCACTCTGATGTCACAATAGTGCGATATTTTGGCCATAGATGGCGGTGGGGGTCTGAGTGACATTTCGTTAAACCTGTAAAGGCTCATTTTAGCACATATTAGCTCAAGAAAATGATTTAAATATGAAAAAGTTGTTCATATTGCATATTAAGTTTATGTTGGATATGGAACATGGACACTCCGGCGAAATCTAGTGTGTACAGGTGGTAGCTGCAACAACAGAAAACATTTGGTTCACCGCTGACATGTTAAGTGACCGGCCAGCACCATGTCCAGCAACGAATTGTACAGGATAAGGACTAATTTGTACTAATATGTTTATTTTACATTAGTATTTACTGTTAGAACATCTTCTGGGCTCAGAATCAGCTGCTTGACTTGTCGAGTCCGCCATTTTACACAATCCCAGCCTCGCCTTGCTAAGCAAACTTTTTAGTGCAATGATGCCCTCTAGTGGCTGGTAGATGTAAACATAAACCTAGTATCGTGCCCGACGAAATTTCGTTGTCGTCTTCCTCCGCTTATCCGGGTCCGGGGCGCGGGGGCAGCATCCCAACTAGGGAGCTCCAGACCATCCGCTCCCCGGCCACCTCCACCAGCTCCTCCGGCAGGACCCCAAGGCCTGGAGATGTAACCTCCCAACATGTCCTGGGTCAACCCGGGGGCCTCCTGCCGGAGGCATCCTGACCAAATGCCCAAACCACCTCAAATGACTCCTTTCGATCCAGAGGAGCAGCGGTTCTACTCCCAGTCCCTCCCGAACGTCCGAGCTCCTCACCCTATCTCTAAGGCTGAGCCCGGCCACCCTACGGAGGAAACTCATTTCGGTCACTTGTATCCGCGATCTCGTTCTTTCGGTCATTACCCAAAGCTCATGACCATAGGTGAGGATTAGAACGTAGATCGACTGGTAAATTGAGAGCCTGGCTTTCTGGCTTAGCTCCCTCATCACTGCAGATGCCGAACCAATCCGCCTGTCGATCTCCCGATCCCTCCTACCCTCACTCGTGAACAAGACCCCGAGATACTTAAACTCCTTCACTTGAGGTAGGACCTCTCCCGACCCGGAGTTGGCAAGCCACCCTTTTCCGGTCGAGAACCATGATCTCAGATTTGGAGGTGCTGATCCTCATCCCAGCCGCTTCACACTCGGCCACGAACCTACCCAGCAAGAGCTGAAGATCAGAGCTGGATGAAGCTAGGAGGACCACATCATCCGCAAAAAGCAGAGACGAGATTCTCCTGCCACCAAACTCGACACACTCCACACCACGGCTGCACCTAGAAATTCTGTCCATAAAGGTAATGAACAGAACCGGTGACAAAGGGCAGCCCTGGCGGAGTCCAACCCTCACTGGGAACAGGTCCGACTTACTACCGGCTATGCGGACCAAACTCACGCTCCTCTGGTAAAGGGACTGAATGGCCCTTAACAGAAAGCCACCCACCCCATACTCCTGGAGCGTCCCCCACAGGGTGCCCCTGGGGACACGGTCATAAGCCTTCTCCAAATCCACAAAGCACATGTGGATTGGTTGGGCAAACTCCCATGCCCCCTCCATCACCCTTGCAAGGGTATAGAGCTGGTCCACAGTTCCACGGCCAGGACGAAAACCACATTGCTCCTCCTCAATCTGAGATTCAACTATCGATCGGACCCTCCTCTCCAGTACCTTGGAGTAGACCTTTCCAGGGAGGCTGAGGAGTGTGATCCCCCTATAGTTAGAACACACCCTCAGGTCACCCTTCTTAAAGATGGGGACCACCACCCCGGTCTGCCACTCCCTAGGAACTGCCCCTGATGACCACGCAATGTTGCAGAGACGTGTCAACCACGACAACCCTACAACATCCATAGCCTTGAGATACCCAGGACGAATCTCATCCGCCCCCGGGGCTCCGCCGCTGTGTAGTTGTTTGACTACCTCAGCAACTTCTGCCCCCGAGATTGGACAGTCCATCCCCAGGTCTCCTGGCTCTGGTTCCTCCTCGGAATGTGCATAGGTGGGATTGAGGAGCTCCTCAAAGTATTCCTTCCACCGTCCGACTATGGCCCCAGTTGACGTCAGCAGCTCCCCATCCCCACTGTAAACAGTGTGAGCGAGTTGCTGCCTCCCTCTCCTGAGGCGCCGGACAGTTTGCCAGAACCTCTTTGGAGTCGATCGATAGTCTTTCTCCATGGCCTCACCAAACTCCTCCCACGCCCGAGATTTTGCCTCAGCAACTGCCACTGCTGCACCCCGCTTGGCTATCCGGTACCTGTCTGCTGCCTCTGGAGACCCACAGACCAGCCACGCCCTGTAGGCCTCCTTCTTCAGCCTGACGGCTCCCCGAACCTCTGGTGTCCACCAGCGGGTACGGGGGTTGCCACCACGACTGGCACCGGCCACCTTGCGACCACAGCTAGCAACAATCGCAGAGTGGAACAAGGCCCACTCGGAGTCAATGTCCCCCACTGCTCTCGGGACGCGGTCAAAGCTCTGCCGGAGGTGGGAGTTGAAGACCGTCTTGACAGGTCCTTCTGCCAGGCGTTCCCAGCAGACCCTCACTATGTGTTTGGGTCTGTCAGGTCTACGCGGCATCTTCCCCTGCCATCTGATCCAACTCACCACCAGGTGGTGATCAGTTGACAGCTCCGCTCCTCTCTTCGCTCGGGTGTCCAAAACATACAACGAAATTAAAAAAAAATTTTTTTAAATACAGCTTTTAAAGGAAAAAACTGTAGTCATTCTGCACACCTCTAAATGCTCCGTGGAAGTATTAATTTTTTAATATAGCTTTTTATGAAAATGTTCCATATTCCACCTTTAAATAATCTGACTTTTATTCATGATTAAATGTTATATGAAATATAAAAATAAGAAATAGTTCATTTTTTAGTTGACATAAGATTGCTGAGGCAATTCTTATCCTGAAAATAAATAAAAAAAATATTTATATTTTGTTGAAATAAACCAAAGCACTGCATGGTGATTGGGTCCATCTCATACTCAGGATCATCAGTCTAATTTAAAAAATCAGATTTAAAATCTGTTCAGGTTGTGAACCCAACATTTCCTTGCAGATATAAAATAATCACCATGGTTTCTGCTCTATAAACTCAACTTTAGTAAGAGCCAGTAAACACTAGCAATAACAGCTGGTCTATGTGGACATTTTTACTTCAGAACAACAACAAACAGTATTCTGTGTTTTACGTCTTTGGGATAAATCTGAATGGAAGCAGCAGGTCAGAGCCGTCTGTCGACCCTAAAAACCAGAATCGATGCATCTTTACAATTTTTGGGGATTTCCTCCCAACCACTGAAGATAAGTTCTGATTTTTAAAAATGTAATTAAATGTATTAATAACAAAGTCAGCCATAATAAAGACTTTACGTTTTGTTTGAAATTAACCCAAAAAGGCAACCGTTTTAAAACTGCTCTGGATTTGAGGAACCCTTTTACAAATATAACAGAACCTACTTTTCCCCATAATAGCGCTCAAAGAAAGCTTCCTTCCAGTGCTCAACTTTCTTTTCTTTCTCGATTTCTTGACGCATTCGAAGCTGCAGCTCCGGAGTGAATTCCCCTACAAAAGGAAAAACGTGTAAATAACAATTAAAAAAGAGAAGCAAACTCTTGCTGCACTAGCTCACCTAGGTGATAAAGTTTGTCTACGTGTGAAATGAATGCATGAAACTGACCTTCAGCCAGCCTCTCCTTCCATGACTGAGCTGCAGATGTGAAGAATTCGTTGTTTAAGGCAGAACCGGTGACCTTCAAAAGACCATCTAAACACGCCTGGAGACAAGAGGGAACGAATGACTAACATCACAACGGTTTCAATAAGATGAACGGGGCATCAAGACTCTGTCAATTCTGTTAAATAACTGCAGAAAAATGCTGCCTTGTGTAAAACAGCTGAGCAGAAACTAAATGCAGAAGAGCCACCTGTCGGTCGACTTCAGGAAGGAGTCTGAGCAGCTTCTGCTGGCAATCTGGAGGCAAGATGGAGAAGGTGTGCTTGTTGATGATTGCTCTCAGGTTGGTGTTCACCAAAATAGAGTCTGGTGTCTCCACATCGATTTTGCACTTTGTACGTTTTATCTGACCTGCAACACAACACAGGAAATAAAAATAATTCATTAATCCAAATAACTTCAGGTTTAACCATCAACATCCAAAGTGACGTGTTTGTGGATGAACTCGTGCCACAAACTTATCTAATAACCTTTTTTAAGTGTTTTTGAATGTTTCCACAGTCATTAATCCCTGAAAATGCATAAAATCATCAAACTACCAGGTTTCCTACAACACGGAAGCATTTTCATTTGGTTATAGTTAAATCACTTTGGGTGAAAATGTATTTAATATACTGATCAATATTTCAAGAACAAAGGTAGTTTGTGTCCACAAAATGAGCTCAAACTCAGTAAACTGAGCAGATATTCAGTTAAATGTAATGTGCCAGTAGCTGATGGTCATTTGTAACTAACTCATAAGATACATTTAGATATCTCTTAAAGGACACGTAACATTATGAAAGTACCAAAATGCCTAAAACAATCATGATAATCCTAGTTTAAAGGTCTGAGAAGCACAAAATGACCCTTTGTCATTTAGAACATGACTCCTCCTCCGGAGGAGGAGGAAGAGGAGTCACTGATAAAGACACTAGTGGTGTTGAAGCATTGGTCTTTACATTTAAAATTTTAAACTGATGAATGAGCACCAGTTACACTTTAATGTGGAAATGACTTTGTTTTTCATCCCTTTAGACCTGCAGCTCACAAGGAGAAAACATTTCCACCTGCTGCAGGTGACGGCTGTGTTTCAACCATATAATTAGCGCAGTTTGCTCTCCGAGTCTGATGCTCAGGAGCAGAAAGAACAAAGTTAAGAGGTGCGCTGAGCAAAGCTAGAGAATTAGCTAGTTTGGAAACACAAAACAAAATTCACCCACCTGCACTGAGGCGGCTGGATCTCTGGGAAACCTTTCTAGGCATGACTGGGTGGCATAAGTCTGGACAAGAAGGAAAAGTTCAGTGAACTTTGCAAGAAAATAACCGTGTTTCAGCTTGGACCTTATTGATACAAATCAGACACGTCTGAATGACACTGTAACTACATTTAACTATATTTAACAACACAACAGCTGCAACCTACCAGTTTTTGTTGTGATGTTCTCTGCCATGTCTTTGATGGTCTTCAGAAGCAGCCTGGAACTGGAGATGGTTGGCATTCCCCCCTGTCTGCGCTGGTTTCTCTGATGCTGTTGCTTCAAGGCCTGCAGAAGGGCCAAATGGAGGAAAAAAAAACAAAATAAGCGCTCACAGTAAACGCTGCGTCAGGCTAAAGAACAACACGACCGCACATAAACACAAGCAGCATAACAGAAAAATAAATCATTCTTATGTGAATTTATGAAGAAATCTGATGATCTCACAAAACAGCAGAAACACTGACTTTAATGGAAGGCAACCTGCTGAGAGCAACAGGACAGATCACTCACAATATTTAGGGATGCACCGATATGAGGTTTTTGGGCCGATATCGATATCCGATATTAATATCACCGTTAAGGCAGATTACCAATATTTGCAGATACTGATTTACACTTCGGAAATCAGCTAATTTTGTATAGACTGAAATGACACAAGCTGGATTTTTAAATGTTTAGCTTTTTTTCTATGAAGTGGAATTTGCAAATGTCATTCATTCACACACACACACACACACACACACACACGCACGCACACGCACGCACACACACACACACACACTTCTGAGATGATTACTCCCCCATGAAACAGATACACAAACGGAAACAAGATGGTAAAAATATTGGTTGTTAATATTGACCCAGTTTTACTTATCAGACCGATACCGATATGTTAAAAAATGACTAACATCAGCCGATACCGATAAATCGTGCATCTCTACTAATATTAAAGCATAACTGGTATCTTGTTGTACATTCTCCAGAGAAGGGACAACAAACTGCAGTTAAATGTGTCAAAACAGCACTGACGGGTTATCACACAAGACGTCTTATTATATGCAACACATATCAACATAAAAGCCCCAGTATGGGATTATCACACCCTTAAAGCAGCTGTAATTATTTTCTTGCTGCTTTATTAATAATCCAAACAAGATGTCAGAGGGGAAAAGCAGAACAACACCTGACAGCTGAAACACAGGATGAGTCACATTTATGCAGATAAAGCTTGTCTAAGTGAAAGCTGACATAAATACAGCTAAAGCTGCGCCGTATGGATTAGTGACAACAAAATAATTAACAATAAAACTCCAATTGTTATTTGACAATACTACAATTAAAGCAACAGTACACACAACAAGACTGTGATTGGTGGAAGGAACAGGTTTATAGGAGTATGAGGGTGTGGCAGGAACTCATGTTACATCTGTGAAGAGAACAACAGCGATTTAGATGGAAAAGTAGCTAAGCAGCGGCTGCGACGCATCGTTTAAACTTAAAACTTGGGTCCAGTACCTGTTTCAGTGCTTTCTTGCTGTGTTTCTGCGAGGGTGAGATGAGTTTAGAGGTGGGGACGGGAGGCGATGAGCACTGCGGCTGCGGAGACGACGGCGGCTGTGACTGCAGCTTGGAAGGAACTGTGAAACAGAAATGAGCAAAACAGATGTTACAACACACACACACACACACACACACACTTTCTAAGGGGTGTGTACATAACGATAACATTTAGCTTTTGTTTTGATGAAACTGAAACCAACACTGTGGACAAAGACACAGATTACATTACCTACTAACCCATCATGTTTTCAAAGATGAGCTGAGTATGTCTCTCTCACTGCTGCTGGTTTCACTTTTTTATTTTTATAAACTTAATTAATTACATTTGACTTTCATACCGTACCAAATGTATTTATAAAAGTGCATTTAAACACAGCGTGTGAGCTGACCACAGCGCTGTATACCACAAAACCATACAAGGACCATTAAAACAAAATAAAACACCATCAACAAATACAAATAAAACACCTACAAGAGCATTAAGATAAAAAACAAATAAAATGGAGATTCTATCTGAAAGCCAGCTAATAGTAGTGGATCTTAACAAAACCAACAAAGACCAATAAAAAAACTAGAACACGATCAATGAATACAAATAAGACACCTTTCACAGAGTTTGTTTTGATTAAGTAAATAAAAAACGACACCAGAGACTTGCTGCTTGGTTGTAAACGAGGCAGATTCTAACATGTGCATGATGAGGAAGTGGTCATGGGCCAAATTCAGTTTCCTGTCTCAACTCTAACATAAGTTGCTCGATTAGAAACATTAATACAGTCCAACCAACACAAAGCTTTTCTTCTCCTTTCATTAAACAAAAACCATGAAGTCCAAAGACAGAGGAGAAGGTTCAATTTCTGTTAGATGACCGTCTCTGCAGGTTGTAACGGAAAACATGCGTTCATTAAAAACCCACCTTTTGTCACCATGATGGATGCTCGGTGCAATCCTGAGAAAATGGTGCGATGGGATGGTTTTATCTTGACGGTGGAGCTACGTTCCCTGAGCTGGTCTATTCTTACTTCAGCTGACTTCCTGTGCATTTGCAAAAGCTGAAAAAGGGCGTTCCCTTTAATTTGGGGCTGAGTCCCCAGTCAGCTTAAATCTATGTTTTTAGAGCAAAGCAACAAGTGTGTGAAAATGTTTAAAAAATCATCTTTTCTCTTTGTGTTCTTCCTAAACAATTGTTAAACAGCTGCAACAAGCCTTTCTGTATCAAAGCTGATTAAATGGGATTTTTATCTTTTTTAATTTTAATTTAGTTTCAGAAAAAAGGAAATTTGACATGAAAATACAGTTCACACCGCGGTACGGACGGGAGGAAACAGGTCTTTAAACAGAAGTCACTTCAGGATATTTTTATTCACACACACACACACACACACACACACACACACACACACACACACACAGAGATGTAGTGGATGGTACCTCTTCGCATCCACCTTCCTCTCCTGCCCTCTGTAGCAGCAGCGCCATTGTTCTCTGAGCTTCTGGAGTCAGACAGATCATCACTGCTGTCATCAGAGCCCTCTTCTGAGAGCTTCTTCACAACATCTGAGCTGTCCTTCTATGTGGATAAAAGAACACAGAGATGCTTATTGGTATAATGACACTTTTAATAAAAATGTCTGTAGATTAACTCTGGTATCTCCTCCGTTGCAAGAACTGAAACAGCTGAAAAGCATCATGTCAGCGCCACACATTCAACCCAGACTGGAAGTGGTGGGCTGTAATAAGAAAGGAGACCAAACAGAGGAGTGGGGGTTCAACAACTGATTTATTTAACAAAAGTAAGGATTTACTAAAGCAAGTTAGTGAACGCACCCCCCCCCCCCCCCCCCCAGACATCTGGAACTTGTCCCTGCTGTGTGAAGGCAGCCGAAGGGACAAGTTCCGGTACAAAAGTGGTGTGTCTGAAAACACAGTTCTGGTTAAAAAACGGACTGAATTGTCCACACATATTCCAGAATGTCAATCTGAAAAGGGTTTTAGATATCTGTTTTAGATGATTTTATATCTTATTACCTCCTTTTTAAGAGCCATCTTTGAGTGCAATGACATTTCCATTGTACGACAATAAAACGATCTTGAATCTTAAAGAACTGAATCTAACCGTTTTCATAATCAAGTCTTTTGAATCACTTGATGAATCCCTTCAGCCCTCTGCATTAGAACAAATCTGCTCGACCTATCCAAGTGCATCATTTGTTTCCAACAAAATTCAGACACAAGCTTCCACCAAAAATGATGTAAATGAGCACCACTGTAACTGGTCAAAGACGGTGTGATTCATTTAGAAAATAAACCCTACACTAAATATATTACAGTATATATGAATCGTTTCAGCCAGTGTGAGACGTTTAGTGCGTAACTAACCTTTAGTGTGTAGACGCCCATCCTGCCTGGAACTTTGTAAAAGATTCCCTCATCACCACGAGAGTTTGTGTGCAGCATTGCATTCAGGCAGGCCAGCGGAGAGGTCCCACTAGTCGATGAGAGAAAACCACAGATTACACATCTATGCAATTAACACTAAACAAAAGGATCCGGTTGGGTAAAACTGGTCTGCTATCTGAGAACAAACTATTGATATGCACCTGGTGAGAATTACACCAGTGTGAGAAATGATAGTGTGTATTTAAAAAACTAGCCCATGGATGCAACCATCGCTATGGGAGTCAAGTGGTGGGCCAAAAAAATACGATCTAAATAAATCAGAGAAGGTCCACATCAACCATACAAGAAGTGTGTGTGTGCGTGCTAGAGACAGATCCAACACGTCAGTTCATCTGTTTATAAATCACATGCTTTTTTACCATCTATGTTTATAAATAAACACTGAAGCATGAAACGGTGAATGGTAAGTGGCTGTATTTGTATAACGCCTTCTTAGGGTTCTACATCCCCCCCAAGGCGCTTCACGACACAATAAGGCTATGTTCACACTGCAGGCCTTGATGCTCAATTCCAAGTTTTTCAGTAAATCCGATTTTTTTGTGTGGTTCTTCACATTGTGACAGAAATGCGACATCAAACTCTCTCCAGTGTGAACGCTCCACGGCCCCAAAGCGACCCGCAGAAGATGAGAAGTTACGGTCAGTGGAGTCGGAACCAGGAGAGAAGGGGTTGTGATGTGAAAGCTTTCACCGACTCATTCACAGGATCACACCGGTCAAGTCTCCTTATTCTCTCTTCCCGAATTATTATTCAGCAATATGTTCCAGTATTAAGTTCATTCACAGAGAAACCCCGCTCTCACGGAGACCGAGACCGGTGAGACGATTCGCTCCAACAGCACCTCCCGCTTCCGTTCTCATGCTTCTGTATTCAGTAACGTAGGAGATGGATTTTATGCAACATGACCACTCAGACTGCAGTCGCTTTCAAAAACATCTGATATGAATCGGAATCAGTACCGCATATGAAAGTGACCTGGATCGGATTGGGAAAAAATCGGACCTGTGCTATTCAGACTGTCATAATAAAATCAGATATGTGTTGCAAGTGGGGAAAAAAATTGGATTTGATGTGCTCTTGCCTGCAGTGTGAATGTAGCCTTAGTCATCCACCCATTCAAACACACATTCACAGGTAAAGGGACAAATCTTTTATGGCAAGTGGAAAGCGGGTCTCAGACTAGATCTAAATGTGAATCAAACACTGTTCTTGATTGAGTTTAGTTCATGTTATTATTAATAACATGCAAAGGGAAGACTCGTGACAAGTGAGAATGCAGTCTGGTTATCGGGTGGTGTTGGGGGGGCCTAGCTTCTCTTACCTTCTGGATGTGAACAGTGACAATGAAACAAAAAGAAAGTAAATGTTATTAAACAAGCAAAATAATTGTGTGCATGAACTTGGAAAACACATGATGAAAACAGAAAAGATGACAGGGCGACGGCTGTGGTGTGGCTTCAGACGGGTGTTTTTGGCTGACAGACACAGAGTACATCAGGAACATTTTACCTTATTTCCTTAAGCCTTTCTTTTTGGATCACCTGTAAGATCTCTTTATGGCTCATAGGTGTGTTGGGGTACTTTTCCAGAACCTAAAAATATAAAACGCACTGTTAAGAAAATGCAATTGTACAGTTATTGTAGGAATACTCAAAAAAAAAACAAAAAAAAAACAGCAGTTTCAAGAGTACTTCAGCTGTAGTACACACGGCACTATCAACTAGTTCAAACTAGGGATGGACAATAGATTGGCATCAATATCGGTATTGGCCGATGATAGTCATTTTTTAACATAGCGGTATCGGTCCGATAAATTAAAACCGGGTTGATATTAAAAAGCATTACTTTTTCCATCTTGGCTCCATTTGTTTGCCTGTTTCAAAGGGTGAGGGGGTGATGTGTAATTGTCATGTGAACAGTGAATGTAATCATCTCAGAAGCGTGAATGTGTGTGATGAGTGTACATAATAAAGTAAATTCAGCTTTAATAACTTTCATTTTATACAAAATTGCTGATTTTAGAAGCATTCATGTCAGTATATCGGTATCTGCCATAACAGTATCGGCTATCGGTATCGGCCCTAAAATTTCATATCGGTGCATCATTAGTTCAAACTATAGTTTCATACATCACAAAAAAAGTTGGTTTACTGTAAGTCACCGTCATATTAGAGGCTTCAGGCAAAGAAAGCCTGTTATGGTATAATTATTTTGATTGTGAAAAGTTATTTGAGTTGTAAATAACTGAAGGTGACAAGCTTTGGTCTGTAGGAATTGTGTTTTTGGAGGTTTTCTGGAACCCTGAGGGACTTTCACAGCAGGGATCATATTTAATACGAACAAACCTGAAGATAACACAGATTCAACACTTCCATTGGGAACTTTTCTGAATTATCTTTTCTTTAATCACATTATGAACAAAAATGAGAAACTCCTTTAAACAATTGAAATCTTAAAAGTGGTAATTGGTAATTTTATTGGAGAAGAATGCTGCTTAGTCCTCATTTTAATGCAAATTAACATAAATAACACGATGTACGGTATAGTATGTCCGCACTTGGTTCATATTGCTTTAGACTTGAAAAGTTATCTTTGTAGAAATTATGTTATACTCAACTAAAATCCTTCATAAAGATAACTAAATGAAATAACCACACATTTAGCTGAATACGCATTATTTAAAAAACTGTATATGTTGTACTCATCAGTATGCTACGCTAGCGTAACTATATTTAGTGCCACTAACTGGTTATTTGTACGTGGCGTTAAGCAATAAATCCACACTGACACCAACAAGGGGTCTAAAGACAAAATAAAGAAAACTGAATGTTATTGAAAAAATGTAAGTTGACCAGTATTTTACTCTAAACTAACAAAAAACTAACTTGTTGGAGGTTAGCCGAAGCTAGCCACAGCTAGCCTAGCTAGCGTAGCATGACTGACATGATCCCTCCGTGGTTACTTCCTTCATCTGTGCAGGACATGTCATTTACAATGTGTGCATAAAACAACAACGAGAGCTACGGAAACGTGTTTGGGTGCACATGGAAGACATTTAAACAGCTGTTTCCTCCTAAGAGACAGCTACGGTGGCTACTATAGCCGTCAACACAGGCCTCGCGCGGTGTACACAACACATTTCTTCTTCACGAGCAGGTCATGAACTCATCAACACAGTTGAACACAAGTGGGAGCGTCAAGGAAAACAACCACAACAAACACAACTCAAAAACACAAAGAATACCGTTTTAGCGGCTTCCGCCCAGGTTCTCCCCTTCTTTTTCTTCTGCCTCTCCCTCATAGTGGACGTCCTGTGGCTGAGTAGTGTTTAATTTGACAGCTTTTGTTGAAACGTTGCTTTAGTTACCGTGCAAGAACCACTCCGTCTGCCATATTGGATTTACTGTAAAAAGTCACGTGACTGACCACTGGGAACGTCATCTTACTGTATGTAGCTAAAGAAAGTACATTTCACAACATATAATTATAATAAAATTATATTTTTCACAAAATTAAGAAATAAAAACAGGGAGTCCAAAAATTATTATTCATTGCTATTTGTTTATTTTCAAATCTGAGTGAGCAAAGTAAGGCAGCTAATCAAGACATTACACTTTCTTCAGGTTTTTGGCTCACAAATACATTAGCAAGAAACTGAAGCAGCAAATCATTAAAGCACACAGGATGATGTCCCATTTGTGACACATGATTGGCGTGCAGTCCCCCTTAAAGTTTTGGCAAAGGCATGGCAATGTTTAAAGTATTTCTACATGTGTAAAAAGGTGCAATACTCATATAAAAAGTAAGTATATTTCTTTTAACTGGACATAATAAAAGAACCCAGTGAGATTTGAAGGCATTTGTTTGTCTATATTTTACATTGATTTTTACTTACGAGCACTGCAACCAAAGTATTTCTCCATGTTAATCTTAAAAAATAAAAACGGGGCATTTAGGCCAAATAACACTTGAATCAGTTTGTGCAATTTTGCAATGGGCCAAGAGATAAAAATGTGCTCTTTGACCTCTGCTTTTTGGCATTTCTCAAACACGTTCTAACCCTAACAATCTACCTTCATTTAGTCTGGTTGAATTTTAAACTTTCACAGCTCCATGGCGTCATCATTCTAATTAATATTGTTCTGCTGTAGGTTTGCGACGGTGCTTAGGATCAACCATCAGCTGTCAGACAGAAGGAATCTGGAAACTTTGGTATGCAAAAGGATGCAAGGTTCACAGGGCTTCAACAGGAAAATAATCTCAAATCATCAGTCGTCCACCACCATGCTGCTCGACTGAGCTGTTTGTGCTAATATGTGTTTTAGATGTCACCAGATCCCTCAGCTTTTTATGTAACTTTGCAAACCAAGTTGTGCTAACGAGATCTTTTTAGAGAGAAGTAACTTGCAAACAATTTCCTTTCCTTACAACAGTGCTTCTTCTTTTTAGTTTAGCTTTAAAAATAAGAGAATAATGTGTCATGTGTTCCTGTTTTTACTCAATCTGTACACCAGAAAATACCAGGTGAAGTTTTACTCTGTCTTGATAAATAAAAACGTAGATTTGTGTTTGAACTATGATTAAAATAATGTCGTCGTCATCTTCCTCCGCTTATCCGGGTCCGGGTCGTGGGGGCAGCATCCCAACTAGGGAGCTCCAGACCGTCCTCTCCCCGGCCACCTCCACCAGCTCCTCCGGCAGGACCCCAAGGCGTTCCCGGACCAGATTGGAGATGTAACCTCTCCAACGTGTCCTGGGTCGACCCAGGGGCCTCCTGCCGGCAGGACGTGCCCGAAACACCTCCCCGGGGAGGCGTCCAGGAGGCATCCTGACCAGATGCCCAAACCACCTCAACTGACTCCTTTCGATCCGGAGGAGCAGCGGTTCTACTCCGAGTCCCTCCCGAATGTCCGAGCTCCACACCCTATCTCTAAGGCTGAGCCCGGCCACCCTATGGAGGAAACTCATTTCGGCCGTTTGTATCCGCAATCTCGTTCTTTCGGTCATTACCCAAAGCTCATGACCATAGGTGAGGATTGGGATGTAGATCGACCGGTAAATCGAGAGCCTGGCTTTCTGGCTCAGCTCCCTCTTCACCACAACAGATCGGCTCAACGTCCGCAGCCACGACAGCCCTACAACATCCAGAGCCTTGAGATACCCAGGACGAATCTCATCCACCCCCGGGGCTCCGCCGCTGTGTAGTTGTTTGACTACCTCAGCAACTTCTGCCCCCGAGATTGGACAGTCCATCCCCAGGTCTCCCGGCTCTGGTTCCTCCTCAGAATGCACATAGGTGGGATTGAGGAGCTCCTCCTCAAGTATTCCTTCCACCGTCCGACTATAGTCCCAGTTGACATCAGCAGCTCCCCATCCCCACTGTAAACAGTGTGAGTGAGTTGCTGCCTTCCTCTCCTGAGGCGCCGGACAGTTTGCCAGAACCTCTTTGGAGCCGATCGATAGTCTTTGACCGCGTCCCGAGAGCAGTGGGGGACATTGACTCCAAGTGGGCCTTGTTCCACTCTGGGATTATTGAGGCGGCTGTTGCTAGCTGTGCTCGCAAGGTGGCTGGTGCCAGTCGTGGTGGCAACCCCCGTACCCGCTGGTGGACACCAGAGGTTCGGGGAGCCGTCAGGCTGAAGAAGGAGGCCTACAGGGCATGGCTGGTCTGTGGGTCTCCGGAGGCAGCAGACAGGTACCGGATAGCCAAGCGGGGTGCAGCAGTGGCAGTTGCTGAGGCAAAATCTCGGGCGTGGGAGGAGTTTGGTGAGGCCATGGAGAAAGACTATCGATCGGCTCCAAAGAGGTAAAATAATGCCATGGAATAAAATGAAATCATGAGAAATCCTGTAGAGAAGGCTCCAATGTTTTGTTATGAATGTGAATATCTTTGTTGGATTAATAAGAAAAGCAGCATTTTGGGGTCAAAAGCAAGAAAAAAACCATATTAATATAACTCTCGGTCACTTTTAAGTAATATCTGAAAATAGAACTAAATTAAGAAGAATCAGATGGACACAACTTAAGGGCTCGTCTGATAAGGACCTCCAAAAGACAGGTGGGCAGCGGAGGACGGTCTCTGTCTCTGAGACGGAGAACAGCTCTGAGTTCCTGATGTCAGAGCAGTAGATGAGGAGGATGATGTCACAGATGTTTGTTGTGGTGCCTGATACCTGCAATCCACAGAAAGCACACTTACTTTCATGTGGTTTGTGGATAAAACTCACCTTTTGCACAAAAACACTTATTTTTAAAATCAAACACATTAAACCAACATCATAAAACACAGGTCCTAATGTAGAATCTTGGCCTGAGTTCATGACGAGATGCAATAGGCATTCATTTAGCCATTATGAATTATTCCTGTGTTAACGTTAAAAGAGAGAAAGAAAGAAATGTATCTTTTATATAGCACCTCTCAAGATGAAAATCACGAGGCACTTCACAAGAACAAAAAAGTCAAAATGCAAAAAATATTTTACAAATACATTTTTTTGAAAATATGGTTAAAATGAAAAAATAAATGGTGGTTAAAAATGTACAGAGAGGGAAAGAGGGAAATGAGTGCATAATGGGAAAGACAGAGTTGGTAGAAAGAGCAGAATAAGGAGAAGGTGGTGATGAAGGTCACGCAAAAGCCAGCCTGAACAGGTGAGTGTTCAGGTGAGTCCACTGAACTCAGGCTCAGGGGGAGAGAGTTCCAGAGTCTGGGGGCCACAGCAGCAAAAGATCTGTCACCTTTGGTCTTTAGCCTGGTGCTGCACAACCAGTAGGCTTTGGTCACTGGACCTCAGGGACCTGCTGGGGGTGTAGGGACTAAGAAGATCACCAATGTAAGATGGTGCTTGTCCATGTAAGGCCCTGTAGACCAGAACCAGGATCTTGAAATGAACCCTGAAGTTGACTGGCAGACAGTGAAGCTGGAGGAGAAGCGGGGTGATGTGGGTGTGTTTGGAGGACTTGGTCAGAAGCCGAGCACAGGTGTTCTGAACCACCTGTAGACGGTTCAGGGAGGTTCTGCTCAGACACGTGAAAAGAGAGTTACAGTAGTCTAAGCGTGAGGAGATGAAGGTGTGGATAACTGTCTCAAGTTCAGAGCGGGACAGAATGGGACTCAGCTTAGCAATGTTCCTGAGATGGAAGAAGGAAGAGCGAACAAGAGAACTGACATGAGAATCCAGGGTGAGAGCTGGGTCAAAGGTCACACCAAGATTCCACGCCAAGATGGTTTGGTGTGAGAAGCAAGCTGATCAAGAGAGTCTCTGACTTTAGGAACCAGCTTGTCTGGGGCACAGATGAGGATCTCAGTCTTATCTTCATTCAGCTGAAGAAAGCTCCCAGCCATCCAGGTTTTAGTCTAAGCAGGAGTGTAACATCTGCAGCCTAGGCCCCGTTCACACTGCAGGCAAAAGCACATCAAATCCGCTTTTTTCCCCACATGCGACCCACATCTGTTTATTTTTTATGACAGTCTGAAAGGCACAGATCCAATTTTTTCAAATGCGATCTGTGTCACTTGAATATGTGGTACTGATTCCGACACATATCTGATGTTTTTGAAAGCGACTGCAGTCTGTACGGTCATGTCTCATTAAATCCATCTCCTATGTCACTGACTCAGCGGAGGTGAGCGTTTTGGAATTAAAAATACAGGAGAGCATGCGGGAGGTCCTGCTGGAGCAAAGCGAAGCATTTCAGCGGTCTCCGTCTCCGTGAATGAATTAATACCGGAACATTTTCAGTCAATAATAATTCAGGAAGACAGCGGGAACAAGGAGTAAAATAGTTTACAGTTTTTAAAACAGTTTCCAGCCCAAAACAGAAGAATTAACAGGTGTGATCCTGTCAGTGAAGGCTTTCGCAGCGCAGCTCGAGCAGTGTATTGCCCAATTCCGCTCCTCCTGGTTTCTCCGCTGAGTGTGATTTCTTTTTGCGCATGCGAGTCACTTTGGGGTTGTGAAGCGTTCACACTGGAGAGAGTTTGATGTCGCATTCCAGTCATAATGTGAACAGCCTCACAAAAAAATCTGATTTACTCAAAAAATCAGAATTGAGCATCCAGGCCTGCAGTGTGAATGTAGCCTTAGACATCTCATGGGGCTAAAGGAGATGTACAGTTGGATGTCATCTGCATAAAGACGGTAGGAGATTCCTTTAAAGGAGCTCAGAATGAGCTGCAGAGGAAGCAGAAACATAATGAAAAGTAGAGGCCCTAGCACAGAACCTTGCGGTTCTGTAAATAATTCTCACTTCTCCCATTCTAAGTGGTTGGTTGGACAGACCCAAGTGGATTATTGCCATTTAAAACAGCTAATGTAAACATTGGTTTGTAAGCTACTCTACCAATTTTAAACGATCTTGTTATTGCTGCAGAAGTATACGTTTCCCTGCAGCTGATGACGATGATTGGTCCAAGATGTGATGAACTACTTCACGCCATTCTACGGGTTTCATGAGGATTCATTTTAAAACCAGAAGACCCACCTGACAACTAGCCCAGCTAATTTAGTCTGTTCAGTTGTTTATATTTAAAGCGTATCCAGTGCCGTACCCTAACTGATACGTGTCTGCTGAAGACACCAATCATGTTGGTAAAGGGCAGCTCTGCTCAAGGTCAGAATACTAAGTTGAATCCAAGTAGAGGTTTTAAATGCAAAACTACTGGAAGGTAAGATAGAAAGTACATTATACACAGAAAGACCCTTCAAAATGGTTCAAACATCTCATTAAAATGTATTTAGTTTAGTTTTCACTCACCAGGACTGAGATTTTCTGACCCGTGATGATGAGGCGGCTCTCTCTCTGGGAAGATCCTGCATCAGTCTGGGAGAGAAAGCTCTCTCCAGGTGAGCCCCATGTAGGTTCAAGCTGAACATGGTTGGTGGAGACATGTCCAACTCCAACAGCATTATGTTCTCAGCCTGCAGGTGTAGATGATAGTACAACTGTAGTTAAACAAGCAGAAGTTTCAGATTTCATAAACTTTCCTCGACTCCAGCAGAGAGGGCTGCTGTGGACACGAGAATGGAAACAAAACTACCGACTCTTTTCTCGGCCACCCGTCCGGGTGAAAGTACGAGCACCGACCTGGTATCTAGATGGAGTCCCAGCTGCCCCAGCAACAGCCATCTGTGCAAACTGGCTGATTGGCCTCTTGTATCCCACAGCAGAAACTGGCCTTCTCTTGAGCTTGGTGTGTGTACTGAGAAAAATACAAAGAGTTGGTTTGGATATAATTAAAACACCTTTGGTTTTTAATTATTTTGTGTATTTCCTTGTTTTGTTCGATATTTAATTAATTTATTTATTTTTATGAAATTTTTAAAAAGTTTTTTTAATAATATGAGTTACAACATTTAATTTCTGTCTAGGAAATATAAAATATTTTTGAAATAAAAATTGTTTTGAACTGCAACCTGTGCAAAAACGTGCCACATACTGTCTGTGGTCACCCATTAAATGTCCCTAAAACAATAAATACTTCATTTACTCATGTTCCTCTATTAAAAATACTACAACGCTACCTTTAAACGTACACTACACTAGGGGGCTATGTTTTGATTAACTTTAGGGTTGTGTCTTTTATTTATTTAGTCTGTGGTTGTTTCTAACACGTTTTAGGTGGGTGTTTTATCATCTAAGATTTTCTATCAGAGTATCATTAAAACTTCTGCGTATCGCTGTCATCTGTGATACTCTGGGTGTCATTTGTGAAGCACTTACGGGTTTTATCCTGTGAAGAGTGCTTTATAATTAAATCCATCCACCATGCACATGACACTCTGACCTTGAGCCACCACAGTTTGATTCTTGATAAATTTGATTAAAAAGATGAACTCAAGTAAACGTCTGTATACTTGTTGCAGAAGAGGAAGTAAAACCTTTTTGTTTTACTTGTAGCTGCATCTTGATTCATTTCAGAAACAGTTTGGCTACTGATTCTGACTTGAATTACTCAAAGCCTATGTGCCATAAATGGTTTGGTTGTTTCTGATGATGCCAGTGATGTAAAATCGACTGACTGACCTCTCTGATGGAATCACGGGTCGGAGCCTCCACTGATCCTCCTCAGAGTCAAAGTAAGCCCGGTTCATTATCTTGTTCTTTTCCTCAGGGGGTATAAAATTCTCAATAAGGAGATATCTGTAATGGGATCAAATTAATTAAAGAGAAAAAAATAGTTAAAGGGAATAGTATTTTAGATTACACATCAGTTTCTTTTTCATGTAGTTCTAAAATAATCCAGGCCTGAGTATAAATAGTGTAAAGTGTTTATTTTATTAATATTAAAATATAAAGTTCCATCCATTTTCAGCCGCTTATCTGGAGTCATGTTGCAGGGGCAGCAGCCTAAGCCGGGACACCCAGACTTCCCTCTCCCCAGCTACTTGAGCCAGCTTTTCCAAGGGAATCCCAAGGCGTTCCCTGGCCAGCCGAGAGACATAGTCCCTCCAGCGTGTCCTGGGTCTCCCCTTAGGTCTCCTCCCGGTTGGACGTGCCCGGAAAACCTCACGAGGGAGGCGTCCAGGAGGCATCCTGACCAGATGCACATGCCACCTTAGCTGGCTCCTCTCGATGTGAAGGAGCAGCGGGTCTACTCCGAGCCCCTCCCAGATGACCAAACTTCTCACCCTATCTCTAAGGGAGAGCCCATCCACTCTGCAGAGAAAACTCATTTTGGCCGCTTGTACCCGCGATCTCGTTCTTTCTGTCACTACCCAAAGTTCGTGACCATAGGTGAGGGTAGGAACGTAGATCGACCGGTAAATCTAGAGCTTTGCCTTCCGGCTCAGCTCTCTCTTCACCACGACAGACCGGTACAACGCCCGCATCACTGCAGATGCAGTGCCTATCGATATCATGCTCCATCTTTCCCTCACTCGTGAACAAGACCCCGAGATACTTAAACTCCTCCACTTGGGGCAGGACGTCATCCCTGACCCGAATAAGTGCTTCTACCCTTTTCCGACTTAAGACAGCCGCTTCACACTCGGCTGTGAACTGCTCCAGGGAAAGCTGGAGATCACTGTTCGATGACGCCAACAGGGCCACATCGTCTGCAAAAAGCAGAGGCCCGATCCTCAGGCCCATGGGCATAATTTTTTTTGGGGGGGGGGGGGGGGGGGGCACTGTGATAGATTGATCATGCACCCTGGCTACTTGGGATGTGGCAGTGTGAGCGTCCTGTCACAGTGTCCTGATTGATCATGCGCCCTGGCTACTTGGCCAAGGAGATGTCCCTTTGGCTGACTGGCTGGCGCATGTGACTCTTACCCGGGAGTCTGGGGATTGAATCCCGCCCGGGCCCTCGTTTCTCCACCTTGCCACAATTACAATGCCGATTGTAGTTTCCTGGCGTTGTACTTTCCAGATCTGCTCAGGTTCCTGCACCTGCCGATGACGTCATCATACTACGGCAACACCTCTCGGCCCAAATATATTGTGTCTCTCTTTCGATTCCGTTCTTTCACATGCGTTTTGGAAAAACTTTAGCAGTTTTGTAATCAAATTTGTATTTCTTCCTGTCTAAATGTTTTTGAACCTGGTAACGTAACTTCCGTTAAGTTAAATATCCAGCCAATTATCTAGTGATGTCATCGACAGGCGCAGGACCCCAAGAAGAAAAAATGGTATCTAATATGGCATCTCCCAAAGACACTAGACTCGCCCACTATGTACTTTAGACCTGATTTTATAGTTACAGTATGTGGTACGAAGCCGCCAATATTTTTAAACAACTGAACATCACACCTCGTGATTTTTATCTTGAGGAGCTATATAAACGATATTCTTCTTCTTCTTCTTCTTCTTCTTCTTCTTCATTTTCAACATTTAGTTGAAAATTTACAGAGATTAATGGTAAAAAACTACAAATTGTCTCTTTAACACCTTAATCTAACATCTGAAATGTCTCCTCAGCCTTCATTAGTTTCTACAAGAGCGGTTCATCACTAAATCAAACAAATCAGCTGTGTTCACCATCTAAAACATGCAGAAAACATGCTGGAAGCAGACTCCAATGCCAGGCATGTCCACTCCACTTTACTAAGTCCAACAAGGACCAGACAACCACTCTGAAGTTGCAAATGTGGTATTCTGACCAGTGACCACAGAGGGTGGTGGGGTTCTGAGTGTCTCTCTCTCACCATGTAAAGGGTCATTTTAGCCCATTCTGGCTCAAGAAAATTATTAAAAATATGAAAAAGTTGCACAGTGTGGCTTTAACGATTTTGTTTGATTTAGATTTTGTTGTTCACTATGCTGCAGCAGCTTCCTGGCTGTGATGAAAGCTCACATTTATTGTTTATTAACGTTTACTTGAGTTATTAATAAAGTCTCCTATTTGTGTGGACCTACTTGTACTTGAGCTCTTTGGTGAGCTCATCCTGTGTCTCCTCCAGCTCTTGTCTGGTTAGGATGTGTTCATCGATGATGTCATTCATCTCTCCTCTCAACACCTGCAGTTTAGCAAACAGCTACAGAGAACAGATTAATCAATCAATAAATACAATCTAATTTTATTTGTACAGCACCTTCCACAACCTTAGCAGAAGTCCAAGGTGCTGAACAGTATATATGTACATCTGAATGTAAACAAAGACACTCGGACTTGGTAGACACACCCTCTTCAGTTTCTTCGTCTTGTGCTCCACCTCTTGCTGCAGGGAGGAGAACGTCTCCTTCCTTTCTAAAGTCTCCTCGTCCTGCAGCATCATCTGCTGCTGGATCTCCCTCTCTCGTCTGATCTGCAAATCAAAGCCAACATCCCGCAGTCACAACGATCTTGTGCACATTCAAATGTTTCACCATGGAGCATCACCAACACTTTATTATTGCTGATTTTATTACTTGTTCTGCTATTTCTTGTCTCTTCAGCTCGAGCATCTTTTGCTGTTCGTTGGTGTGATCGATGATGGTCTTTCCTCCCACCAGCAGTTTGCTCTCCATAGCCTGTGAACAAAGAGATCTGATAAATTATTTATGTAAATGTCCTTTGTTCAACTACCCAGTCATTTATCACACCAGATGCTGAATAAAAACGGTATTAACTGCAGGTCCGTACCTTATACTTCTCTATGATCTTCTCCACGGCTTCTTGGTCCCATTGAAATTCCTCCAAACTTCTTCTGTTAACGTTTAGATGTTTTAGTTTCTCGCTGCTCCCTTGGCAGGCCTTTGGGTTGCCCTCAATCAGCCTGTGCTTCTCATCTTCTTCCCCTACAGTCTTATCTGTAAAGATTTCCTCCTCCGTCCCAGCCATACTTTTACTCAGTCTTTTGCTGTTCCTCCTCCTCCTCCTCCTCTCTTCTGCCAGCATCCCTTGCTCCTCCAGCTGAGCTTTCAAACGTGCAATCTCTGCTTGAAACTCCCTTAGCAGGGCGTCTTTAGGGTCCTCGTTGATCCGTGGTTTGTTCTTTATTTTCTTGGCTCTGCTGGCGTACCTGAGCGTTGCCAGGGATTCATCAAAGTTCTTATGGGCGGGTCCAACTGTTGCAACCATGACCGTCTTTGCATTGCCGCCCAGAGAGTCCTGGAGCAAGCGGGTGAGTTTGGAGTCTCTGTAAGGGATGTGGGCGCTCTTCCCATCCACCAGGGCTGAGATGACGTTCCCCAGCGCTGAGAGGGACAGGTTGATTTTGGCAGCTTCCTTCAGACGCTTCCCTTTAGCGCCTGTCTTGCTTTGGCGTTCGCTTCCAGCCAGATCAACCATGTTCAGTTTGCCAACACGTATGTGGTCCTCACCATCCGGGCCTAGTTCGCTGCACTCCACGGTTACAACAAAAATGGCGTGAGACCTTGAGCTGCGCTCGTTCATGTTGGTGAAGCCCACCGTTCTGGACTGGTTCCCAATGTTCATGACGTGCTCAATCTCTGTGACATTCTTCGTCAGCACCGAAGACAAGTCTTTCACGTAAACGCCATACTCAGGGTTCTCTTTGAGCTCCAACTTTTTGTTGTTGTCTTTGCACAGGAGATCCCTGATCTCCTCCTGGTAGATCTCAAGGTACGAAGACCTGACCAGATACTTCTGATTCTGACTTCTGGAGATTTGAGTGAAAATGTGCTGAAATGAGTTTGGTATGACTCCACTCCTCTCCGGGTCGTTGGACACCCCCTGCATGGTGTAGGTCTTACCGGTCCCGGTTTGTCCGTAAGCAAAGATGGTGCCGTTGAAGCCTTGGAGCACAGACTCTACAAGAGGTCTCACAGCATCATCATAGATGTCACTTTGCTTTGAGTTCCAACCGTACACCGAGTTAAAGGTGAAGACCTTCATTGGCTCATCAGGCGGTGCCTTCGGGTTTCGGATGGTGATCTGTCCCAGTTTGTCATGTATCTCCAGAATGTTCTCACACTCTGCCACCTCCTCTCTCCTGGAGAACGGCCGGCAGCGCACCACCACCTGCACCGCCTCGCAGGCTCTAGCTGAAGACATTTTATTTACCAAGAATCAACAAACATCCTCGCAGATTTATTTCTATCTTCCTTCTCCAGGTGCCTCAGTTTCATCAGCAGCGGCAAAACAAGAAGTCAGACACGCCTCACCGTCATCAGCATCAGCATCATGGAGAAGCGCTCAGGCCGAAGCGTCTCCTCCTTTCCGGGGCATCATGGAGCGATGTCACCGGATAATTAAAGATGCTGATGTGAGGGGAAAAACAGCCAGCCCGGCCCGACCCAGCCCGCTCTGAGTCCCGGCGGAACACACCCTGCTCTGCGGACAATGGAGACCAGACACGTGACCTGCGCGACGAATGAGTGCGCCGCTTCAATAAATTAGCCCCAAACAATTACCACGCGAGCGTAAAACAAATAAAAGAAGTTTAAAAATAAACACGTTTTTATGTTGATGAGGAAATGAAAATAGTAATCTGGTTGTAATAATTTTATGTCCAAACGTGCGCGTTTGTATGGAAGCCCATTCCCGCCACTCAGATAACTCTCTCTCTCTCTCTCTCTCTCTCTCTCTCTCTCTCTCTCTCTTATATATATATATATATATATATATATATATATATATATATATATATATATATATATAATCTCAAAATTATGACTTAGCTATCTCATAATATTGAGATAGTCGCCTACATATATATGCGGAACTTTTTGAGTCATTACGTTAAACTCCTGCAAAAATAACGTCTGGTCCTTAAACATTCAAATGAATGAGATACAAACAAACAATCAAATCAATTCCAAAGAAGACGTAAAATAAATATACTGGGCGGGTTATAAATTTGGTTACCTTTTTACTGTAAATGCGCATACACACACTCTTTGAGGATTACACAGAGATTACACGACCAGACTGATAAGCTAACAGCTAGTCTGAGTGAGGACTGCCATACATAATAAAATAGCCTGCTACTACTAACAATAATCTCAGAAATGTCGCTGCAGTTATGCTAACAATATTGACATAAACATTTTCACTGCCAAGTGTGACAAGGTGAATTGAGGGCCCGGGCAGGATTAGATCCCCAGACTCCCGGGTGATGGCCACGTGCACTAACAAGTCAGCCAAAAGGATATCCATGTGTCCAAGTAGCCAGGGCGCATGATCAATCGGGATACAGTGACAGCATGCTCACCCTGTCACATCTCTCCCCCTCTTTCCACAAGCATGCCCCTATGTGCCGCGCAGGGTGCCACAGATTTCAAATCCATGGACCTACTTCACAGTAACACATGGATCCTGCCAACCATGCCAAATGTAGCAAGGTGGAGAAGCAAGGGCCTGGGCGGGGATTTGATCCCCAGACTCCCAGGCGAGTGTCATGCGTGCTAACCAGTCAGCCAAAGGGATATCCCTGACAAAGCAGTCAGGGTGCATGATCAATAGGGAAACAGTGACAGGATGCACACCCTGTCACACAAGCACGCTATTTACATTAATTTCTTTGTGATATTCTGAGGAAAAACTTAAATATTTGTGGTCAAATTTCGTTGTAGTGAAACATTAAAGTCACAGTTTATAATTGTGCTGAAAAAAGCCTCACATTGCAACTGGCCCCATTGTTAGTAGTCGGAACTAATCTCCAAACCGGTAACGACTGCTAGATATGAAATAGTCTTTCCTCAGAAACTTGCTTCAAAAACCATCCCTTTAGGTCTCCGCGTGGACATCTCAGTCCAGCCTGTCTTCTGATTTGACATTTACTGCTTCACAGTTGATGCATATTGTACTTGGCTCCACAAAAACAAAGGCAGAAATATGAGGTCTTTACCAGTTCTAAATGATAAATTTATCTTCTGCTGCAAATACCTCCATCGCCACCTCATCCATGCCAGCAGTGAGATGTAATCTCTCCAGCAGGTCCTGGGTCTGCCCTGAGGAACACATCTGGTACCAGATGCTCCTTATGTGGAGGACCCGTGACTGCTGAGTTTCTCAACCATCCGAGGGTGAATCCATAGCCAATCTGTGTAGGAAGTTCATTTCGGCTGCTTGTATTTACACTTACCCACAGGTCACAGTCGAAGGTTCTCCTTTCAGCTCAGCCTACTGGTCACAGTGACAGGTCAGTACGCCAACCCACCCATCACTCGCCTGTCCTGTTCGAGCTTTTATTTGGAGCTGTGGTCCATTCCCAATCCAATCCCTGGTTAAGGGCCTTGACCCCAGACTAGAGCTTTGTCACTGCCACCCAAAGGCTTTTTAGTTTAACCCTCCCACTGTCCTAATGGGTGTGACCCCGCGAGTAAAGTTGACCATTGAGCAGGGCTGATGGTTTATCGCTTGGGTCCATGTGGCAGGGGTGAGGAGTGAGCACCACCTCACCCCTGCCACATGGATCTCAAAGGATAAACCATCAATCCTGCTCAATGGTCAACTTTCCTCGCGGGGTCACACCCATTAGGGCGGTGGGAGGATTAAAGGTGCAGTATGTAAGAATATAGTGAGAATTTCACAATGAAAAAATCACAAGAGTCTAATATTTCAGTCATTTTGGAAGGGAGGTTATACTGAAACATTTCATATCCAGTTGGGGGGATTGTCAGTTTTTCTCCTTTCAAACAAAGGAGGGACGCAACTACTGTCTACCATCAGTGAGCGTGGGGCTGCCGTGTCTCCTGCGAGCTAAAACTGCAGAGCCGACAATTTTGACTGTCCGCAAAAAGCTCCGGTTGTTTAAAGTGGTGCCAGTAACCACATTTTATCATAAGATGTCATTTTTACTTTATTTCTACATAATGCACCTTTAAGAGATTCTACTTAAACCATCTCCTAACATCTTAACTCTTTCCCAACGTTTAAATTTTCTAACGTTAATGTCATTTTAGCACCAAAAAATGCTTTGATGTTAGGTAAGGGTTAAAGAGCAAGTCACCCCCTACAAGAAACTTACTTCACTCCCACTTCATGTTTGAAAAATGCAACAAATGCTGTTGCTTGGCAGACCGAGAGGGCGGAGCCGCTAACAAATACACACACACATAGGCTCACAATGGCATTATGATGTCGTAATATACCAGATGACATCATAGCATACCTTAGCCAATAGCGGTGGCAGATTTAAATTCAAATACAGTGCAGAATTTTTCCCTGACGACGGTGCAACACTGACAGTTTTAGGCAGAATATTTTAATTTTAACCAAGATGCAATGAACTGCCAAATTATTGACTACACGTGTCTGTAGCATGATTAGACACTCCTTTATATAGTTTTATCAGCAAAAAAAAATGTGATTTGGGGGTGACTTGCTCTTTAAATAACTTAAGTAAACAAGTCCGGCAGGTTTTAAGACTTTATTTTGTCCAACCTGCCTTCAAACCAAACACTAAAAGACAAAAGCAGATTTCCTTCAATAGTCTTTTATTGAAGCTTCACATTTACATAAATCTCCAAACAAGGAAGGCTTTAATGTACAAAAAGACACTTAATGAACCCAAACCTCAACATTCATCAGTATTAAACAATGAAATTGGCAGCTGGAAGTTTCCACAAATGTCTTTACAGATGCAGTGTGTGTATCAGCCTCCACGCCCTTTAATCTACACATCAAGTTATTATTTAAGTAAAAATTTAACAAAACCACCTTTTAGTTTCACACAGCTGCCAGTTTATTAGGTAGGCATTCTAGAGGCTCTAGTGGACACTCGACTCAAAGAGCTCATGTTTTTCTGCAAAACATTCACACTGCCTCAAACTGGATCCTCAGTAATAATTATTTATTTACTCTACATCTCGCTCAGTCATGAAGTCATGAAGGTGGGAATTATTGCAGGAGTTGTTGATGAAACAGCACTTTGAGTTTGGTGCACCAATAAGCTGTCAGCCTGTTTGTCCCGTATGTGATACCAATGTCAGGCACATTCTAGTGGCGGTCTGGAGTTTATCCTCAGCTACTGGCACGCAGGGCGGCGCCATCACTTGTGAAATCTCTTGCTAGAATCTCTTGAATGATCCAGTAGGAGCTGGCAGGGTGTGAACTGGTTCCCGTACACGGCTTCAAACTGCTTCATCTTCTGGACCAGTTTGTCGGCGCCAAAGGTGTCCACGAAGCGGAAAGGCCCTGGCAGCATGGAAAAGTTGGGTTAGACCAAAATAATCAAAACAATAAAAGAAAGAGATGAAAATGGTGCATAAAAGTGTTCTTAAGTTTTGTGATTCATGTGGAACAAAACAGAGATTATCGGGTTCGGCTGTTTCCAGTGAAGGTGATGAAGGTAAAGTCTCACCGCCGAGGCAGGGCGGGAACCCCAGCCCAAACACTGCTCCAATGTCTCCTTCCAGCGGGCTGTTCAGGATGCCCTCTTGCAAACACAGAACGGCCTCGTTGACGAATCGAGAAACGAGCCTGTACTGCACATCCGAGTCCGACGACCTGCAGAAAAGACCCAACATCCTTTAAACTTCTACTCACAGTGATAAAAGCACTCTCAGAGATGGTGTGGAACGCTGCTCCCGTAGTGGGTTCAATCCTGACTCACACAGCGGGATTCGGTGTCATCCTAAACTTCTCCAGAATGTCTCCAATCTCTGGGTTGACGTCTTTGGCTTTGCGTCCTGGCTGGTAGACGTAGCAACCCTTTCCTGATTTACGGCCTTCACAAAAACAAAAAGCATCGTTAATAAATGTAAAATAAACTTGTATGAACACGGTTCTCTAATGGGACCAGCAGTACCTTTAAAGCCCTGATTCACCATGGTCTTCAGAACCTCCACGTTTCCGCCACCAAATCTGGAGCCGAAGGCTTTGCCGAGGTCTTCGGCCACGTGCGCCGCGACATCAATACCGACCTCATCGGCCAGCGTCGCCGCGCCTACGGGGAAGCCAAAGCTTGTGGTGAGTGTGTCCAGCTTCTTGGGGTCGACTCCTTCCTGTTTGTGAAGAGACACAAAAATAACGAATAACACTAATAAAAACCATTTCTGTGTGTAATTTAACCGTTAAAATAAAACACAACTAACCTGAAGAACCCGAACAGCTTCAGCCAACATGGGGGCTAGACACCTAGTTGTATAGAATCCAGGTCCATCCTGCCAAGAATTGTGGGTAATAATACTCCTATTAAAACATTAAAGGTGAATTATGTAGAAAAGAAGTAAAAAATGACATCCTGTGGTAAAATTTGGTTACTGCAACCACTTTAAACAATTCTGGAGCTTTTTGCCGACCGTCGTCAAATTACAGTCGTCGGCGCTGCAGTATTAGCTCGCAAGAGACACGTCACCCCCACACTCACTGATGGCTAACAGTAGTTACGTCCCTCCTTCCTTTGTTTTGAAAGGAGAAAAACCGACAATCCCCGCAGCCAGCTGGATATGAAATGTGTTTCAGTGTAACCTTCCTTCCAAAATGACAGAAACATTAGACTCTTTTGGGATTTTCTCACTGTATTCTTACATACTGCACCTTTAACATAAATCATCAGTGAGTAGCTTGTTATCAAACCTTTGATCTTTTCCATTAGGTAACATAAGCAAACACCAAATCTCACCCCGACAACGATGATGACTTTGCCCTGCTTCAAGCCGACCGCCACGGCGGATGCCGTGGTGTCCTTTGATGTCTTATCAGTGGTTATGATCTCCAGAAGCTGCATCTTGTCCACTGGAGAGAAGTAGTGCATTCCAATCACCTACAGAGGGAGGGAAACCCATCAGAACTTTTACACATGATTAATAATCTCTTTCGTATTTCTAAACGGCTCAAACCTTGTCTGGTCTTCTGCTGGCAGCAGCGATGTCCTTGATGGGCAGAGCGGACGTGTTGCTGGCGAATATGCAGTGGGGGGACACCACCTGCAGTCATACATCTTTTTGGGTCAGAATGAAAAGCGACTAGATTCAGTCCAACAAGTCATTTGTTTGGAGTCCGACTCACCGCTTCCACCTCCTTCAGCACGGCGTGTTTGATGCTAATGTCTTCAAACACGGCCTCGATGACCATGTCAGCCTTTTCAAAGCCCCGGTAATCCAGCTGGCCGGTCAGGTTGGACAGGATGGAGTCTCGCTCAAACGACGTGATGCTCCTCTTCTTGGTCTTATCGTTGAGCCTTAATCCAAATATTTTGTCTGGTTAGACTTAAGAGTCTTTTATTATAAAAACAACGTTTTTATTAAAGCGTGAAGCCTGCTGACCCTTTGAAAATCTGCTGCTCTCCTCTGGCCAGCCCTTCCACCGTCGTGTCCTTTAGGATCGTGTGCACGCCTTTGTCCACGGTCACCTGGGCGATACCTGCTCCCATCAGCCCCGCTCCCAGGATGGCCAGAGTTCTGCAGGTAAACAACAAGAACAGGTAACGGTGTAGCTGGCGTCTGTTCCCCCATCAGGACCACATGTGAGAACTACACTCACTTCACTTCTCTTTCAGGAGTTCCAAAGCGATTCTTCTTGCACGCTACTTGGCCGTGATAGAGACCGATCAGAGCTGCAGACTCAGGGGTCTTCCCTAACTGACCGAAGCTCTGTGACAAACAGGTGACTTATGAATGTTTGGTTTACGGATGTAAACAATAAATGTCACAGAGACGCAGACGAACTGGCTTTACCTGAGACTCAGCCAGGTATCCCGCATCGGGACCCTGTTCAATCCCAGTTTTCACACACTAGAAGAGAAAACAGGAGATCACCAAACAGGAAGTAAAAGGAAAGTGAAATTTTAAATGTACAAAAATGAAATAGTTAGAAATAAATCTTAAATAAGTGTCTCTGAATCCAAAGTGAACTAAATAAGACATTAGGGGGTTGTTTCCTAAACAAGAGAAAAAAAAACTTTACACAAATCCAGTAGACCAATCCACCAAGTGGAGCTAGAACTTTCATCTATCCATGCAGCCAGTGAGAACGGAGACGGGGCAACTTACTTCTATAATCTTCAGAGGTGCTGGATAAAGGCCCTTGCTCTGCTTCATGACTTTATCATGGACCGTTTTGTAAATCTGGTTCCGTACCAACTCGAAGCTCATCACATAGTCTTGTATTTCTGTGGAGACTGAGTTTTAGTTTGGATCAGAACTAAATCGGCTCAGGGGACAACGATTCAACACCCACTCTGCATCAAGCCTTTCTCTTTGTGGAGAGGAATCTTATTGTTGACGATGCCTCGGGCACAATCAACAGCTACTTCTTCCAGATACTCGATCGTCCTTTCCTCTGGACTCTTCAGCCCCGGTCCTGTCAGAAAACACACACAAAGTTACCTCACAACATCGGAGCTCAACAGGACAGCCTTGTTTAAAGCAGGTTTAGGTTTTTAAACTAATTAAGAAGATTTGTGACCTAGAGGGTCGACGAGCTGGTGGACGAGCCCCATCTTCTTGGCTTTATCCGCTCTGATGTTCCTGCCTGTCAGCATCATGTCAAAGGCATTGGGAAGACCAACCTGTAGGGTGCGAGAAGAGGTGTCAGGGTGTCCGCAGGTTTAAGGGAGCCAAATTTAAGACTTTTTAAGACCACTTTGACCAAATTTAAGATATTTTTTAAATTAAATTTAAACTATAATTTCCAGCTATTGCCTGGAACCGGTGATAACCACGTTGCGAACGTTGGATTAGCCATCCAGTTAAAATTAAACTTGCACTTCCTCATGGCGCAAGCTCCCACTAGCTTAACCATCTAAAACTAGCCCCGTTTCACACCCAACTGAATGTGTACGGTTACGCAAACATCGTTCACAAAAAATGCTGAAAACTAACTAGATATTCACGAAAAAAAAAAAAAAAAAAAAGAATCTTGTTTATTGGGTCTTTGGTTATTTAAGACCTTTGGAAACTGTACTTAAGGATTCTTTGCCCTTTTTAAGGCCTTAAATTTGGAAAAGCAAATTTAAGACTTTTAAAGACGTTTTAAGGACCCGTGGATACCCTGGATGTGCACTAACTGGTTAGTTCATTCTGCTCCTTTAGGAAACTAAACAAACAATCACACCTTAGATTCTCCTATCTGCTTGTATTAAACTACCAGAGATGTTTGGGATAAAAAATTTGCTTTTTATATAAATAAGATGCTGGAAAAGATGAAGTTCAGGTTCTTTTAATCTAAAGGGTTTCTGAAAAGCCAAATCAAAGATCTTTAGATGATGTCTGCTTGACTGCGACTGGTGCCAACTAGGGGTTGTATGAACTAGTCAACTAGTCGACCTCACTGCTCTGTAGTGACTTTTTATGCTTGTCATCGACAAGTTGCTGTCACGTGATAATGACCGGCAAGATGCAGTCCTCGGAAAAGACAGCAGGTGACGAGCTCCTGCGCGTCGGGAGGCGACGCGCTGTGCCAGAGCGTCGGTACTGACACATGCCCTAAAACGGACATTTGACCAAATTGTGACCTTTTTAACCTTCCCCTCACCCCCATCCTAACCTTAACCGGCTTGCGCATGCAAAGCTCTGATCGTTGACGCGCTCCAGACATCTGCGTCCTGAGCACGGCCACAGTAACGTTATCAAATCAGGTGCCGCCCAACTCAAAAACTAATTTAACACATGATTGTTCATGTCGGCTCATTTCCTTTAATGTTTTCTGTCTTTTATTTGCGCCTGATGCATTTTGCTGCTGTGGAGCGGAGCGCATCACCTGTTTTGTCCTCCGGTGACGCACTGATCACTGATGCGGCCGGCGAGCAGCGGCACTTCGCTGTTTTTGTGGTCGGTAGATCTTTTAGAACTGCAGTTCAAAGGTAACTCATAAGGTGAATATATATGAACCCAGGTAGCAGTTTTTCTTTAGGATTGAGAGGAGATGCAGGAAGATAATAAACAGGCAGGACAGAAAAATAGTCAAATAAAAAGTTAGTTTTTCTACCTGCTGGTTGCAACAAACAGACACCATTGAAGGTCATCAGAAGTGAGGAACAGAAAATGAAATAATTATTTTAATGTTTAGAGCAGCAGGAACTCTGAGAGGCTGCAGGCGCATCAGTGAGTTTGCGGCCGCTGCGCAGGGGGAGGGGGGGAGGGCTGAAGCAGAAACTACCGTTGTTAAATTATTATTTTACTGTCTAGATCATTTTATTTATTACTTATTTTCTAATTTTTGTCATTTATGTTAGCTCTTTTATTACATTTTTACTCATTTTAATCCAGTGTCTCCTCTGTGGGGGCCCTCTGCCCCGGGAGCGGTGGTCGACTGTAGCTTCCTGGGCGCTCTATAGATGGGGGTCTATGCTCCCCTTCCACTGAGCGCTCTGACTTAGTGTGGAAGACCTGATGCTGCCGGGACAGACGGCTCCTCTGACGGCATTTCCTTGCGTTACCATACTTGGCTCATCTGGACTCAGCCTAATATAATTTTTACTTGTGTGTGTGTGTGTGAGTCTGTGTGTGTGTGCGCGTGTGCTTGCATATGTTTGTTAATGTTTTTAACCTGTTATGGGAATATGGGGTCATTTTGTAAAGCACTTTGAATCACACTTTGTTTGAAAAGCGCTTTAGAAATAAATTTGATTGATTGATTGATTAAAAGAAATGTTTTTAACTTTGAAAACGTTGGAGCAATTTTAATTGTCAACAAATAAAACTCCAGCGACCCCCCCCCTCCCCCCCCCCCCAGTGAGATAAAATGCACCAGTGTGGTTTCTATCAGGGTTTTAGGGCACCGGGCATGATTATCCCTAGGGAAAAGGGATTGTCTTGTTTGCTGTCTGCAGGCTACCAGTGTAGCAGGTGTTGGTACAGGATCTGCTCGGGTGCAAGATCGGCTCGGGGTCCTTCGACTGCCGATGACATCAAAGCAAGTGATTGGCTGAACATGAACCTTACGGAATTACGTAATCATGTTACATTATTATCACGTTGCGTTGGTCCAGGCAAATTTTTCTGTTGGAAAGATGGACAACTTTTACAAAGAAATCCATCATTACCTCTTCGAAAATACACTTTTAGCATAGAGCTGCATGTATATTAGGGCTGAACGATTAACTGCATGTGCAATTAAATTGCGATGTGACGAAAGGAGATTTTCTAATCGCAAAGGCTGCAATTTGGCAGAGCGTGGTTAGCGCAATGCTAATATACATGGAAAAACCCATAAGAATGCTAATGCTAATATCACCGATTACATTCTTACAAATTATGAATTAGAAACGTGCCAAATGATTACATTTGGAGTCTAATAGAAAGTAAAACTACCATCAATCAAATAAGTACAGACAGGTATTTTAGTAAAGCCAGAAAACTTTTAACTCCAGAGTTTTGGCTAGCAGCTATGAGCGTAACTGAACTACGCATGGACGTCAAAAACTCTAAACACAAAATACTTCAATAAACGGGACACACTTCTTTCCTGCAAATACAATTTCACAGGTGTTTCTAATACCTATGATTCTTCAAGGGATGTGCTCAAAGAGGAGTTCAACATTATGAATAAAATATAGTGTTTTATTTTACAAATACCATTATAAACACAAACTTACGTCGTAAGAAACATTATTTTAATAACGAAACTGCTAAATTCTTTCCAACAGTTTAGATGTGTAGTGTATTTTGTCCGAGTGGGTTTGCCGTACTTTGACGTCATCGGCAGTCGAAAGACCCCGAGCCGATCTTGTACCGACACCCGTCAGCTTCTTAAACCAATTACAAGCAATAACCAGATTACTCTGCAGGTTTTGTTCAGATAGCTACACCAGAATGCTTCACACACTATAACTGAGATAAACACCAAACCACTTCTTAACTGATTGAACACCAAAAGCATAATTTATCATTTCAATACGAACCATTTTGGGTAGCCTCTGTGTCCCACCAGCTCCAGGTAAAAGGCCCAGCATCACTTCAGGGGTACCTAGAACAGTCTTCTTGCTCTTTGTTGCAATTCTGTACTGGCAGGCAATGGCAAACTAAAACACACAAAAAGATGCCTGTTATAGTAAACCTTTATACAATAAGTTCACTTTTCACAACACACTTGACTCGTTTACCTCCAAGCCTCCTCCTAAACATGAGCCGTTGATGGCAGCAACGATGGGCTTTGGAGAATTTTCAATCTGCTCAAACATCTTCTGTCCTTCCTGAGAAAGTTTAGAGATCTCTTCTGAGGTTTTGCAGGCCTGGATCATGCTGGACGGAGAGAGTCAAGTGTTTTAGATGCACGCACCATCGTTTTGATACGTTCTTTACAAACAGCCAGAGTGGACGCAGCTAGCAGCAATAAAAGCTTTCAGCGAAAACAACAAAGCCAAGTAAATCTAATTTACAATGAATTTCTCTGCATAAATAATTCAGAATTCATTGTAAATGTTTCAAAGTTGTTATGATGAATGGTGATTAATAATGCAATGTTGAGGAAGGCAAAAGACTCAAGTGTGAAAGAGCAGCACCGAGGCAGTTTATAACAGAGACACGAGTCCTGTCTTTGTGCAGTAAACACGGATTATCCGTCACTACTCAAGAATGAAGGAATTTATATTTAAAACAGAAAAGATGGCAGAGCAAAACAGCTGTTGTGCAAAAAAAGTGATTTTCCTCCTTTAAAGTATCTTTTCAGCGTTTTCCTCTTTCAGGAATTATTATGTTTTTTTCTAAAAACCATAAAAGTGATTATCTTATCATGTACTGTGATATGTTTTTTTTTTTGCCAAGCACGCCACCTGCTGACCAGAACTGACAATAGCAGACCTGCCAACCTTGTCAAAAATTTTTGAGTACCACTTGTGCGGCGGTTTTTCACGGACTTTTGCAACTCCATTGCTTTTCATGCTGTAATGAAGCACATCAGTCCATCCAAGATGATGGCAAAGGAAGGTCTCTGTTTAGCTTTTAAACATAACTCAGACGGTTTAAAGCAGGGCTATTCAAATCCGGGCCTCGAGGGCCGGTATCCAGCACGTTTTAGTGGTTTCTCTGCTCCAACACACTTGATTCAGTGGTTGGATCAACTGTGCAGCAGCTCATCAGGCTCTGCAGAAGCCTGTTAATCATCTGCTGATTGAAATCAGGTGTGTTGAAGCAGAGTTAAAACTAAAATGTGCCTATAGAGCTCCGGGAGTTGACGTCACTTCTCCCGGCATGCAACAGTTCAAATCGAAACGGCGCCATATTGGCAGGCAGAAGCCCGCAGCTGGACTATTTGTTAAAAACTCAATCAAACGGGAAATATGGTAGATTCCTGTTGTGCCCCAAGATGCAGAACAGACACGGACGACATAAGGAATGAGCCATCTACAGGATTCCCCAAGATCCGGAACCCCGCAAACGTTGGATCATCACAATAAAGCGCACTAGTGGCCGGGCTAAAATGAAACTGTGGGATAACAACAGTAAAGGATTTCGCTTATGCAGCGACCGCTTCATATCAGGTACTTAAACCAACGTTTCCTCAACTGTGTATGGTATTTATTTTAAATGCTTTTAATACGATTCTTAGTGGGCTTCCTAAACTTATTTTGGCGAGGCTTTTTATGTTTTATTACTCATAGCAACAAGTAAACATCACGTAAAACGTTGCCTCGTGAGTTCTGCGTGCTGCCGTTTCCGTGTTTTATGATCACAGCAATTAACCGGCTAAGCTGTATTTAATTTTTAAGCAATGGTTGATCGATTGTAGGATCACACATAAAAAGCACTTTGGATTGCTATTATCTGTTTCACCGAGACAGCTCTCAGACAGATCCTGAGACGCTCCTGCCTGACATATTTATTTTATTCATGGAAAAAAAAATCAAACTAGTGATTTCTCTTGACGTTCAGTTTATACATTCAAACAGCACAGCACTCCATTTAAACTACTTACATGTAAATCTATGCTATTTGTCCATCCGCGTATCCGGAGTCGGGTTGCGGGGCCAGTAGCGTCGAGAGGCCCAGACTTCCCTCTCCCCAGCAACTTGGGCCAGTTCCTCCGGGGAAATCCCAAGGGGTCCCCCGGCCAGGTCCGGTAAGAAGTCTGCTCCGACAGCTTCTGGCGTTTTTAAAAAGTATCCCAGGGGCATGGTAAGGGTCGGAGATGTTTAGTCTATTTAGTTTCTGACTATATAAAACGATTTATTCGGTGTTAAAGTGTGAAGTAAACTCCGACGAAGTAAAATCCAAGCCGATCTCGTTCATGTTTACGATCCGTGTTTGTTTACCTTTTTTGCCTGCCAATATGGCGTCTACTAACTGAAGCCCCCTTCAGACAGGCCATGAAAAACGGAAATGTTCCGGAATCTGTCCGTAAGACCTTTCTGTCTGAATACAAACATCCGGATAACGTGTTCGAGAATTTATCCGGACGAAGCCCCTAGTAACAGGTCCGGACTTGTTACGGACAGGGTGGCTGCTTCAGACTGGTGAGGTAGAGTTCCGGACAAGAGGGAGGGAGAGGAGGAGGGGACCGGGGGACGCTGTGCGCACCCAGATAGCCCGCTGCTGTAGAATGCGGCGAACCACGGCAGCTCGCCTCCTACGGTACCGCCTAGACGTGTGACGGAGCGCTTCACACCGCTTCAGTGATTCCTTTAACCATTGAGCTTCATCATCCAGGTCTCTTATGCGTCTTCGTGTGCGCAGAATTATGCTTAAGCGCCTCGTGATTATTATCTTGAGAGGCGCTATAGAAATGATATTTTCTTCTTGTTCTTCTTAACATAAGTCCGATTCCCCCACCCCACCCCACCCCCCGCAGCCGTCAGACATCTGGAACTTTTCCCTGCTGTGTGAACGCAGCCGAAAGGACAAGTTCCGGTACAAAAGTGGCATGTCTGAAAACACAGTTCCGGTTAAAAACCGGATTGAATTGTCCACAAATGTTCCAGAATGTCTGTCTGAAAAGGGCTTGAGAGTCACGTGGGGTCCGGAGCTCTATAGCGGCCCTCGAGGACCAGAATTGAATAGCCCTGTTTCAAAGTGTATGAAAACCCGTGTGGGGTTTAGGGTCGTCATGGTAACCGGTGTAGCGGTAAACCATGGTAAAAAAGTTGACAATAATAATAACCGTCTTGTTTTTAAAAAAACTATATTATCTTGGTGGGATTACCGTGGCTGCGGTGTAGGCGCGGTGACCCTTACCAGCCACCGTATCATCTGCTGAAGTTGCCGGCAGCACATGCACGCTTTGTTGTTTACGACCAAAACTTTCTTGAAGCTAAAGCTGAAATAATGGCCAAAGGAGGAGACGGCAGCGCTCAGGAGGACATTTTTTATCCCTCATTTTTTAATCCCTCAAAGAAGACAAAGTGGGAAGTACGGGCATCTTTTGGATATTTGAAGAATGCCGAGGAACAGTTTATAGAAGACGGCTATCCTGTTTGCAGCACGTGCAGAAAAAGTGTCTGTGAAAGGCAGCAACGCTTCAAATCTCATGACACATCTGCGTGACCATCACCCACAACTCTACAGTCAACGCAAGGCAAGCTAACGTTAGCGTTTTAGCTAAAATGCGTGATCCGAGGATTTGGGTTGAGGGAGAATGCAACGAGTCGCTATATAAAGCAGCCGCAGCGCCGCTACCTGCATATAAACCGTGTCACGGACACCCCCATGTTGAAATTACGCTATGCATTACGGGGCTCCCAGGGACAGATAAGAGTTGGTCTCTCTCCGAGAATAATTATGAATTTAAAAACGATTACTGCCTGATGACATTTTCCCACATCTGCAAAGCTCACTGGAAGGACACAAACCGAGGACAATATTTTCCTCATATAGTGTTTATTACTCAAGTAAGGGTAAAAAAGTATCTGATTACAAGGCTACTTGAGTACTGAATATCATCTGATCTAATATTTTTAAAATGATGACATCAAACAGACATAAAATACGAAGTTATGGGCAAATATTGGTATTTTAAAGACTAGAGGGAAAATATGTAAACAAATAAACAACATAATTACAAAATAACACATTTTAGGCAAAATTTAGACACAAACTGAGGACGATATTTTCCTGATATACAGGGTTTATTTAGTTGTCTGAAAATGTACCACGTTTAAAAAAAAATACCGCGATAATACCGAAAACCGTGATAATTTTGGTCACAATAACCGTGAGGTTAAATTTTCACACCGTGACAACCTACAGCAACATAAACATGGTTTGTTATTCGGTGTGCATTTACTTGTAACTTAGCTGCACTGTAATGAATGTAACACTTCAATTAGAACAAAATGGTGACTAAATCTTTGGGACTGAAGGATTCACCTGCCTCTGGTGACTCTTTTATTATATATATATATATTCATTTATTAGTAGATATTATTTTTGGGTCTAGTGTGACTTTTAACACCCTAAAAGATATCCCCCCTTCTGTGAGGTGGCAGGTCTTGGACTCTTCATTTTTTTAATTCCAGAACCAGAACTCCCACCATACCTCATACGATTAGTCGTTATTACTGCCAAACAAAACAGGAAGTCACACGAGTTCAATCAGAAATGTGTCTTACTTAATATCAGCTCCTGCGATGAAACATCCAGGCTTTGAGGAGATGAGGACGGCACTTTTAACCGCATCATTGGCCCAAACTTCACTCATGACCTCTGTCATCTCTTTCTGCATCTGAACCGACAGCGTGTTAACCTGAAGGGAGACGTCATAGTTTTTCCACATGGTTCACACCTTTTGGATGTGTTGTGATTGAGCACTCACCTTGGAGTTTGGGTCGTTGATCCGTATGACTGCAACATCTCCCTTGACTTCATAGTTGACATGGGTTCGGGCTACAATAGATAAGGTGGGGGTTGAATTAGTTGAGCTGACAGCGAGGTTTGAATAATCAGACGACGTGTGATTGTTTTTAAATTACCAAGCATGGCTGAAGCTACTGAGAAGGTGCGAAAAATGCTGCCTGAAAAAAAAGGAAACACAGTTTAATTCTAAGTGGTTATATGTAAAACTAACTGTGAAACTAATTGTAAATTACTATTTCTACAAACTATTTCTGTAAATGCCATTAAATAAACATATGAAGTGTAAATGTGACATGTTCTCGTGACCTCAGGCGGTCTAAGCCATTCCAGGCAAGCCAGTAGAAGAATGACTTTTCACCTACATTCCCACCCTACCACACATAGGGGCCATCACAATGACGAATGAATGGCAAAACACGTCAACTCCTCACATAACATAATTCACACAGTCTTGCCTTGTACTAAGTTCAGACTTTGATTAAAAACGTCTTAATATAGTGACATATTTTATGGCTGTAGTGATTACGTAGCGTCGAACTAGTTAGCATTAGTAGCATGTGAACCCCGGGTTAGCTACCCCATCAAAATGATAAATACTTAAAATCTTCGGTTTAAATGTTTATTAATATATGTTTGTTGAAATAGCAAAACAAGCGTGTTCTCACATGTGCTTTACTGCATTCATGCACAATTCTTTTCGGTTAGCAGCTACACCACCAAACTAAGAATATCTTTGAAAACCACGTTTTTATAATTAAACACACCGCACTGGTCGTCTTTACAGAATAAATTCAAAGTGGATGCGTCCTACCAGACATGGGAGCATATCGCCTTGATGACAATCTGGATAAAACACCAATAGCTCGAATGCTAGCCATGTTGGGAATGGAGGTCAGTCTGCAGTGTCGGAGTGAAGCAAGCTTGCTTGATCACCGGGATCAATCCTTTTTAGTTAGCCGGGCTATGACCCGGCTAGAAGTGATGGTGAGCGGCGAAGGAGGAGTCTTTTTTGGCAGGAGCAGGAGACGTTTATTTCCAGTAGATTAACTGACTTTAATCGTTTATGTCTACGTTATTTAGGACTAAAATAGATAATTAAGCCCCCAAACCCCTGTAACGTTCTGCATGTGAGCGGGGCAGCAGATGCATTGACTTGAAATGCAACACAAACCCCGCCTGACTGGCACACCGCGTATAGTCGGACGGAGGGTAAATCTTACGGATCAAACAGCCAGTAGGACTAGAAGCTGATTGGTTGCCTTTGAAAAACCTCACATTTCATTGGTTGGTTGAAAGAGCTATTTTTACGTCAACGTATCTCTAATTTTACCCAGAATGATTAAAGCCATGTGTATGTGTGTGTTCATCTTATGACGTTTATACCCTTTTATGAGTGAAAACTGAAAAGTTTACAGAAAATATTCAAAAACTAAAACTGCGACAATAAAACAACTGCAGTATCTTGCCACTAGATGGCGAAATAGTTCCGTTTATTTGGCAGAAGTGCTATTTCCTCACAACATTAAATACACATTTTTAAATGTCTGGTCATTAAGAACTAAGCTAACTTTCCATCAAAAAAAACACTACATTATTGACAAAGTAATTCTGATCACATATTTGGGATGCATGTTTTAAATTGCTGGTTGAAAACAAATGTGTTAATCTGTGGGATTTATTTTTTATGAAAAAGGTTTTAAGCCTTTATTTTATTATTTTAACATATTTTTTAGCATAATAACTCCACATTTACATTTGCTACATAACCTTTCAAGCCAGTTAATGGGAATAAATGGTTAAAACTAACATAACTTCAAAAAGGAAAGTTTGACAGATATTGAATGCATGCCAAAGAAAATTATATAGGTTTCGTTTTGAGATACATTTCCAAGAGTTCCTTTGGACACTCCATGCAGGGGAGCCATATAGAAAAGGAAAGTGAGAATGGTCTTAAGGGCCCACAGAGTTCCCATTCATTTTTATTTTAATTAAATTATTTTTTTTATCACAGTTAATACATTTTCACGTGGCCCCAAACTCTGGTTGCTCCACTTACCTCGTGCACAACAATATAAATGTCATTACACTGAAATTTTTAAAACATTCTTAAATAATTCATGCATTCTTGTTTTAAATGACACAGTCCAACAGTCATGCTGTAAACTCTACCAACATGAGGATTATAATTAATATCAGGTTCAGATTAAACCTATTTAAACATATTTTAAGCATATTTAGAAGAATACTGTCTGAGCAGCAGAGGAACTGTTACCTCAACTAACAGGAACTGATCATTTTCCTGATATGCGGCCTTATTGCGCAATAATTGCTATGTCCTGTGAAGAAATAGAGCACTTGAAGGCATTTATAATAACAAATACAAAACTTCTCGCAATCTATTGTTTTTATAATTTCATTTTGAACACTCTTTTAAAATAAAGTTCTGTGAAAAAATACTACTGAAGACAAAAAACCCACAAATTTTCATAAATACACTTTTAGTTTTTACATTATGATGTTAAACAACCCTGGCACTTACATTTTGCAAGATACTTTCCATCCCTTTGAATCAAAACTGGGCAACTTTTGTGTCACACAAGTTCCCCGGATTTTTTTTACAACCCTTAGAAAAAGTTTACAGAGTAAAATACTGTATATTATTTAAAATAACAGCTGTTTTAACATGGTTCACGACATAAATCAACCCATAAAGCTACATTTGTAATTCTTGTATTCTGACATTTGACGTTAGAGTGTACGAGTGGTTATGGAAAGCAGCATGAATCCTCCAAGGAGGGCGGGATCACGAGTCACTACCTGACATTCAGCCAATCAGAGCCCTTACTTATCCATAGCAACTCCAATCAGCGGAGAGGGACCGCCTGGTTGCGAAGGTAGTGGTCGTGGTTATTTGCTGCTGGAAGACGCAAGTGCTTCCTTCACGCTTCCCTGCGTTTACATTTAGTGAAAGAAATTCGGAATATAAATCTGTGAAACTCGCCTTTTTGTAGCTATGTTAGTTTTAAAAATATAGTACCGCAGCCTAGTTTGAACGGTGATCCTAATCCGTCATCTTTAAACCTAACAGGGACACCACATTACAATGCCATCCCCAATGGAGGGTTCTTCCAGAGAAGGTGACCTGTTTACTGTGAAACATGAGCTGAAAAATGGTAAGTTGGCCGTCAGCTAGTGAAACCTAACGCACAGTGTTTTATTTGTCGTTTTGTAGTTGTGAACCCGTCCCGTGAGAAACGTTGTCATGTTAGCTTTGGGGAGTTAACTGTCACTGATAATGGGCGTCTGTAAGCGCTAACATTGATGTTACTCAGAAATAGTAATAGAAGACTAGTGTCCGCCTGACTATAATTCATATTTACTGGAAAATCACTAGACGTCTATTAATGTAGCTAACTGCTAGCATGTCTTACTGCCAGTTCTAAACCAGGGTAATAACATTAGTTTAAACTGGTAGTTAATGTGTCAGTAGGTTAACTCAACGCATTCGTACAGAATTTACTAAATTTAACACTTTATTCTAAAACTGGTTGTTAACTTTCCATTTTAGCCTTTATTATTTAGTAATTAGAACTATCTTCCCTTGAACAATGCTGTTATTGTAACCATGTTGTATGGATTATTTCATGCTGCAATAAGTCAGCATGATCGTCAGGAAAAATTATTGTTATAATTTTCTACTACATTTATTTTGCATGTGATTTAATAAAGAAGCCCAGTAAGACAGGTGTAACCTGCAGCTGTAATGGTCCGTAGTCCATGAAACTTGAAGTTTCTTTGTCAGTAATGGTGAGGATTGGATTATACCATTAGTTGACATTTGTTTGTGTTGTTTTTGGAGATCAGATTCAGAGCAGAAAGTTGACCCAAGAAACAGCTAGTTTATTATTATAGCGTTGTTCTTCAAGCTGCAACTTGACTGTAACATCTGGATTTACTGCCCTGCCTAAAGTGACAGTTTAAGTCTTTTTAAGTAGGGATCTTTGGAAATATGAACAATGAGTGTCTTACCTGTTGTCGATCCCATCTGGAATGGCCTCAGTTGGATAAAACAATTAGTGCTGATCAAATAGATAAGCTAACACAAAATTGCCTAAAACAATGCTAGTCTCAACAATTTCATAGCAGTTCATGCAAATATAGATCAATACGTTTCACACTATATTTTAGAAATGCTACAGTAGCTAATTTCCTCTGCTAACACCACAGACTTGGTGCTGGTGTGATATTTTTATTTTTATTTGAGTAATTTTACAACAGAAACCCTTCATAATTAGCTCTACCCTGATTAGATAGTTTTCTTGTGTCAGGAGACTTATGTAAACATTATAACACCCTTATTAGAAAGGAGGCCATTAGTCACACAGCTACAAACAACGATTATTATTGCTCTGGGCCAACACGTGTGGGTTCGACAAGGTGTCTTTTAGTCGTTTAAAAATCACAAACAAGGAAACAAAACCATGTAAGTTCTATTGTTTTCTGTGGGGCCGTTAGCATTTTCATTCATGAATTTGTCAAAAACACGGTTCTAACTGGTTCGCATAACATAAACAATGAGTTGTGAGACATGCTTAGTGAAAGGATGGAGCTTTAATAGTTAGGAGGTAAAATCAACCATTCTATAAACATGGATGTTGTCAAACTGCTGTGGAGTTCAGCAGTAGATTGTTTCCGCACTTTGCTGATTGAAAGTTATCAAATAGATGCACTTTTCTGAAAGTTTTCTGCACAGTTTACCATCAGGATGCTGCTGAGAGTTCATAAGCACCAAACAGATGATTGTGTTATTACTAATGAAGACGTTTTAAACTCCATTTTAATTAGCGTTTAGCTCTCTTAGCTGCAGCAGGTGCTAACACTGCTATCTTCTGTTGCTTGCTATTAAAACACCATCTTGCCTGCTGTGTTTATTTTGTTGTATGTTTGTTTTGTCTGATGATTAAACAGAAAATTAAATAAACGAAAAGTAAAAAGGAAAATAATTAAACTATCTGATCTAATTCCATGAAAATGAGAACATGGCAAAAAAAATACGCCTGATGCACAGTTCTGTGGCAGACAGAGGGGTTTTCCTGCATTTTCTGTTCTAAAACCTTGATTGTTGTCACACAACCCTGATCAGATGTGCGGAGAAGTGTCAGTTTACCAAGCAAAACTAATTAAACAAAGATTTTACCTTGCTATGCTTATTCAGATGCATGGGACATTATTTAAGTCAGATATAGCTAAAGCAGTGAGCTCATCATTCTAGTCAGACTGGATCTTTATTTCTCCAAAATGAGGCTTTTCAAATATCAACCCAACAGATAAAATATTAATTGTTCTTTGCCCTCCAACAGAAAACCACTTCAGAAGATCTAAGTGATCACTTTAAAAATGCGTGGTGTCTGGTTGTACACGAAGCTTCTCTTGTGTTTTTCGTTTCCTGCCTCATATCTGTTGGATCAGCTTAACCCTGTTTTCACTGCTGCTTTTAACCCTTTTGAGGTAAAAACAAACAAAACCACTGGACCATTAATGCATGCTTATTTCTGCAGATTTATACAATTTTTAAAGAAAACCTAACTAGTGGTTTACGCACTGAAAACACAGCGTATCCTCTCTTCTTTTAGACAGCGACGTGTTGATACTCAGATGTTATCATATGTTAGGTTTTTAGGTTTGATTATTCAGGAAACCAGACAAACTCACGGTGTGAACTGTCCTCCTGTGTATGAAGACATCTCCCTTGTGCAGGAGTGAGGTATCATCTGGTCGGACGTCTGTCTCCGTCTATTAATAAACACCAAACTCAAGCTTGGCTGGCAGGGAGCGTTTGACCTGGGCGTTACGCAACTCCAAATTCTGACCTCAGGTTTGTTGTTTCAACATGATTTGGTATGCATTCAAATTGTCTGCATATTTTTGTACTTTAAAACGGATCCAAAACCAGCGAGAAGGATGAAATCAGCTGGAATGATTGCTCAGTAGTGTGTTTTCTGAGTGTGAGGCAGGAGTGTGTTCACTACAACGGCGTGTTTCTGAAAGGGCTGTTTGCTCAGTCAGCTGTGAGAGAGATGTGTGCAGCTACTGGAGTTACTAAAGATTTCTGAGAGGAGAAATGACTTTCACGCATTAATATAGCACGTGTGCTTGCATTAGCAGAGACACGGCTTTCTCCTGAACACTCGCAGAGAAGATAACGGTTTTCAAGCTTGTTTCGATAATGAGGTCTGGCATATCTGGATGTGTTTTTGCTGCAGATCGTTGTTACCGCACATTTCATTCTGCCGTTGGCTTTGAAGTTCCTAATTTCTCTGCAACGCCCCTGTTTCACAAATAAGGATAGGCAAGAGTTGCTTTGCAGCAAAACTACTTGAATATATATAAAAAACAAAGGATCATTTTCAAATTATATGGAGAAGTGAATTTATTTAAATGATTCTGACTAAAATTAAACATTTCTCAACTTAAATTGCCCCACAGCCTCCTTAGAAACTGTAATAATGCTTGAAGCGTCTGTTTTGTTGTGTTTGTTTCTGTTTCCAGCCAACCTGACGGGTTACGTCGAGAGGGTAGGCATTGAAAACTTCGAGCTGCTAAAGGTGTTGGGGACAGGAGGTGAGTACCCATCCTTACGGAGGCGTTCTTCTCGTGTAGCTGCTGTTCTCACTGATCAAACGGAAACGTTTGTTTTCCCCGTGTTTGGTTCTAAACGCGGCTCGTGTGGAATCACAGAAAGCAGCGGCGTCGCTCTCTAATGCGGCGTGTCTTGCCATCCAGCCCGGCCTTTAATAAGCTTTAGTAAACAAAGCAAGATGAAAAGCAAGGACGGAACTCCAGCCTCGTGTAAAAAGGGCGTCTCTTTCAGGAACAGAACATGACATTCAGAGAATGTCTGGCGTACCTGCCCAACATCTGAGATAATGTGAACAAACATGACATTAGTGGTTTCTACTTGGCCTTCCCGCTGAACTTTACCCCTGGGCTTTGTTTGTTTTAACCACCAGCATATGGCAAGGTGTTCCTGGTGAGGAAAATCAGCGGCCACAACGCGGGGAAGCTGTACGCCATGAAGGTTTTGAAGAAGGCCACCATCGTGCAGAAGGCAAAGACCGCGGAGCACACACGGACCGAGCGCCAAGTGCTGGAGCACATCCGCCAGTCTCCGTTCCTCGTAACGCTTCACTACGCCTTCCAGACTGACACCAAGCTGCACCTAATTCTTGGTTAGGACGTGCGATGGTCTGTTATAATGTTCAGCAAACTCCCCTCTCCTGTACTCAGAAATATTTCTCTTTAAAAGTAGGGATGCACCGATCAGGTTTTTTGCTGCTGATCACCGATACCGATCACGTGGATTGGCCAGAAATTTTCTACAACATTATAATGAGTGCTACAAACTACATAATCTGGGAATAAAGGAAATGTAACCTAATCTAAAATGGTCTGATCGGTCTGCTTTGATCTGTTTTGAAAACTCCGATCAAAACCGATAGGGGCGCTATCGGCCGATTGGGATCAAATGCCGATCCATCGGTGCATCCCTATTTAAAAGCGGTCTCCAGCTTGGTGACGAACTAAAAATTAGCGATGAAATAAATGCTGTAACTGCTGTTGTTGGTTCCAGATTATGTCAACGGCGGAGAACTCTTCACACACTTGGTGCAGAGGGTTCGCTTTAAGGAACAGGAAGTGGCCCTTTATAGTGGAGAAATAGTTTTGGCACTTGAACATCTACACAAGGTATCCTGCAGACTTAGCCTCCACAGTCGTCTAACACCGTTCTCGTGTTTCTCTCGACTCGTTCTTCTCTTTGTTGCAGCTTGGAATTGTTTACCGGGACCTAAAACTCGAGAATATTTTACTGGATTCAAACGGTCACATCGTTCTCACAGACTTTGGCATGAGTAAAGAGTTTGATCAGGTAACGTTTGGTTTTATAAGTCTCTTGGTTTGTTTTGTTTGCTAGAATGATTCTTTCTTTGGTTTTTGTTGGTTGTTAAACCAGGTGGAAAGGGCCTTTTCTGTCTGCGGCACTGTTGAATATATGGCCCCAGAAATAATCGAAGGGGGAGAATCTGGACACGACAAGGTAGATTGTTGCTTACGAAATCAAATAATATAAGCGTCGTTGTATTGATTCTTGGTTTGGGGCTGTTGTGTGCGTTAGGCAGTGGACTGGTGGAGCCTCGGCGTGCTGATGTACGAGCTTTTGACCGGTGGATCGCCTTTCACCGTAGATGGAGACGAGAACTCACACACAGATATAGCCAAGTACAAATTCAGCCTCAGCTCAGCCAGTTTTCATCACTCCTCGTTTCTGACCCGGTTCTGTTTTTCACGTCGCAGGAGAATTTGCAAAAAGGATCCTCCTTTCCCCAAAGACATGGGACCCCTGGCCAAAGACCTAATCAAGCGACTCCTCCTCAGAGATCCAAAGCAGCGATTAGGCTCCGGTCCTAACGGGGCTGAGAACGTGAAGAATCACCCTTTTTATCAGGTGGGTCTCTTTTATTGGATGTAAGAAGTTCCCTTGTTGAGGTTGCCGGTGTGAATCTCTTATTCTGATTCAGAAAATCAACTGGGAGGAGCTAGCAGCTAAGAAGGTGCCTGCGCCGTTCAAGCCGGTGATTCGAGATGAGCTCGATGTCAGCAACTTCGCCGAGGAGTTCACAGAGATGGACCCGACCTACTCCCCCGCAGCTTTGCCTCAGAACTGTGATCGCATCTTCCAGGTAGGTGGACGCCATGTTTAATGACCAGACTGTGTGTTTTTGGGACTTCCGTGTAGGGCTGCTCAATTAATCGAATTTTAATCACGATTACGATCTGAGTTTTGAACGATTATAAAAACAAAACAAGCCGATTATTTGCTCCTCCCACTTGCGCTGCCCTGAGTTGCAAATGAAGCGCTCCTCCACAGTGTTGCCAACTTAGCGACTTTGATGCTATTTCTAACAGCTTTTCAGACCCCCTTCTTGACTTTTTAAATCTTAAAAGTACCTAGCGAACACCTGAGAAACATCTCTGGTAACTCTTAGCTACTTTCTGGATAACTGTCGTCGACATTTCCTGCAGGTTAGCTAAACACTCGGGACCGTTCTTCAGGACATTAGGAAAGGGAATGATGTAGTGATGCGTCGGTCGCTAAAGAAACGGCTCTCAGAGTCGGCTCTGTTGTATGGAACTAGGATTGGGACAATATTCAGCGTAACTTGTACCAAGTTTTGTAACTTCGAACATGTTTCATCACATGTAACTTTGGATTCGTAACTGTTGGATTAACCAGAGTGAGTGACACACACACCGTACCTGCGGGCTCCTGAGCCACAAAAAACGGCTAAATGTGCGCATGCGGCATGCTAAACACACGTGCAGCTTGCCCCTGATTGCTGTGAGACCAGGTTGGGGGGTGGGGGGTGCAGCTGTGGTTGGGACAATTATTACATTAACTGATGGACCTGTAAATAAATAGTTTATAAATAAGGTAGAAATAGATAGAAATAAGTTCCTCACGCTGATATATAATAACTAATCTCTCTGAGGACACGGTGCTAGTGCACGCTCCTACAGCACCTTGACATGACAAAATAAATGTTATGCAACATTTTGTGAACATCAATTTGCATTTATTTTTTATAAATGCCACTGTATAATTCTTGCTGTCAGTGTTTGCAAGATATTAGTATTTGGGTCTGTACTGGTTAGACTTAAATAAGTTAAACCAAGGTCTATAGCCCTTGGGTCATAGACTATGAGCTGTAAGTATATTGGTCTTTTTATGCTGGGAATCAGGAGTTATTTTAGTGATCATCTTGTTTCTTATTTTTGTCCTGATTGTGCCCTGAGCAATTTTATGACAGAATAAAAACAAATAAAATCAACATAAATTGAAAAATCGTCCTAAATGATCGTGATCTCAATTTCAGTCACAATCATCGTGATTATTATTTTTGCCATAATCGAGCAGCCCTATTTCCGTGGACATTCCTCCGTCCCCTCCCGGGTTGTTGCACATTTATATCTAGATTCTGTTCTGAACCCATGTTTGTCTGAGCTGTGGCTGCAGGCAAAGTGAAATGTTGACACGGATGAAAAAATGCATGATACACTCCCCAGGTTCTGTCTCAGACTATATTTGGCATACTTCACAGCAATTCAAGTGATCAGTTGAGGTTTTGAATGTCCTCAAAAGGCTGCTGTAAGTCAACATGAGTCTGTCTGTGTGCATTGGTATTCAAATTGACTAAAGAGTCTTTTATTGGAGTAATTGCTGCCATATGCAGCTCTTATTGAAGTAACAGATGTGAATGACTATTTTTGATGTAGCTTTGAACCATAATATGGCCCACAACTCCATGCCAGCTGATAGCTGTCTGATGTATTGCGCGAAATTTCAACTCTGATTGCCTTCTGGATCCTTGAGCTTGGTAGATCAATAGATCCATTAACGGGCTTCTCTCATGAAATAAAAGGTTACACTTTGAGAGCATCACCACGTCGATCTCGGTTACGCCTTCAGTCTTTGATTGCCAACTTCGTCTTGGCTTTTTCCCCCTCTCAGCTGCCATTCACATAGTCTGAAATTTTGTGGTCTTTATAATTTGCAAGCCTAGCAATCTCTGAGATAACGACAGCAATCCCAGTTTAAACCGTGCACTTGCTCCCCCGTGGTGCCTCACAAAACAAAATTAAAATTGCATTAAGAGCGCCAAGATGTAATTTCACAGCAGAGCAATCAAATATTCAAGCCTGGCAATTTAGGGCATCTCATTCATTCAGCATCCATCCTTCCGTCCATCCATTTCTGTCACTACGTACCACACAGCTGTGTGAGTGTGTGTGTGTGTGTGCGTGTGTGTGTGTGTGTGTGTAAAAGGGAGGGGGATTAATGCCAGCTCAAAGCTCTGGGCTCCCCACAGCTGGAATTAATCAGTCACCCTACACAATGGCAGGTTTAACAATAGGAACAGCTGGACAGCTGCTGATGGCTGCTTCACACTTTAACATCTGAAGGAATATTTACAACTCTTTCTGCAGTAAATGTCATTTTTTTCCCTTAAATTTAATCAGAAACGACCTTTCCCTCCATCTGAAAACTCGCTTTACGTTCTAATAAAATGTAAACACACAGCTCTTATGCTTTCCTGGGAGCAGGGATACTCTTTCATGGCCCCCTCCATCCTGTTCAAGAGGAACGTGGTGATGGATGACCCGGTCCAGCTGTGTGGGGATTCTGAGAGGCCCGGTTCTGCTGCGGTGGCCCGCAGCGCCATGATGAAGGTAAGACGAATGGACTCCGGCGAAAACACACTTAAGCTAACGGCTGCTGTCACAGACAGCTGGGATTATTTTTACCTCTATCTCGCCGTTCCACTTTAACTTATTTTTTCCCAACTTTGCTTGTTTTCACTGCGCTTAGATTCCATTCTGCAAGCATAAGCTGGTTTATTTAACCTACTTGTTCATGAATGTACGCGTGCGCCTGAGCAGCAGAAGGCTTTCTGTTCTCTCGCTAAGTTTCAGGATTTCTTCTCCAAATCCCCGAAACTCGTAAAAACCTGAGGCAAATGTAAGGATTTTTCAAATATTTGTTATACTTTAATTAGCAAATATAATGAATTTATAGGTCATATAATCACTTCTTTTTAGTGGAGTTTGGGAAAAGGTGGAGGGATGCAATTCAACTGTGATTTGATCCAGATGTGCTCCTTTAAATATGTTTTCCTGTTGCAAACAGTGAGCTAGTGACACACACTCAGGTTTATTTGTTATTTTCAGAGGTGGGTTTTTAACAAACACTCATCTTTTCACTTCAGTTTTTCTTCATTCAAATATCACGCAGCAGAACCCGTTGTCTGTGTTTATTGTTGTAAATCTCTATGTTTTGGTACAATGAAGAGATTTTTAACTGCTTGTAAGATTTCCTTAAATGTAAATGTAAAAGTTTCCTCTATGGATGTAGATTCAGTTCAAAGGGTTAAAAGACGTTATTGACCATCCATATAACGGGCTGTATTAGGTATATATATTTTTTCTAAAACATTTCATTTTTCTATTTTGATGTCTGGTTTCACTCACTACTCAGGCATTTCTTATAAAAGGTGTCGCCATCGACTTTATTTATTATTTAGACATCTGTCCACCATTCTGAGCTTCAAGCTAGAACAAACGTCAGTCCTCCTTGTGGCTGGCTGCAGTAAAAGCATTAAGCCCCGCCCCCTCCTTTATGTAAACAAACAGGACATTTTCCTGACTAATTGCACCTCAGATAATCTTTTCCAGGTTTTGACGATGTCTGATTTGTGTAGTCCTTACCTTGCTGCTGCTGCATCTTCAAACCGTCTTTCTATTACCGATACCGATATCTAGAGATCATGGTCAGCCGATGGCGGGTATGTGCTGCTGATCATCATGGCTGATATCTAGATGTTTTCTGCCTCATCTGCATGTTAATATGTCATTAATGACAACAGTGGAAGCCCAACCATATTCTGTGAAAATACACAGTATTAAAGTCATTTAATCAAACAAACTGATTAACTGACCAAGTATTAAATATAACAGGTAAATAAAAATAAATGTCGACAGTAATGATTTAGAGAATTAACTCAGCAGGTGTTTTTTTCAGGGGTATACATAAATATTCCTTTAAATGAAACTCAGCAGCAGCACCAGGCTGCCCACATATGTGCCTGCTTTTAAATCGCATCTACTGAAAAGGTTTATCAGCCGATGCCGATATGTAAAAAAAAAAAGGTAAATGTCGGCCAACCGATTTATCGGTCTTTCCCTGTTTCAAACATTCGTTTTTCCAAAAGCCTTAATAAGTTATTTAAAGTGACAGTGTGTATTTTTCCTGGCAGTAGGGGGCAGTAGATACCTAAATCATTGCAAGCAAGCAGTATTTTTGTGTTGGAGTAAGACCTTACCAATGGATGCCGATTAGGGTCAAAAAGCCCTGGGTAGTGCAAACCTCAGCAAAATAACAAGCACATCAGACTCCCTTTCATCACTGGCAGCAAGTGAAGAGTTAAATGTGTAAAACAACAGTTTTTATGAATGGTGAACGTTTTCTAACTGTTTGTTACAAATCGGTAAATGCGTTTTGTCTTCCTGGGTTCCCGTAGAAGGAAGCATGGCATCCAATATGGCGTTGCCCACAGACTTAGGCCTAGTCCACACGTAGCCGTTTTTTTTAAACGAATATCTGCCCCTCCAAAAACTTGCATCCACACCACCTCATTTAAAAAAAACACTGTCCACACGTACCCGGATAAATACGTTGTTAAGGACATGCCAGACCTGTAGGCAGCAGGACTTCCCCCGTTCTTAACCTCGTCCTTCGTCTGTGGTCTTCCGCAGTAAGGAGCAGTAATTCTGCTTGCAACAGCAAACAAGCAAAAAGCGCTTGGACCATTGATAAAGCGAGCGCAGCTCTGAGGGCATCCATGCTGTCGGCTAGTGTAAACACAGGTCGCACACGTGATGTCAGCATTTTTTTGTCGCTGAAAGTGACGTTGCGGACCTTAAAACTCCGGTTTTGTCCGTCCACACGCAGACACCCAAAACGGAGAAAACGCAGATCTTCACTTTGGCCGGAGTTTTTAAAAAGATCCGTTTTCGTGTGAAAAAACTCCGTTTTCGTGTGGATGACAGGCCAAAACGTAGAAAAATATCTACAGATCCCCGGCTACGTGTGGACAGGGCCTTAGACCCACTCCCATGTACTTTAGACCTGATTTTTTGGGTTATATGTTACAAAGCCACCAATATTTTTCAACAACTGGGCATCATTTCATTCATTTTTAACCCCATTTTGATGGATTTTTCCAGAGATTCAAAAGAAACATTCAGAGACACCTTGTCTATGGGTGCTACAGCCGCGTTTGAGCCAGAGCCCCTGCGTAGAGAAAACATAAATACTGATAGAAACGCAAGGTTCTAGTTGAGCAGTAGTACAAATAAACAAATGTTTTAAAGGCTTATAATTACTCCTCGTTTTCTTTTGTAGCCAACAGTATGCATAAATGACATAATAAGACGTGTTTTTGTTGGGCGCGTCTGTACAGGACTCGCCGTTCTACAGCAGCTACGAGATGGACCTGAAGGACGGAGCTTTGGGAGAGGGCAGCTTCTCCATCTGCAGACGCTGCACACACAGGAAGTCTGGACAGGCGTTTGCCGTCAAGATCGTCAGCAAGAGGTGCAAACATCCACCCTGACGCTTCACACTGTTTTATTTATATTTTCACATCCAACCCACGTTCTGCAGGACCATGGGCTCAGTCAGCCCACTCTAAATATGCTGTCATAAAACATTAGAGTAAATTTCTCTGCTGATTTTAAAATAGTAATGTGTGAGTTAGAGATAACTCAAAGCTGACTTGTACTTGGTTGCTCAAATCAAACATCTTCTCTACTAATAAATAATACTCAGAAATGCTGGGCTCTCTAGACTGAGCCCCTCTTTTATTCTGAAAGGCACAACCAACCACCTGAAGGCTAACTTTTCCACCTCTTGTGTGTTTGCTGCAGGATGGAGGCACAGACTCAGCGGGAAATTGCAGCGTTGAAGCTCTGCGATGGCCATCCTAACATTGTGAAGCTGCATGAAATTTACCATGACCAGGTGAGGTTTGCTCCAGTGGTCGTATCACATGACAGTTTTCTGTTGAGCCTGTGGGACCGCAGCCTTATTAAGTCCTCGAACGGGAGCAGGCCAGATGAATGGGGGTGCTGGGAGCCGTCTCCTCCTCACATGTTGTTGTCCATGAATATCTCTGCGTGCTTGATGTTCCAAAGCAGATTTATTTCCAAACTGCAGCTGTGCAAACAAGCTTTTTGTGTTGCTGAATGCAAACAACCCAGATTCACTTGTGTTGCTAATAGAGTTGCACACTTAACCCAAACTGAGTGTGCATACGCTCCGACGTAGCTTACCTCGGTTATTAGGAAGGTGTTTCCAAGCGTCTGACTGCATGCAGGTTCATTAGCCAAAGTCCTTCATGCCCAGGAGCACCACTTTAGCCCTGATGAGCTCAGCGGGGTTATTACTGTACCTCACAGGCCTGTGACCTAGATCAAAGCCGCGCTGCCTCGCCTCGTCTCAGCCGAGCCCTGCCTTTGTTCCCTAGATCCAGCACTAATGAGAAACTCAACCCTGCTGCCCAGACACTTTATTCTCCTCCTGTTTTATTAGACCTCTTTTACTTTTTCTCCATACTATGTTGTTTTGATCTCGCTGTCCCATCATCAGGGCTGAGCTGTTTTCCTGAAATCATTTAGCAACAGAACATTTTACCTACCACGCTTTCAAAGCCAGGCTGACACAATAGAAAACAGTTATGTTTGGTGCATGATTTAAAACATGCACGTGGATAAAGGTTAGAAGAGTGGTGTGAATATTTGCTGTTTGTGTCTGCCGTAGCTCCACACATACCTGGTCCTGGAGCTGCTGGGCGGAGGAGAGTTGCTGGAGAGAATCCGCAGAGAGCAGCACTTCAGTGAGACAGAGGCAAGCCGCATCATGCGAAAACTTGTTTCTGCTGTCAGCCACATGCATGACGTAGGAGTGGTGCACAGGGACCTGAAGCCAGAGGTACTAGAACTCACAAAGGTCAGGGCTTTGTGTTTGATCATTCTGGGTCGCTCTGATAAATGCAGACAAACGGGATCACAAGCTCTAAAGAGACGATTACTGTGTTTTTCTGAATTGCATATGATGTGTTGTGTTGCCACTCTGGCTCTGCAATCTCCTTCAAAACAAGAGTGAAATTGTTTGACCCTAACTGGGCCAGAAGGACCCGGTCAGCCTCGAGTTACAATTTAGTAGGCTCTTAAGTGAACTGGGCAAAAAGAAGAAACAAGAAAAAAGATCGCTGACCGTGTCTCAAATTGCTCCGTAGAACCTGCTCTTCACAGACGAGAGTGAGAACTCCGAGATAAAAATCATAGACTTTGGGTTTGCCCGTCTGAAACCCCCAGACAATCAGCTGCTGAAGACTCCCTGCTTCACTCTGCAATACGCTGCCCCAGAAATCCTCAAATATGATGGCTATGATGAGTCCTGTGACCTGTGGAGCCTGGGGGTCATTCTGGTGAGTATGCGCTGCATGCAACCGTTCTATAGGACAAGATGCAACAATAAGGGTCAACATGGAGTATTTAACTGTAGGTTTGGCTACAAGAATAAATGTATAATGATGTGTTAACTTAAATGTGGGCACAATTTTAATTGTCAAAAACTCCAGCGAACCTACCCCCTTCAGAACCTAAGTTCTGAACTGAAGAAGCCTCTCGGATGAGAGGTGAAACGTCTTCAAGCAAATCAAAGAAGTCCAGATGCTTTTCTTTCAAAGCTCCTTAGACTACAATGACCTGGATGACTGAGAACCTTCACAGACCTAAGTCTGAATCGTCCAGAGTCGATGACAAAACGGTTTCAAACGAGCGCCAGTCCTGAACTCCATCTTTGTAGTTTTTCTCTGTTGCAGCTCTGGTGCTAAGCCCGCTCAGTTGTTTGGGCCAGCGGTCGACCTACCGAGGTTAAAGTCAGCAAACCCTCCACAACCAGCCTAACACTCCCTTTGTTCCATGTTCAACCACACACACACACTTCCTGAACATGTGAAACAGATTTTCTTTAGTAGATAATTCATGCTTGACTCCAATGTTAGTTTTCAGTTTCAGCGTTGAAGTGTTCCTCTGCCGAGGCGACGCGAGGCTCCGACCGGCTGTGGTCGGTCTCAGCTTATGGCCCAGATGATCTGAAGCCGCTACTAAACTCATCAGAGAAAAGTCTATCATCTGTTGTGCAAGATCACAGTTCAAAGGAACCCAGCGTTCAGAGTTCATCGTAGAATATTCAGAAATAAACGTGCGGCCCCAAAATAATCCAGTTCTTGTTGTTGATGACACGTTTGTTTATAAATATTAAAGTCTGATTTGTGATGTTAGCTTGCTTCATTGCCTTTCCTGTAAATCAAGGATGCGTAGCTTAAAAGCTGAGCCTCCACTCTTGAGTTTATTTATTTATTTTTTGTTTTTTATTTCCAGAAACGTTGTTAATTACAAATATTTTCCAGTCAGTAGCGTCACCCTTAGTTCTTTCTTTTTCTGTTTGGAGCTGATGGATGAATAGTTAGCTGCAGGCTAAAGCGAGTGCGTTCTTATCATGTTGTGCATGATATTCCTCTGGTTTTCTCGTTCAGCCTTCAGCCTCCTGTGGTGAGCTGACACAGTTGGATGTGAATAAAGCGGCTCTGGCTGTGCTCAGATGAAATCTTGCTTTCTGGTTGAAATGTCATCCCCACTCAAGCCTTTTCCACAGAAGGAGGGGATATTAAAAAGGAGAGGTGGTGAGAATAAGGAAGAGGGCACACAGAGTCTGGTTTAAAGGCCTTCAGGGGAGTTTGTGGAGTAGTGTGCTTCATCAGGTTTTGATGAAATGGCCACTGACACGCTCTGTGCACATGGCTCCTAAGCCAAGTGAGCTGAGACGGTTCCCAAAAGAGCTTCCCCCCTGTTTTAAGTCTGAGGGCAGGCAAAGGTGAGGGCTTCCAGTTCGTCCGTCGTCTCTGGAGCTGGTGAGAGCATGGTCAACAACAGGCAGCATAACGATGAAAGAATGTGGAGTTGTGATCGGTCAGGAGGGCTGTTAAAGCCGGTCGTATAAACGCCAGTGCTCAGCTACAGCTACAGCTCGGCACACGCAGCGGAGAGCATACTGGGAACGACGGGTTTTATAGCCGTGTTTTTACTCTGTTTCAGTACACCATGCTGTCTGGGCAGGTGCCTTTCCAGTGTCAGGAGAAGAGCCTGACCCACACCAGCGCCGAGGACATCATGAAAAAAATTAAACATGGAGATTTCTCTTTTGAAGGAGAGGCCTGGAGGAATGTCTCCCAGCAGGCTAAAGAGTTGATACAAGGTAAGCAGCATCCACACGTTGAGCCACAGGTGTGACTTCCTGTTATAGGATCTAGAGGTGCTCAGTAAAGGGGAACTTCACCTGTAACGGTGGAGTAAAACCATACAAACCTTTTAGTTTGCTGCTGTTAATGTTTCATATCCAGTCTTTTCTTTTTTGTCCTCGTGTTTATTGTCTGGAACTTTCATAAACATAAGCCTTTGTTAGATTTCCTACCTATAGGCGATAAAAGCTGCTAGTGTTTTACTGAAACCACTTCCCAGTGTGTGCTGGTGCTAATGGAAGGTTGAGTCTGGCGAGTTCTACCATCATGGCTCACTATAAACGTGTGTGAGAGACATCTGCATTAGATGCATCATATTTCTTTGTTTGGGGTCTGGACACAGTCTCTAGAGCCGCTCCTTCTCGTCACATCACAAAAAGGCAGAGACTAGGGCTGAGAGAGGATTCACGCTAAACTCTGCTCTGAGTCCGAATGTTTACGAACCTTCTAAAACAAGCTTGATGACATTGTTGTGTTCATTTTTTCAGATTTCTTCCCGTGAGGTGTTACCGCCCCCATCATCTGATCTCTGACTACTTCATTAATTATAAATCATCAGGGATTCAGTCACAACAACAACATAAACAACTTTTTTCTCTTTAAAAAGAAACACACCTGTGGTGCAGCTCGTCAAAATAAAAGCACCAAGGGACACACACAGCAATGTTTATTTCAGTTGTATGTTTTTAACCAATACTTTCAGAAATACTGTAGTTATTAGAATCCTAAATTAAAATGCAAATCGGATGAATTGCTGTTATAGTCTGAACCATGTAAAACTGGAAATAATCGGTTAAATTTTACGGCTCTTGATCCTGGAGTCCATGTTTAATAATGAAACAATATTCTCCATATAGCTTGTTGTCCTTTAAGATCATTTACTACACAACACATGAAAAACAATCTTATCAATGAAATAAGTGCAAAGAAAATTGATCCAGGGTTTAGAAAGTGCTTATATTTTTAATAACGTCCTTAAAAGGGCCTGAAACCGGTTAAAGCACAACGTTTACCTTTATGGGACAAGGCAGTCGAGTAATCAGAACCTGTGGAACCCGTGGAAGGTCCTGGAAGTCAGGACTCACCTTGGAAGTGTTTGAGTTAGACTTGGGTGTAAGAGCTCTGTGAGCGTCAACGCTGTGACGTCATCCATCAGTTAGTGGAATCTTCGTACGCTCTCATAAACCCTAACCCTAACCCTCATAAACCAAAGTGTTTTTGTATAAAAGCTGAAAGGTTCCAGTCAGGTTATAGACTCGGTAAGCTGGCGGGTCAAACAAGTCAAGTAGAACGGTTTTCCTGTAAGTTTCTGACCTCATCACTGAGTTAACTTTGCTCCAGCGTGGATCCGATGACTCAGCTGTTAATGGTGCTAAGAGAGACGTGTTTGCTTCCTGCAGAGCTGCTGACGGTGGATCCAAACAAGAGGATTAAGATGTGCGGTCTCCGTTACAACGCCTGGCTCCAGGACGACAGCCAACTTTCCTCCAACCCACTCATGACCCCGGACATTCTGGGCTCCTCCACTGCCTCCGTGCACACTTGCGTCAAAGCCACCTTTAATGTAAGGCACGAACGAGCCGACCACAGTAGACCGGGCGTTTGTCTTTGTGTAGACCTGCTGGCGATACTGGACCCGATCACAGCTGAACGTTTTCTAGATCTTGTAGCCAAAAACAGAACATGCAGTGGTACTCTGGTCTGAAATGCTGCACCAGCGTCTCCAGTCTGTGTTTTGATAGAAATAAATTCATTAAAGCATTCGTTGGAATCATTTAACAGAAGAAATCCCGAATATTGTCTCACCATGATTTTTCTTGTTGTCCCAGGCGTTTAACAAATGTAAGCGAGAAGGTTTCCGCCTCCAAACGGTGGACAAGGCGCCGCTGGCCAAAAGGAGGAAGATGAAAAAGACCAGCACCAGCACAGAGACCCGCAGCAGCTCTAGTGAGAGCACCCATTCCTCGTCCTCGTCTTCCCAGTCTCAGGAGAAGACTTCTCCAGAGGGCGACGCCAACCCGCAGCCCTCCAGCAGCCCTCCTGTCAACACGCCGGTGTCCGTGGAGACGGACTCTGGGGACCGGTCAGCACCTCCCGCCTTTCAGCTTTAAGAAAAACAACGAGAGAGAATGAGGAATACCCAGATTCAGTTTTGTGAATCGTAGCTCCGACCGTCCTCTTTGTCTCCGCCCCACTCGCCCGGCCACACAAACGTCCGCTCGTCTCCGATACCCAGCATGCAGCAGGAGCAGCAGCTGTCGCCTCCGTATCAATCAATAATCCTCATTAGCAATAGCTTCTCTTTTCTTTTCCTCTGACTTTCACACTGAATGAGTCAGGAAGCGGACCAGGAGGGGATGTAAGTGTTCTGCAAAGGGCTGCCCCACCGTCCCTGCTCCAGACGGTCTCTGTCCGCCTGCTGTTGACTTGTTTTTGTCTCGTCTTCGGGGACTTTAAAGGGAAAGCTGCAGTATTTGAATCATGAATGTTTGTGTTTTTCATCAAAGAGAAAGAAGACATGGAGCGAAACGTGGGTTTGTTTCTCTTTTCAGAGGAGCAGTTTATTTATGACTTTTAGAGACAGATTTATTCATGATAAGCTATTTTATAACTTATTTATGGTTCCACACGGTCAGCAGGGAACTGACAGATACAGTAAGTGTTAGTCATATCTGTCTATGTTGATCAATGCAGCTATCAGACACAATTAGAGACTTTTAGCAACATGTGAGGGTTACTTAAAAACGTGCAAACTGAAGTGCATTTAGATTAAAGAAGAAAGCAGCCAAACATGGAGGAGGGTGCTCTGCCAAATCCCGGCTTTTTGTTGTTTTGAGAATCCTGAATCCTGCCGGAGCGCGACCCGGAGAGCAGATCTATATTTAGACTCCTTGTTGTGTCTGATATGCACTTGAAAATTTAGCATGGCTACGCCTCTACGTGGTCCAATCCCCACGCTGGCGTTTAACGCAGCGGCGGGTTCGCTTTGTGTTGTGATCATGTCGCTACTGCTGCAGCCAATCGGATTAGTCCCAGATGGGAAGTCCGGATCAGCCCGGTGGAAGGAGAAGTTGCGATTGAGGACGCCGGTGGGCAGTTTCAAGTGGCGTCTGGTTTAGAAAGAATGAAATGCAATTATTCAGGAAAGGCTGACTTCTGTTTTTTTTTTTTGTGCCAAACTTGCTACTGAACCCATGAAGGGTTGGTTGGGTTTGCTGTAACGAGTTGCCATGGCGATACTTTAGGACCATGCATTAAGCTGTCCCTTGTGTCCTAAAACTCTATTAGCGACGTTTTAAAGCCAAACCTGAAGCTCCGCCTCCCCTTTGATGCGGTTGTAGCTTTGTTTACCTCGTGGTGACTCGGCCACAGCTCGCACTTTCCAGCAGATTTCTGGTTAACTTAGACTTTAGAGCATGACGATGTAAAGTAAAACACCTTCCTCCTCTTGTGTGTGTTTATGAGCTTTAAGGTAGGTTCCTACTGGATTAAATGTGAGTTTGTTCTCTTGCACATGTCAAGTCCCTGATGAGATTTGGGACTTTTAGATTTTATCCATGGACCAAAAGCCCTTTTTCTAACCAGTGTTTAAATACTCATGTTGTTTTTTTTTCATACTACAGTCAAAATTCTGAATTACGTTGATATGTACAGCGGAACTTGTAATCAAAATGTGAACTTGTTCAGCCAGATTATAGATTATTAGCTGGATTACTGTGTGCATTTAAGCCCAGTCCCTCATCCTCTTCCATTTTGATGCACTCCAAATCCAAACCAAAGCATTCACCTTAAGGTAGCTGCTTTAAAGCTGCATGGGATGTTTCCTTTCATGCAGATATGCAAAGAAATGCTTTGTTTTTGTCTGTTTGGTATCAACATCGGATCACTTTGAGAGGTTTTCTCTTTTCCTGGGACTTGTTATCCCTATCCAGCGCATTATCATGCCTAAAACTATGCATCTCTTCATGTTTGCAGTTCAAAAAGAAGCTTAAATGGGTTCATACACAGAGCTTAAAAGGCGTAATACAATGTACATACGCTGTGCTTTTACTCTCTCTGCACCGGCCATAAAAGAAAAAGCTAAGTGGGATCTGTTGCCCCCACATAAAAGATGGAATCCTTGGAACGAAACACTACACAGCTCTTGTCCAACTTGGTTCGCATGAGTTCCCTGTTGCTGCCTCATTAAGCCTCGGCTTTTGTTTGGGTGTATTAATAGCTCAAGTGGAGGAAGAGGAAGAGTGTTCTATATTGAGCTCTCCTCTGGGAGCTATGCTCTATTAACTGATGTGCTGCGCTGCTGTTTGTTCCGAAGAAAATACCGTCCTCCACTCAGAGTCTCTGTGGGACCAGGCTCGCTGTCTTTGTAGGGAACAGAGCAGCGCACGACGGCAAAGGCACGGTTTAGTTCCAGCGCCTCCCGGGGCCGATTCTTGTTTTATTAGCTTGACAAAGAGGGAGGCAGGTTTTGATTTGTTTTCTACGATTCCCGTTTCCTTGCCTCGTGCTTCACTGTTCGGATCATCACAACTAATGAGTCCTGGTGTGGTTTGGACACATTCATTAGACTGTTTTAGTAGTTTCGAGAGTTCTGATGTAAGTTTTAGCATCAGAGCTAATAGCAGTTTGTTTCTGTGTGCTTTTGTACCAATAATAATAATAATAATAATAATATGCTTTGGGTTATTGCACGGCTTCTCGTTCTTGGGTGCTTAAGGGACACATTTTCTGGTTGTCTTTATTTAGGATAAACACTCTGAGCTGACCCTTTAATGAAACGATTCTCCAACCTGGAGTACTGGACCCTATGGGTACTTGGAGCGACTGTGAAGGAGCACAGTTATTTCCGCCTCAGGAAAAAGAAGGAAAGAAAAGCTGGAATGAGGCTGATTTTACTCGTGTTTATTGTCCCAGTTTATAATGATTGGTTGAAAAAGGTCACAGTTTCCATCAAGTAGGTTACAGCGGCTTCTTTGACTGAAAGTCAGCAGTGTTGTTAATAACTGTGTGTGTGTTCATGTCCAGACTGTTCCACAGGTTGAACATATTCTAATGCAGATTTTGAAGCCCCTATTGGGCGTGCTTTATATAAGAAATGTTTATAGACACAGAGGATTTAAAGGGATGAAATATAGTGCTGTGAAAAGTATTTATTGCTTTTTTTTGTTCACATTTAAAGTTTTTTGGATTAGAAAAACAAATCAAATCTTCATTTTTAAATGATGATTTCTGTTTATCCAGACCAAACTGGCCCGGTGTGAAGAAATAACGAGAACCAAGCGTTTGTGAGAACTGGTACTGGTCTCACATCCCTGTGGAAGGGTTTTTCTTCCTCTTCACAGACTTGGTTTAATTTGTTTGTGTTGATTGTTCTCAGTCATCTTTCTTGGATAAAACGTCTGCAAGGAAATCATAAAAGTGCCGTTGTTTTCAGTTCGACCTTCAAGAACTGGTTTAACTCAGCCCCATTGTAGGGTTTTCAGCATTAACGGTCTGTTTAAGGTCAAAGGTCAGACATTCTCCAAAGCAGCCCCAGACCACAGACATCATATACGTAGACACGACATGGACTGCCGCTGTGGCCATGGACGTAGCAGTGAGCCGCCATCTTGGATGGGTTCCCATTCGCCCCCACTAAATTTACTTCTACTGAGGAAGGTATTCACCCAACCAAACAGATTTTATGATTTTTCCCAGACTCAGACATGTTGTGTTGCATGATAATATTAATAATAATCAAATAAAATAAGATATAAAATTCCAACAAGTAGGCTAAGATAGTCAATAGTAATCCCGCGTGATCTGTTTTCAATAGTACGTCGGTTGTTTCAACCGTAGGCTGTACAAAAAATGGGTGTAGTTGTTCACTTTGGGTTGACTCCAGTTGGGTTAGGAGAGTGAGGAACCCAACCAATATGGCGGTGGTGCTGTTACACTCTCTAGCGCCCATGTATTCATGTCTGTGCCCCAGACCATCATGCTACCACCACCATGTTTGACTGCTGCTATGGTATCTTTGTTCTGAAATGCAGAGTTAGTTTTACAACATCTCATCTCATCAGCCCACAGAATGTTTTCCAGAACCTCTTAGGGATCATCAAGATGTGTTTTGGTAAAACGAACAAACATGAAACGGACTTCATTGTTCTATTAGCAGACGTTTTGGGCATGGAGCTTTGATGACCTTTGACCTTAACCTGAACCAGTTGCTTTAGATGTCCTTGTGGTTCTTTTGTTCTGAATAACTTTGGGAGTGGTGTGTTGCTTTTTGAGATAGTTTAGCTTAAGGTAGAGCTGAACTTAGACACCTCTCCCCCAGGACAGCGCAGTCTGATTTCTGATTTCGTTTGCTGATCTCAAACCTTTAAGTGACCAAAAAGGTTGAAACAGAAAGAAACTGATACTTTCACACAGCTCTGTCGGGTTTTTAGTTTTCAGCTTTGGTGGAAACAGCCAAACTGATTTATGGTAAGTAAGCGGCCATATCTTGTCTGAGGGGTTAAAAACTATTTAGCAAGTTGACGGCGTGTTGTTGTGAAACTGTTTCTGCTTTTATAAGAGAAGAGTCCTTTTGCACGCCCATGTCAAAGACACACTTGTCACTTGCATGTTTCCTGTTCTTTGTTACTCCGAGTACTGTAGCAGCAGATCCCTTTCAGACCGGCCAATATTAAACTGTTTATAAACAAGCTTTAAGAGCAGAAATGTGCTTTTATTTCTATATTTTATATTGTTTTGTAGATAAAAAAAGAAAATACTGTTTATGTTGTTGGGTTCATATACTTACTTACTTGTTTGTTCCTGTTTGTGGCTCTAAACCTCGATAATAAACAAGTTGATTCAGTAACAAACCACCTGCTTCATTGTGGAAATCCTCGTTCACGTCTTCAGTCGTGTTTTAAAACACACGGGATCGGTCTCTGATAATGATCTGAGTTATTTCATTTGTAGCTTGTTCACTTTTCCAGGTGTGTTTTTGTTTTTACCAAAGGTATTTTCTGTTAACAGGGTTTATGTGTTTGACTTGCCAGCAGGACAATAAATCCCTGATTTCCTGTTCTTTTGTGGTTTTTGATAATAAAATTAGTACTTTGGTTCTATGAAGAGTTTCCTGGATGTAAAGTCACAGCTTGTACATCAATGAGCGGCCTCTAGGTGGCAGTGTTTAATTAAATATGAGTGTCATCAATTTGAAAGTTAGGTTTGAGTTTCTAACCAACTCCTAACGATATTCTGTTTTACTTCCTACGAGCCGGACTTTCCCTTCCTAAGCTCTTAAAGCGTTCTCGATCAGTTCATTTAACTATTCTGAGAGACTTTCACACATTCTTTTTGGATTTGAGCTTCTTTTTCACCCATTTCTTTTTCAGTTCTTGTTTGTGGAGTTTGTGTTGTATTTTTAAAGAAATAAAAATACTGGACAAGAGGAGGACAGCCGTGCCTGAAAGTGGCATCTTGCATCCTGTGCAGACCTGGAGCAGAACCTGAGAGCTGAAGCTTTCTTTGGCTGGATGTCACGTTTTCAGCTTCCACTACTTCAATACTACTTTGTTTTTTCATTTCACAGAAGGTGTCATGCCTACTTATAAAGATTCCATTTAACTTGGTTCTTTCTGGTTTTTATTTGTGAAAAGTTAAAAGGTGAAAATGTTACTTTTTCATTGGTTCTCAGATGAATTGTGAGTTTTGTGTTGGTACAACCATGGTTTTGATTCTAGTGTTCGACCAGTGTCTATTTAATATAGCATAATATTATTTTTGGATGGTAAAAAGCGCAGGGGACAAAAGTTGATTTTGGAAAAAGTGGGGGGGACGTGTCCCCCCTGCCCTCCCCCAAAACTACGTCCATGGACACAACTTTAGTTTAGAAGCTTTTTATGCCTAAATGGTTTATAGTTATAAGTTAGGGTTAACATAAGCATTTGAATGCTTTGTTTTAAAATTTTAATTCCGAATTATTTAGAAAGAGTGTTACTTTCCGTTTCCAAGCAGTAGATAAAATCTTTAGGTTGTATCAACCCAAACTCAGATCAAAACTAAATGGGTAACTGAGAAAACATTCAGCTTTGTATTCTAATTTATTCATAAATGAAGTTATTCAGTTAAATTTAAAGCCATAAAAAAGACATATTACCTGATTTTTGATGACGTGTGATAGCTGTACTGGTGAAACACAGAAACTTTGAGACTTTCTGTTGATTATTTGTCCAATTAGAACATAAAAAATATCTTTATACCCTATTTTTATTTCACTGACTTACTTTTTCAGAATAAAACTTTTCCACTCACAATTAAATGTATATGCAACAGCTGGTTGTCACAGACCAAAATATGCATCAATCCTAAATTTCCCATGTTTGATCTAATTAAGATTTAATCTCTAATTCAGATTTACTACAGATTATTCTAGTCTGTAGTACCACAGATTAACAGCAGGAGGTGCTCTTTGCACTTTACCCAGTTTTACAAACCTCTGAGTCCATTAGAAAAACAGAAATATCCGACAGTAATCATGTTAAGTTATAGCCGCTTGTTTTGTAAATGATACTTTTCCTTTTCTAGGAGCCAGATTCTGTCATCAGATGAAGTGTGGTTTGTATGCGAGGGCAGGTCATGCTTGAGTGCACGGTGGCTTTCTGCAGGACACAGATTGACTCTGCTATAAAATATTTGAAAAACAAAACCCCAACTTTTCTATTCATGCTTGGCAGTCTACTTATTGTGGTTACTTTGTGCCGCATGCAAAAATACAGACAGTGCACTTATGAAGCACTTTCCTCTGGCTAATTCTGCAAAATGGATGCTCAGCAGCAGAAACTCATTATTCTGTGTACACACACTCACTCTCTCTCTCTCTCTCTCTCTCTCTCTCTCTCTCTCTCTCTCTCTCTCTCTCTCTCTCTCTCTCTCTCTCTCTCTCTCTCCCCCAATCTCTCCCTCTCTCTGTGTATGTGTGTGTGCACACAATCTCTTTTCTTTGAAATCTTTCTGGACTAACATGATGTCCATTACCGAACAATGTGCCGTATACTGCGGATGAGCATGTAGATGGAAGCTGTACACTCCAAAACCCATCTGGATGAGTCTAAATGAAAACTACGGTTGACACATAAAAAAAAATCACGGAAAGCAAACTGATACGGGATGAAAAGGATACACAAGTATGCGCTAGAAACTGTTGATTTATACATTTATATATGTCTGCAAACACCTTGTGGTTTTAGAGGTGCAGCTATTATAGGAAATGACAGCAAACACCATGTGCTTTTTGTCCAGCAGATTATCTAAAGACCATCTTCATCTGGCAGGTGAACTCTTTAATGCTTACTGTACATAGAAAAATGAGAGGCTCAATAATTCAAAGCTTTCTCAGTTATGCTGGGTGGCAACATATCATGCAAAACTCACTTTTAGCATTATTTTGTGCTGCCATGTGGGTTTCTACTGCATCTATAAAAATTCCAATAGTGGCCAAAAAGTCCATTTATATGCTTTCTGTCAATGCTTGAATTTAAGAATTATGTGCCATAAATGAGTCTTAGAAAATTCACTATTTGTGATGTCACAAATGAGGAAATTGGCACAGAACCATGTCTCACCTGGAGGAAAGAGCTTCTGCTGCAGGAGCTGCAGCTTTACTCTAAGCCCCTCCCAGTTATTGGAGCTTGAGTGGTGGAAGGGTGAGCTTCAATCAACCAATCAATCAATCAATCAATCAATCAAAGCTTTATTTATAAAGCGCCTTCCGCGACCATGTCGTGAAGCCCAAGGCGCTGAACACGGTACATGAGAAATGTGAAACACGATGAATAAATCGATGATAAAAGCAATTAAAAAAAATAAGGTAAAACATTAAAGTAGAAAACAAATGGGTTAAACAAGGGATAAAGAGACCAAATGAAAGCAGGGAAATAAAATCAACATAAAAGAGGGCCAAACTCAAACACGTTCAGGGAACGCCAAGCGGAGAAGGTGGGTTTTTAGGCGACTCTTAAAGACTGGCAGGCAGAGATGGGGACAGCCTGACTGAGGGTGGCAGCTGGTTCCAGAGTGACGGAGCTAGGACTGAGAAAGGCCGGTCCCCATGAGTACGAACCTAGAATGAGGGACAGCGAGCAGGCGTTGGTCAGAGGAGCACAGAGTGCGTGATGGGGAATGTCTGTTCAGGAGTGTGGCTAGATAGGGGGGAGCACCACCCTGGAAGAAATTGTAAACCAAGACGAGGAGTTTAAAGTGTGAATGATAACAGACCGGAAGCCAGTGCAGGGAGGCCAGAACCGGACTGATGTGGTCCCGTTTCCTCAACACATTCTCACTCCCAGCGCGTCAAAAACAAACGCTTGGTCAGCCACCCTCCACGTCAGACCCCTGACGCCAAAAAGGCCCTTTTTCGTTACTTATGTGCGAAAAGGGGTTTTCCCTTATTTGACTGCAGATCCCAATGCAGCGTTACACTGACGTGATGAGATGTCCGCAGCCAGAGCACCAAACAAGCTCATTGTACCTCACCTTAACCTTATCCTCTTATTTAACCTTCCCCTCACCCCTATCCTAACCTTAACCATCTTGCTAGCGAACACGTTAGTGATGTGTCGATCGCTCTAAAAGCCAGCTCTATGAAGTGAACGGCAGGAGCCGCCTCGTCATTGGTCGAGTTTGGACCGAGCCAACGCAAGGGGGAGGTTTCAACTGCCACGGTGGAGATTAAACGTAGAGGGTATGTGTAACCTCCCCCTCGCCAGATGGTATGTTCTAACGTTCCCCTTGGGCGGCAAATACGAAAATTGACAGTCAGACTCTGACTGTCAGAGTCAGAATGCAGGGGAAACAAACGCTTGATCACAGTGAGAGTAACGTTTTAGGTAGCAAGAGGGTTAAGGTTAGGATGAGGGAGAGGGGAAGGTTATAAACAGTGAAACGTTAAGGTTTAGGTGGGGTTAAACGAGCTGGTTCAGTGCCACATCAGCGGATATCTAATCACGTCAGTTTTACGCTGCACTGGGATCTGCAGTTACAAAAGGGAAAAAAACCCTTTTCGCACATAAGTAACGAAAAAGGGCACTTTTGGCGTCTGGGGTCTGACGTGGAGGGTGGCTGACCAAGCGCTTGTTTCCGACGCTTAGGGTGTGAGAATGTGTTGGTTTCCTGGTGCCAGTCAGAAACCTGGCTAATCTAGTTCCCTTAAATTGAAATAGCCCTGAAACTGACTCATTCTGGAAGGTACTGAAAATGTCAAGGATAAAACTGCTGAAATGGCTTCATGTGAGAGGGATTAGGCAAGGCAGTTTTATTTATATAGCCCATTTCACACAGAGAAGCAATTCAATTAGCTTTTTAGGTGCAAGATAAGCAAGAAAAAAATTTATGTGACAACACAAACCAGCAGATTATAAAATCAAATTTTAAAACACACAAATGAAATTAGTTGTACAAAATTAAATAAAAAGGCTAAATTAAAGACTGAGCAGCTACAGTGCAGAAGGTGCAGCACGATAAACAGTCATTTAACGGCTGATGAATGCATGAAAGTTTTCCATTTTGATTTAAAAGTTACTAGGGTTGGGGCACATTTGATGTCATAGGTAAGCTAAAAGCAGCTTCACCCTGTTTGGTTCTGACCTGAGGTGCTACCAGCTGACTGTTTCGGTCTCAGAGCTCTGCTGGGCGTATATGCAGGAAGGAGATCTGACATGTATTTTGGCCCCATGCCACTGAGTGATTTATTAACTAGTAGAAGCACTTTGAAACAGATTCTGTAGTTTAGCCAGTGTAGAGATTTAAGAACAGGAGTGATGTGCTCAGTTCTCTTGGTCCTTGTTAGGACTCTAGCAGCAGCATTCTGAATAAGCTGCAGTTGCTTCGCAGCTGTTTTGGGAAGACCAGCCAAAAGACCATTGCAACAGTCCAGCCAGTTGGAGATAGGACTGAGTTTCTCGAGGTCCTGTCTGGACAAGAGACCCCTGAGTCTTGCTATTTGATGAAGATGATAAAACGCTGATCTAGTTATTGTCATGATGTGGGGATGTGAAGATGGTGGACCAAGTGTGGTGGAGGGTTCC